ATCTAGTGCTAGAACGCCACCAATTAGCATTTTAAGTAATGTTTTTTACTACTTCTCGTATTTTTCTTACCGTAGTTCTCAGTTTGATAAGTACCGTTGTGTTGCTTAGATTAGGTAAAAAACAATTCAAGTAGAATTACTTAAGGAAATATGTAAGAAAATGTGAGGTGTTGTACCAATAACGCAACATTCTGAACATTTTTTTACAGCAAGGCCGGTGGACAGAAAATAATATATGGATGACCCGAAAGGAGAAGGGATAGGAAAAAAAAATCCCTGATGATTGGAGGTTCTTATCATGGTTTGTAAGGGCATTCCATCCCTTCAAAAATGTCATGCTCCAATGTTGTTAGGGAGGGAGGTGAAAGGCAAACCGAAAAAAAAAACAACAACAACAACAAAAAAACAACACATAAAAACCAACAGAACAAAACTGGCGTAGAAACGAAACTAGAAAGTGTTCATGAATAATCTCACCTGGCTTCCCTATGTACGCCAATCCATTGTTATATAACCTCTGAGCTAGCACCCTGATCTAGGCAGGGAGACTGTTAAAGTAGTGACTGGGAGCGACTGAAAGGAGCACACGGTATTTATACTATGCATTGATCAGATTCAGTGAGTCTATGGCAACATTCTGTTTTCTCGTTCTTTTACTGTTGCAGTTTTAGTAATTAAAGCCCATCGTTTGTTCGTGACTCTTGAAGAATCGACAAGCTTCGCGTCAGTTCTAGAACATTCGTCACGGCACGACCGAGACTAAGTGTCACGCACGCGCGACACTTGGTATTGATTGTTAATTAAATGTCTTCACGTCTCATGTAAGGTGATCCCAATACATGTTTTTAGTTAAAGCAGATATTAGACTGAGTTGGCCTTGTAGCACATGACCCGAACCATCATCAAACAAAATTCAGTTCTGTCGATGTTGACTGATTAGCAATAGCGGACATTGCGAACAATTTATCTCTATCAGTCTAATTTAGGTTAACTTTTGACCAAAAAAGCTTTGCGTTCTGTAAAAGAATCGAAGAAAATTAAGGGACATGTTCGTAGCCTTCTAAATCTGGATCGACTTACTCTGCATTTATCTTCGACTTTTGTTGGATTCGCCGTTTTTAGATTGTTATCTTAAAAGGTATTACAGCAAAACCTAATTCCTTGATGGTTATAATGTTCTGGGCTTGTCTGAGCAATAATGACTGAGTACTTGCCGAACCATGCGACACCCAACCGGTGAATACGGAATGTTGCCTTGGGGTAATTCATTATAAGTCGACATGCACTGAGGGCCTTACTTGGCCACGAAGAATAATGCCTAGAGGACATTACATATTCGCTTTAAAATAGTTTATAGCAGAGGTTCTTCGTTTTCTTTCCTCCCAATATTCTTGCAAATGAGCCACTTGGCTGATTAGCAGTAGACACACTTTCGTTTAGGCAAAACAACTGCGCTTGTTTCCCATCATATGATGAGTACCTCCTTAATTCACATGACACGAAACGAAAAATTCGCACCTCGCTATAAAGATTGAGAGTGTCGTAAAGTGGTCTGGCATACGAGTGAACACTTCCATCATTGACCTTAGGTGAACTCAAATTTCAGTTAAAAATAAAAACATTCGAGAAATGCTTACACGAATCTTTACAGAACTGTCAAATTAACTTTATATTGACCTGTCTTTGCTTATATTCATGTCTTCCATTGTTATACCTTTGAAAACTTGAGATGTCACAGCTGATATGACTTACTTAGAGAGCGAAAGGTTACGCACGTCTCAGTTGTCGTATTATGTTTCTGAATGTGCGTTGTTGGCGCCACTAAGATAACTTTGGATATATTTCTTTGTTTCAGTCAAAGCCTACAACACAATGGGTGCTTTTTTGTCTGATCTACAAAAGGAGGAGAAGGGAAGCTATTTTCACAAAGGCACTTTAAAGACAATCCTGAGCTTATAATCGATCTGTCAATTAGAGAACAATGTGGTATCCGCAATAATCACGCACGCTAAAAATGTTACTGTGAATGATTTCTTGTATGTTTATGGTGCAATTTAGTTTAAAGTAACGTAAGACCTTGTACTCTTGCCAAGCAATCATTATCATTTCGCAAATTTCTTGCTTAGTTAAACGTCGAACATTATTCATGCAGCGACATGTGCAGACAATTCTGTAGTCCCCCTCTTCCATGTGTTACGGAACCCATCAAGAGAATTTGGAATATGCTTGCAATCAGGACATCAAATACAACTTTCAACAAAAATCGCGACCACTGGGTAGAGAAGTATCTTTTATTTTGAGAATTAAAATTTCTCCTTAGCCCCATGCACTCAGAGTGTATTTAATAAGCTTCTCAGAAAGCTGTATCTTGATATGCTAATTATAACAAGACAATTAACGGGTGAGTCCACAAGGTTAGAAGTTCAATTGGTTTGTAGTAGTTGTACCGAAACTAAAAAACCATGCACATCTTTTTGAAAGAGTACGTCACCACCGTGGTAGAGAGCTCTATTTGATTACGAGAAGCAAAGGAGCTTTTACCTTTTGAGAGACACTTGATGATCATCAGGGGTAACCAAATGTGATCGGGCTGGTATAATAGATAAATTTCCACAAACCCCACTCTGCACTATCACTCTGAGACGAATAAGGAAAAGAAACAAACTATGTTTGTTCTCAAGTGGATCAAAAATTTCCTTCAGAGCTTAAGTCGTAATTCTTAGATTGTGTTGTGGTCCATTTTCATTTTTTTTCCTTTTTGCACTCTGTTAACATTCAGTGTGGAAAGTTGGTAACTCCCGAGTAGCGAGTAAGCTGACATGCTTTTACATAAAAATGAGAATGAAAGATCACATGGTCATGTTAGCAAGAATGAGCATCTGCAAGTATTAAATATTTGTAAATGTTGAGCACGATAAAATGGGTGCACCGGCTGCAGTTTCTTGGCTATAAAATTAATTCTAATTCTCTAACAGCCGCTGCAGACTTTTCTCCCTTTTACTTACTATAAGCGGGTTAACCAGGTTAAATTCTCTAATAAATATCGCCACCTACCCACTGAGTGACCAATAACACAGGCTACCTGTCAACTACTGGATACCAGCTTTAATTGACAAGAGAAATCGCCTACTTTAATGAGCAAAGACTCCAAAATGGATGAACGTGATTTACCTTTGTTAGACTTAGTGAATACTTCATCAAACTAATCAAAACGGTGTTTTGCTTATGATCATTATTGTTGAACTGAATATTGAACGACATGTCAGAGCCTGAGCCTTAATTATTTGATAACTAATACAAGGTTATTTTGGTTTGATCCAATGTTTCACATCATCTGAAGGGAATTTTAAAACAAAACTCTAGTAAATTGCGCAACATAGAATTGTAATAACTACACATTGGCAACATATTCATCAACAGCTACAGTTTTATCAAAATTGATACTTAACAAAGATGCAGCAATACTTTCAAAATCTTAAAAAACATTATCTCAAGTTGTAAGCGTTATGATTGGTTGAGATCCTGCAATTTTACAGCCTAAATCATCCATGCTCTGTTTCCAAACAAAACTATCAGTATGCACGTTTTGTCTGAACATGTCATAACAATGATTTCAAAAGCTGTTGAAACGAAACATTCATTAACATTCATTTGCCTGAGAATATTGGGCAAAGTCAACCAAATCAAGATGATCAATATGACAGAATAAATTATGGCAATTTTACAATCTGCTCCATGAAATTAAAAGATTTGAGACTCATATCACGTATTTTCACAAATTGTTTACTTACGAATCAGAGACAAAAATTTAGAAATTTCTACACTGAATGGCGAGGAACCATTGGTTTGAAAGAAAACAAGCAGACTTATAACCATCGCTTGTGTGGTTGCAGAGCTATTTTCTCAAGAACAATGTACACAGTGGCTTCATTGAATGTGTTGACCATCAAAACCTCTACCTAGAAATTTCAAAGATAAAAATATTCACCGAACTATCTAGCTAAAGCTCAAAAGCTCTGAAGTGACGATAAATTTGTAAGTAACGTGTTCTTAAATTTAACTACAAAACCTCAACGCAACAGGCAAGAGAAACGATTAGTTCGTTTCAGTAGTGGAATGCATGCTACTGCCCCGAAGGAACGGATTCACACGCCTTATACAAAAGAACCAAAGAAAAGTTTCAGCCAAATTCTCAAAACGAAAAAAAATACAGGAAAGCTAATCCCATACCTTGCAAGGAAAATCAAAGGGAGAGCTACAATTTTCTACAATCGACAAAACCCTTCGAAATCGTTGTATTTAGATAAACAATAACTTGATGACTGTTGTTGATTCTAGCGTGTCTTATCAATGACTGATGTTTCGAAACTGTTTCAGGATAAATTTGATGACCTCCAAAGTTAGGTTGTGCCTCTTTTATGAAAATTTACCCGTTTGCCGAGCTCCTACACGCAGTTTGTTATTGCGGGACACCTCAATAACGACTTTGATGTCTCTTTCAAAAGCACCATTTTCTTGTAGACGGTTTTGGTAGCCATGTCAACATGCTGATTCCTTTTCTTTCATAAAACACCTCTTAAAAAGTGAAAATTTCACTCTCTCGTTTAGTATCGTAAACTGAATGCTCTTCATGTACTCCTCGTATATGTTTCCATTCCCAAAGAATGCAGTTAAAGCTCGGTTCAAAAAAGTTGTAAAAGGCATAGTTGACATATAATCAGAGCTTCACAGCAACATAAAATACGATACTGAACCCAGAATCAAAGTTTTCAAAAATGTAATCGCTCTCAATAATACTCAGTGGATCCAAATCAGCTGCTTATTGCTTCAAGATTAAATAATCGTAGTCTCGCCCACAAAAGTGGTCAATTTTAGTTAGTTCTCCTGGTGTGCGAGAGCAAAATACAAATAAAATACGAACACAGTATTATGTGACGTGTTATTTGACATATATACATAGACATGGTGCAATGGACATAATATTTCTATGGTGCCTATATCAAAACATATTGCACAAATATCATATATTGGTAGGCGGCTAAGGAGGTGGGTTGCAAGGAATTATTTCGCTAGTTTGTACTCCGAAGCGTAAAGACAATCTTAATTTAGCCGTTAGAAGTTGAAAATACCTTGACAGCCTTTCAATCTTACACCTTCACCTGAAGCAGCCCGTACGTTGGCTAATCTTTAAAAGAGGAAATATTTATGCAAACCTGCTAAGTTTAGTACAAACAAAGCACAGATCGACCATCTTTTGTTTACCTCAGCAAAACATTTGGTCAGGATTTACTAAAAAAAAAACGTCCATTTAAAAGGAGCCTCTAAAGAACAAAATTAACATGGCTTGATGCTGTTGAAACCCGATTGGAATTCTGTCAACATCGTGGATACTGGTCAATAACCGGTGTCAAATGTAATTCAAGTTTTTCAATTCTCTCCTGGAGTGTAAGCAACATTTTTTAAGTCTTGAGAAAAGTATTATATCTGCACATTGCACACGCGATTGAATTTGTTCACAAAACAAAGGATTAACGAATAAACGATTTAGACACTCAATTCTTGTAGAAAAGTACCGTAATAGATGGAAAGCAAAGATGGGAAGGCTTCTTAAATACTAGGGTTCTCAAAGGGCACGAAATTACTTGCTCTTAAGAGACGAACTCAGGGTGCTGTATAACTTCCATCTCTGACAACATTCACTCTGATTTTATTTTACTTTTGTTCTGGGCCTATTTGATCAAATAGTGGTATGTTTTCATTGAGTGTTATGTGAGATGCTTCAACAAACGTTTATTCCATTTGGGCAAAAGAAAAATAATTCATTCCACAAAACAATAGGTCAAAATAGAGAGTAAGATCAGTGCGATTAAAATATTAGCGACTACTCAATACGTTTGTTAGAAATCCACTAAAACGGGTTCAAGTTAGACGATCGACAATTAACTTGCTTGCCTTATTTTGTTACAGTTTGCCAAATTTCTACATAAAGCGGAAAAAGGAGAAAAAAACTAACATGATGTCACTTTTAAACACAGCTTTTACGACGAGCTTGATTTATAGAGACGGTAATTAAAGCTCGGCTAAACTGACACAGCGAGTCACGAAATGTATTCGAACAGAATTATTCTGTCTCGTTGAGGCTTAGAACCATAAATGTATACGTTTCGCAATACACATAGAGTTTCAGATGATTTGAGGAAGTTCTAATATCCACAAAGCATTTTAAGCAATATAACACAGTACAAAGCAGTTTCTGAGGCCGCCATGCAAAATTCTCTGTTAAGTATTCTCGATTCAAGCGAAACTTTTGTTTTGCTTTTATTATTTTTTTTAATTTCACCTGCACAACTTTGACTTTTACTGGAGAATGGAAGCTTTATAATGAAATCTTAAACTGGTGGGTGGTATCCAATCGGCAAAATTTAGAAGCATAGTCTTTGTTGCGTCACGGCTGCCGTCGGCTCATTAATATTTAACGCTCAACGGAGCCTCTTAAAGCCTAAAGTAACATCAACGCTAATTTTATCCACTACTTTCAATGTGTGGGTTCGGCGTTCGATTTCAAAACAACATCTCAACAATCTATAAATTACGTGGGCCGACGGACTCTTCAGAGAACACCCTGATTCGGTCCGCTAACTTTCTTGAAGCCAATAAAAAATTGAACGGCAAAATCGGAAGTTGAAGTCACGCTATCCAAACTGCTACGTGAAAGATCTGAACGAAACCACTCGACTAGAACAGTGACCCTCCAGGTTACTACGATGATCATTGCATAAGAAACCTGTATTTTGGTTATGAATTTTGACGTAAACCGATACGGAATATTACTTATCATGTCCCTATTAAAATGTGATCTTTCCTGTCACATTATGCGTATTGTGTACTTACGTTTTGCTTCACTTAACAAAACTTTCACGAGCCTTCAAGGCAACATTTCGATTTTCAAATTTCCCTGTGCGGATAAAAGTTCAATGCGTTCTGTTTTTTGCAACTATGTAAATAGAACATCGAAAACACCGATAAACCTTGCAACATATATATAGCACAAAAATAGAACAACTTCTTTTATTTATGCTGTTCTCTAATAAAGGCTTCACGCAGCCGATCAGCATGTTCGTGTCCCTGTTTCGCAATAACCTTTTCTCCGAGATCAACCGAGCATTTCGCGAAAGATCGTTATTGTAATCGGAGTCCGAAGATAGAACGTCGCACTATTTTCGGAACCAATCGGAGGCTGCGAAGGTGTTTCGAAGTTTACACAACCTTCTGGAGCATTCGGCGTTACAAAACGACTGCTGAAGCGAGTCGTTAATAATTCGAGAGTCTTCTTTTATATCAAACGATTAACTTCCTACTCAAAATGAAACCCCATTATATTCTTGACACAGAATTGATAACTGTTTCCAACTTAAAGTAACTTCAAGCCATATGCGAGCTGAGAACCATCCTCATTTGAGTTACGATACGCATCGCTGATAAGTTGATCGTGATCTGTGCAGCGTGACTGCTCTCAACTGTAGCCTGGGGGAAAGTTTATTTTAGAATTGAATAACGGAGCATCCGACTTTGCATAAGAAAACTCGGAGCAGATTAGCGCAGAATCGGCACCTGACTCTTAAGCCGTACGGATCCACGCAAACACACGTCTAAATCTTAAATACTTACACGCGATCAGGAAGAAAGGACATCATTCATTTTCACTGCGAAACAGTCTGTGGAGTTTGCTAAACTTATATCATTTTATAGTTGGAACTGCTGTTATACAGAGAAGAGAGTCTTAATGCGTATCCCTATGGCTTATGCGAATTTCGACGATTTGGTGCGAGTGACGGAGAGTATCACCTACCCGAACTCCTACCAAGGCGAGGGAAATCCGTTAACGGCGGGGATCTATTCGTTGCTCATTCCAAACACAGAGGATGAACTACAACAGGTCAGTTGCGATCTTTCAGAAGCGATTTATATGGTATTGTTAGATGCGCTGATTGAATAACGAGCCCGTGTCGCTCTTTATTCAATATACGCTTGTTGTAAATGAATTATAATTCAAGAAAGAGCTTTCACGCCGGAACAGAACTCGTCCGACACTGTTCACTCTGTTCATTATTTCCTCGTTGTAGTCATGCTTGTAAATGACTCCAAAATTGCCAAAGGAAGTATATCCGGTAAATAAAATCCTGTAGTTTCAGAGTCCATTTTGGACTGATCGAAAGTGTAACAACACGGATTTTTTTTGCAGCCATTAATCTTAACTGCATGATGATTCGAAATTTCCCCAAGCTGGTAAAGATTTACGAGAGCCCGTGGGCCGTGCACGCGAATTCGGCAATTAGAGGAGCAATTGTCACAGCCTACAGGGGTCCCACTGTACGCTTAAACTGAGCTCTATGTTTATTATACTAATGTGCCAAATTTCTGCCCCTTCCTAGACAGAGGATGGCGGTATTCCGGTGACCTTGTTCGTGAATTCGATGTTATGTAAGAGTCTATACTTAATTAATCGTCTATCGAAGTTCAACTGATCAAGCATGGCAGCTGTATAATCATTTTTAAACGGCTTTTCTTTCCGTCAGACACTTAAAGAAATGGATAGTTACCTGTGTTCCACCTCTCAAGACACACCTTCAGAATTGCAGCCACATGTAAACCTCCATCAACCAAAGTTCGAAGAGGGGATGAAAAGAGACTGTCGCTTTCCAGAGTCAACGGCCAACGTGTGTAATGGCCAACAAACAGTACAAGCGCCTTCTTGCGATCTGAAGCTAGAGTGGCCGCAAGCTACTCTTCAAAACCCAGCAACTACGACGACTGCATCATGTGCGGAGTCCAACGTCTTTAGTTTCGATACACACCAATCCTTTCCCACATGCTCTGAGAGCGAACTGGAATTAAGCCATGCCTTTCACTGCGATTTTCCCGGTTGTAAAAAACGTTACACAAAGAGCTCGCATCTTGGAACACACAAGAGAATTCATACCGGCGAGAAGCCCTTCCTGTGTCCGTGGGAGGATTGTGGGTGGTGTTTCCGCAGATCGGACGAACTAAAGCGCCACTACCGAAGACACACTGGCGAAAAACCTTACGTATGTCCCTTGTGTGGCAGGTCTTTTAGTCGTTCAGATCATCGGTCTTCTCACATAAAGAAAATACACCCACTAATGTAGGAGTTTTTTAAATCGACTCAACGGACCTCAGATGACAAAAGTCAACATTTGACCTAAATTTTTATTTGTTTGAATGTTCAATAGACAATTTATACTCTATATTTAGTCGACCTCATGGCCGCGACGTTGTTCTACTGTCTGCTCCATAAAGAAGCCCTATTTAACGAACTAAGAATTATGTGGTGAATAATTGTACATATAGAGCACACTATTGGCATAAACAGGGGAATTCAATGAGCCAATAGTCACCGAAATCACTATTTTAATGGAAAGTCTTTAAACAGTCAATTTCACTCCTCAGTCAAGTATCAAGACGATACAGTCGGAAAACGTAAACCTTGTAGTTATATTATGTATATTTCGTAGCGACGAGTCCTTCTCAGTCTTAAAAGTCACGTTGTCAGTATTTTTCGTCTTGTTGGAGGACCCATGATCGCTTTTCTAACTAATTTTGACTCAAAAATTTCAGAAAGCCAAACTACGTACATCTTTGTGGTGGAAGGTTAAGAGAGAAGAACAGGGCTGGTTCCTGCTGGGAAGGTGCTTTGTAGTATGACATGAAATAAACATGGTTATATTCAAGATTTAACATCTACTGAAATGCATCCATTCTTCGTCGTTAAGGGACAGTTGTCCAACTACTAAGAGATAAATACTGCTTCGGACTGTTTCATACATTCTACATCGAAGGAAAAAAAAAATGAAGAAAAGCTTTAAGAGGACAGAATGTTTCATTCAGACTTTTACATGAACGATCAGTACAAGTATTTAAGAGGTATCGATTGTGAAACGTGATTGAAGCTGACGGCGATCTCTAAGAAACATGTAAAAAAGCCCTTGAAGACTCAACAATACGATGATTTTGATACGATGTGTATTAAACAAATTTAAATCTCCCCATAGTTTTCTTGCTTAATAGACCTTCATAGTCCCTTCATCTTCTTTGGCGGGATATGAACAATCTGGGATAACTATCGCGAAGAAGTACAATTGTTACAAAAGAAAAAGTCTTATAAATCACTCAGACTTCTCACTCATTTCTCCCACTTTACACCTTAAAACAATTAAAAAACTAAAAAAAAAAAGTGTCGCGAAATAATTCAATTTTGTTAACAATAAGACATTGACATGTGCTTGTTGCGTGGGCTCAAGTTAACGGAGGGGGCCATTTAATTTACCATGAGGCTTCAATCCTAAGATTATCATCTACTTTGACCCGGAGGAAGGAAAAGATTTATCGTAAAAGCGACAAATAGACTTAAATTTTCGCTGGAAAGTCTGAATTAAATCACTTGTAGTTATTGTAGTCGTTGCCAGCGGTTCAACGAGTAACTAGACGGTGTTTACATTCCAGAGCTCATCTGGGTCCCAGTTCCTCTTCACCCTGTTTCTTTGCAAACAAAGTTTGGTTTACTCACACTAACTTAAAAATTTCTTTCCTTTCAACTCCGAATCTTTAAATTAAAATCATTTTGGTACCAAGATAGCCGTGCCTTAAATTAATAGATTTAAAGAATCCCGTGGTTTTAACTACACCTGCAAAATTAGTATACAACTTTCTAACAACTCCTTTCGCGAAATAATGCACTTGACAATGGGTTTTATAGTTGTGGCTTTAAAACTACGAGAGGAATCTAAAGTGAGTATTGAACGGTACACACTACAATGTGCAAAGTGAAATCCATTAGAGGAACGAGTGGGCTGCTGCACGAACGGTGAATCATGCATACGTGAAAAAATGAGAATACATGCAGGAAACAAGAAAAGTTATATAACTGAGAGGAAAATTCCATCATGAAACAAAAATTACAGCACTCTTCTTACCTTTCTAAGCGTTAAATGTGATGGGGTATTAGTGTTCTCCCGGAGGTATTAACCAGTGGGCACACCAAAACAACCCACGCAGTCGGTTCTCTATGTTAAATTGCGTCAACACCCGGATGAAAATAAAAGGAGCAGACATCCGATGTCATTAAAAACTGCACATGGTTCTCCAATTGTTAACCTTTAATGGCTAAGTTCACACAAGTGTTCAGTTTACTCTTTGAACCGGCACGTACAGTTACGAAATAAAGTTGAGATTTTGTTATAATCAGTAAAGGGGTTCATTAATTTCTGCTCTTACCTTTAAACGGATTATGGCTGCACTCGCAAATAAAATAGTTAGTTATGGCTTAAAACGTGACTCATAGAAACGACAACATTTTCCTTCCACGACGACATTTTCGAACCTACATTAAGAAGCATTTCCTGATCCTCAGCGCCCATCACCACGCAGGTTTGATAAACGAGCCAATTTTTAACCCACTAAGTAAACAACGGTAGGTAGGTATTGTTTGGCTCATTATTTACATCCTTAGTAACTAGATGAACAGGAAATGAATCACGGGGCGAAATGACGAGAAAAAGATCAAAGTAAATTAAATCAAATTGAAAGAAAAAAAGAGAGAAGAAACCCCTTACCCGCCATTTGCATTTCGTCTGTCCACATCAATCTCCAAGCTTGTTATTTGCCACTGTGGAAGGTTTTGTTGTGGAACAGGTGTTTCACGATCCGAATTTCACTAAATTGCCGTATTCAGGTAACTAAACCACTCATAATTTGAAAATTTTACATACTCTTCTGAGGACCAAGTGCTGAATTTTAAATGGCGAACGTGACATAAGCAGAAAACTGATAAATCATTTAAACGTTGTTTGCTAACTGAGTTCACATTCAGCTACTGTTTTAGCTCATTAGTTTGTAAGGGTACGATAAAATTTCATTAAATACATGCTAACAGGTGCAGAGATAATTTTATCTTCTGTATAGAATTTGTCTCTTGAAGCGTGAATGCTTCACAACGAAGGTTAATTATTCCAACTTCGATTCAAACGAAATTTAAGCTGAAATGTAAACGATTCTTGTTTAATAGTCAATAGAATCTCACATATATCTTTTTCTTATTTTCAACCGTGATGTTTCTTTTGCTCCAACAAACTTTACATGGGTTCATGTGAAAGTAAGTGAACAATAATTCAATTCCCTTTGGCTTCGATGACTCGTCAGCTATTCTTACGTAAAAACCTTAAAAAATAATGGATCATCAACTTGAGGGTTCGAAAAATCGTGCTAACGATGTAAGGTATCGTACGTTTGATCCTCAGGGCATTTGTCTTTTAGGCTTGAACTTTCTCTTGCTAATGTAGCACCATCACTTGACGATGTCCTACTGACTCTCAGTCTTTTGTCTGGTAATAACACGTTTTCTCGGTTTAACACTTAAGCATTTGTAGTTAATTTGTATTCTCTCTCATCGGAATGACTTTAAATATAGCATGATGTTGAATAATTCCTATTGATTCATATATTTATTATTTAGCAAAATGTGGATATCTTCTGAAGTAAAGCGACAAATGTTTCAGGAGGTGTATTCTTGTATCACAAGATGAACGATCGCACTTACATGGAAAAGTTCTACACAGACGATACCCAAAGCTTTGAATCATACTTATGTAGGCTCAGTATTGTTGTAACTGTAGCATAAAGGCCTTCATTATGATCAAACTGGAGCTAAAAATACCCTTTTACTGCGTGTCCATGTTAACCTTCAGTATAATCTTATCAGGATTCTCTAAATGTTGTCTTCCAATCTTGGTTTCTAGTGCACTAATAGTTCGATGACTCATTGTCATCAAGGTATCCTTCCATTAGTTCTTACCCTCAATTTCTCATTTCATTCTCCTTCTTTTTCTCCTATCTAATTATATTATCATCAATCTCTCTAGGTATGTTTTGATTTCTCTTCACAATTGTCTGTTACGATTTTAATTATTCTTGGCTCACTCTATGGTTACCTACATGTTTTCATTTTGTCCTCATTCCCATGTGTTTACTTGCTTTGTATCTCTGCTGCTTGTTTGTTTGCCTTCTCATTCACCTTCTTATCTGTGATCGATGTGGACTGATCCCAATTAATGGAATCGTGTTTTTAGTTAAACTCAAACCTTTGCTTTTAACAATCTATTTAGCCTGTATGTCCTTACTTTACTTGCATATTTCACAGTCATTATTTGCATGTTGATTTCATTGATTTTAAATACTCGAATGTCATAAAGCTCTTGTGGTTAAAATTGAGTGGCTGTTGTTTTCGTCCCCACTAACATTGAATGCAAGGTTTTCTAGTACAACACTGCATATAACTGGACTAAACAGTGCTGCAGTTTTCCATGCTATCATATTGCACGATATGCACCAAAAGGCATAGCAGAAAATGCACATGTACTTAATGTACGTCGCTATAATATGCTACGTTACACTGAATCATGATGGACAACGCATTATACCTGCATCATACTAAACTACATTGCAATACAACACATATGCACTGCAACTACACTGCAATGTACTGCACTTTTCTGTATTGCAACTTTATTAAAATGCACTAGACCACATTGCACTGCATAGTACTATAGTAAAGTGATACAAACAGTAACAAATTGCATTGATAAAAAATGCACTGAAGACTTGCTATACTGCAACACCCTGTATATTGCAATACACAGCATTTCAATACAGCGCTGCAAGAAAGGAACAAATTCCCACTGTCTTTTACATTTTTTCACATACAAACATGTTTTGCACTAGTCTGTCCAGAACTTTAGTCAACCACCCTGCATCAAACTTCTTTAGATAAGACAGCATTGTATCATTGCATTACAAGGTATCCTTGGTTATTCACTGCACCCAACTAAAATGGATCACTCATACCTCATCGTATACCACTAAAATACCATGCAGGGGCACACTACATCTTGATGAACTATTTCTTCATTTTCTTAATTGCTCTTAAAGCCATTAAACTTCACAGAAAATCTTCCCATTGCACTACAAGGAGGTAAAGGGGTCCTTTAAGAATCTTAGCCTCCTGTTCACAAAACATGGTAAGAGCCTGTAGGGTATTTAATCGCCACTGAAATGTTAGCTTTCCGTAAGAGCGAAACCTGTACAGATCTATTATCATTTCCAATGCACTCCTATTTCACTGCATTGACTTAGTCATATCAAGAGAGTTTTTTTCTGAGACAATTATTCTTGAATTTAGCAGTAGCATTAAACAATGTGTTCCTATACTTACCCATTGTAACATCGGGATGTTAATAGCTTTCAGAGGAGTACGACGGTAACGAAATAATCCTTGTTCCTTTTTCTTCGAGGTAGCACTTTCCGTTCTACTATAAGGCAAGACTTAGTAACACTACTAGAAGTAATTTAACTGGTTCATTAGTGGGAACCTCTATCGCGTGAAGCCAAACCATTGTACGAGTTAATGTATTCAACTACAGGAACAAGAAGTACTCTTGATTACGATTTTCAGGTAATCTATTCACAGCGGTTGAAAACTTTTCCGCGACATACATGCGCATATTGTTTACTATCGCAGGCACTCTTTTATATTAGTCTGCATTGCCCTTAAATATTTCTATCTTCCATATTTCATTTATTTGCCTCCATCAGTGAAATGATGCAAATTGGTCTGCAACATTTTTAAGAATCGTCTCATTGATGGAGGCAAGTTAATAATACATTGTACCCTAACACCCTCACCGGAAACAACTTACAGAGTAGAACATAAAAGACTTCTGATTCAGTTAAATACCTGCTCAAGGGTGTTGTAATTAAATATATGCAAGTGATTAGAATCAAAGGCGAAGGACATGAATAATGTGTAATATCAGAAGTACCACTGACACTTTCAAAAGTGATATGGATACTCTGAGTCTGCTCTCTATTTGATTGTGCTTTTGTGTTTTGTATAACAAAGAATTCTAAGAGATTCTTTTGGTTTATACTGTTTGCACACTCGTCTTAATTGACTCGTTACTGTCGTACGAGAGGAATCTCGTACCTTTTCTTTCAGAGATTTTAATCACGGGACAACATTTGATCGAGCTCGTATGACTACAACACAGAAATTATGTTGCTCGTTAATAGGCCCTTAATCTAATAGAATGTCCGAGTGCTCGTGCGGTCCCATACCGTAATAACCATTAACAGAGACAACGGAACTGAAGTTTTCATATTTCCGCACCACATGAGTACAGTCATCTGCGATAAGCATAAGCACATGCTTATGAGAGGCGAAATTATTCAAAAAATGATAACTTGTTTCAAGAGATCGCTCAATATTAGGGTAGAAGATAAGAAATAAACATGGTGCTCGAGAAAACTTTTTCCGTCGACCCCGAAATGGTCTGTTGTCATCTCTCACACAATATTTCCATCATATTAATTTTGAAAGCAAGTTGTCAAATAAATTTGTGGAATTTTGATCTTCTTTAGTTTCAATTTTTTTTTTTTACTTTTTTTTTTTTCATTTCCTCTGTGCAGCTAGGTCATCTAAGTATTCCAAGCATCATTTTCCTTGCATCACGCACCTAGTATGGCCACTGATTAAGGCTAAGTTATGCCTCAATGAATTTCAGTTTACACTCTCTTTCTTTACATTCTTTAACTTTACACTCTCTTTCAATTTACACTCTCCATCCATGACCAAACCCTTAAAATTTTAAACTATTGGCCTTAGGGCCGAACAAGAAATCTATTTGTGGAACACCCACGTTCAACCCTGAACTACATTTGATTGCGAAATTTATACCCAAAATAGCGACATCAGGAAACAAAGAGCTATCTATAGTAACCAATATTCTAAGCATCTTCACGTAACTTAAGATCAAATCGTTTACCTCGGTACTATTTTTAGCGACGTAATGTCGCAACATATAAATAAGGAGTCTTGAAAGTGTTTATACCTACGTGTCAGTCCTCTCTGAAATCTGAATTTCTGGAGAAAAATTGAGTGAAATAATTCATCAAAGCGAAAGCTCGAAACAAGTGCTTGGTGGACTGGTTGTCACGTTACCGCTGAACCGTTTGAGCATGTTCTTCACGGTTCAAATGCATTCATTGGCTGATGTTGTGATGAAGTTACGTGACCGAACTAGCGTAAGACATGTTTACTTTTGCCCCTAGGCTAGCATTTCCTCGACTTTATCGACTCCATTGTGTTTTTATTTCAATTGATCACGCAAACTGAGATAGAATTGGATCTAGACACGTGTATCTACAAACTAGGAATCTACACAAGCGCGCAAGGATCACTTTTGATCACTTTTTTTCACTCATTGTGATCGATTGTGAATATCACAAGCAAGCCAGAAAGTGAAAACTTCACGTCTCGTGGTTACGAACTAATATGCATAGCTTTCATACTCTGATGACCATGATCATTTCGCAAATTCATTGTTGTTTAAGAGCGAATATAACAATGTGTTAAAGAATGAAAATATTCAGTGAAACGTATTTCGTAACAATTTAAAACGTCCGAATGAATCGATGGCAACTTATGATCTAATTTCTGCAGACTGCTATTGCACTCCACTCTCTTGGCTTTTCGGACTGCCTGTGTTCAATGCTTTATACATAAACGTATCATTTCGTCTGGTTGTGTTTCCCTCGCTACATCAAGTACTTGTGGTGATTATTTACTAGAACTCTAATTAGAAAAGTCGATCAGCATCCACTTATACATTTAACTTGACAAATGTAATATTGAAATAGTTTTCAAGAACTCGTTTCAGGAAAATAATGAAACTTCAATAAAACAGTTCTGACTTATAAGCAAGATACATGTCCGCCACCTGTATGATTGACATTCCGATACACTTCACTGAAATCCAATTTTTTTAAAAAAATTCTGGTTTAGGAGACTTAAGGGAATCGATAGGTGCAAAATTCGCAAGCTCTAAATCGCTTAGAGAAAAGACTTATTTGACGAGTGGGTTTGTACGTGGAGTCCTGTGATCTCTCGAAGAAGTTAGCGGACAACAGAAAAAGCACATTAATTTTCCTATAAAGATGATTAAGAAAATGACATTAAGAAAAATACAAACTTTCTGAGTAAATAATAGATATATTTTATATCTGCGACACTTTCTGTTTTGTTGTATAACATTTTGATCCAAACCAAACGAAAAAGCAATCAATTGTGGTCAAATAAACATAAACCTAACCTGTGCTACGTCTCACAGCTTTGGGCGCCGCAAACTCCTACGTTGATGCTATAAGTAAAAAATATCCAAAGGAGAGCTGCACGTTTTATATGGAAGAACTCTAAATTCTCTTGCAAGGACAGACTCTTGAACCTTAACCTCCTTCCTATCAACTACTGGCTGGAATATCTTGAATTATTATTTCCCTATAAGTGTATTTACGGAATTATTGATATTAATTTAGATAACTTTGCTCAATTTTGTAGTGGGCGTTCCAGTCGGGGATCTTCTGGGCTTTTTCTCAACAACAAAACCGCTAAAACATCTCTTTTCCGTGATTCCTTCTTCACCCGAATAACTAATCTGTAGAATGCATTACCCATCACGATAAGATCGGAGGTAAAGTTAGTTACTTTTCAGAAAAAAGTTAAAATGGTTTTTTTAAAATAGACTAAGTTCAGTGTTCAATCATGATGACATTCGTTCTTATAAGTTAGTTTATTCGCCGCCGTGCCAATACTGCAACACGTTGTTCTCGTTAATTTCTCATATATTTTTCTCTTTTTCATTATTATTTTTAATGGGGTTCCAAGGAATGAGTTTTCAATTTTTCAGGGGAATGGTTACGTGGTGTGTTTACCCAGCAGGGGACCTAGGGTTCTATTGTATGCCCCCCTGCCTCAGAGCGAATTTTGTAAATAATTAAATTAATAAAATAAATAAATCGAATATACTTCACCATCATCAGCTAAACTCGTTAAGATCGAGGAAGCAACATAAGTGAGGTAAATATATATAGATAATATCCGTGCGTCATAAAAATTAAACCAAGACGGAGGTTCGCTAACCGTATTTGAGGGTGAAAAAAAAAGACCCATCATATGAGATATGTAAAGTGAAAACGACAAAAAGTCCCATGCGCATCTCGCATTCGAAACTCCCCTCATAAACACCAATAGCTGTCATGCTCGAACATCAGACTCGTCGTCACCAAGATAACTAGCTGATTGTACGCGACTTATGGTTGAGGGTCCCTTACTGAGTCTGTTAAAGGAAGGACCTCGATTTACCCTCGCCTTGCTTCCTTGATGAATGTTCAGCGAACCTGTTTCGTCAGATATATAGTTATCGTTAGAGTAAGGTCCTTTGGATGAAGCCAATATTTTGGCTTTTTGATGACCTGTTAGACAAACTGCACTGTTCCAACGCGGATTTGAAGGAATTTTTCTGCTGGGGCTACGTTGACCGCGACGCCTGAGTTCTTGCAGTGAGGCAGTACTATCCACATTTCCTTGCCAGTTACTTCCATTTCTTGGTCGTCGGTCATACTTATTACCTTCAATTGGAATTTCGTCGGCAAAACGCACGCTTGACAAAGATGCATGCGATCGTCTTGAGTTACGATGTGCCTCTACGCTTCCTGATGAATCGGATATTTGATAAGCCTCAGGGAAGTGTGAAGCATCATGTTCTGGAAAGAAAGAATCTACAGCATCATCCTCAAGTGAAGCAAGCCGACTAGAATAACGAGGCTGGCTCTTCAAGTTTCTTCCACGGTTATTCGCTTCTGAATTCTGGTCCCCATGGTAAAAACGACCCTCTTCTTCAAACACAGAATCTTCATCAGGATTCTCGTAAGATATTGAGCGCCGAAGGCTACGAGACTTGTACTCTAACGAGCGCCGAAAACCATACGAGTCTGGTCTTTTGGAACTCTTTTCTTTGGAGTGTTTATCTTTTCTATTTTCTATAAAGTCGTCTTCCAGGCCTTCATATGAAGAGGTATTACGAACGTTTCGAACTCTTGAGTCTCGGGTGCCGTGGCGATCCCGGACAATTTCAACATCACGGCGTGATCTTGTCTTCTCATAACTGTGGACCGAGTCAAGATCTTGACTGCTCTGACCTCTATCCCTTTCATGGAAAGGAACCAGGCCCCTATAGCCGCGTGCATTGCGTTCTCTTGGATCTTTGCTCCTATCCCAATCGACTGGATCTCTACGCCCTGAACCTCCAACTTTTGAATAACCTCTACCGTCGAGATCTAGTCCTTCACCGTATGGAAAGTCAAGCGAACTACTACGTCTCCTTCCCCGCTCGTGCAAGAATACCGGAGTCCCAGATTCCTCAGACGTTCCAGCTTTTGGTGATACTGCATCTTTGGTTAGATGTTCAGGGAAAGAAACCGTCTCCTTTATTCCGTGACTCTTAGTCTTTCTTGGATCTTTTGGGATTTCTTCACAAGTTTCATCTCTGGAGCTTACCATAGCCGGCCTGAGTGTTCCTGTGTTGTTTACCAGCTTTGCCTCTTCGCTTGGATTACCTCTGGATGTCATCTCCCCGATTGCTGCGTCTCTAATGTCCTTAAGTGCAGCATCTGGCATGCTAGCAACCGATCTACGCAGTGTATCCCAATGAGAGCTTCTCGGGCTTAATATCCCTGTGGAGTTGGATATGTTCGAAATTTGAGGTTCGCTACGAGAAAGTGGCAGAAAGTTGTCGTCTTCAGTCTGTGTCGACGAACACATAAGATATTTGTATTGGGTGTAAATTAAAGGCTGTGCTTGCTTTCGCGTGCTCCTTGGAGGCTGGGATGAAACGCAATCAAAGTAAATAGAATCGCTGTATACAGATTCTGTTGATCCTTTAAGGGTGCTGCTTGAGGCAGCTTTATCAGTACTTTCTTCACTTTTTTGGCTTGTGGACGCTGATCCCCCTTTCTTTTTATTGACAACGCGAACTACTAACCGAGCCAGTCGAATTGCGATGTGCAACATACTGCCAGACTTCTGACGGGTTTGTTCAACTCCTTGACGAGCTGTCTTATCGACAGTTTGTGCAGTAGATCCAGCCAGATTGGCAGTGCTTTTTACAACACCAGACGCCATTTCAAAGGGAGTTTCGGTCACTTGCTTTTCAAAAGTTTCGCCATGTTTTTCACTAATTTGTAAATTTGAGGAACCTTCATCTATTTGAATCCTTGTCTCGTTCAAAGGAGCTTGTTCAACTCCGTGTTTGATCTCCGATGCACCTTTTCCAATTCCTCTTACTAACTGCCTGCTATTCCACCTTAGCTGACGTTCCACTGAAATAACGCTACTCGCTGCTGCGCTTTGCCAGTCCGTCTCGACAAATCTCTTTCCACGGTCGGCGACATTTAAATCAATAATCACCGATTCATTGAATCCACACGTGGTCGACGCAAGCGGATTGCGGTCATCCGCCAATGGAATGCAAGCACCTGTTATTGCGGGTTTCTTCAAGGACAGCCATTCGCTCTGTTGTGATGTTCCCTGTAGTGATTTCTGCCTTGTTCCCGCCTCCTGATTTTCCAAATCTTTAGATGTTCCTTCACCACCGGTTGAAGTGTTTGTGTCTGGTACAGTTTCTTCTGTGTCTCCATTTTTCTTCTTCTTGAGCTTAGCGATGATACCAGCCGCTAGTACAGCGACCGCAATCACCTTACGTGCCATGTTTTGATTGTTCTCACTGGGATTGACGGAAGTGTTGGTATCTCCTTGTCCTTCTCCAGAGTTATTAATTTCCCCAGCCTCTTGCAGCCCTCCCATTTCTCCAATCGGAAGATTAATATTACTTCCCACTACATCTCCGATAACATCGCCTAATTCCCCGTCCGCTGCCCCACCTTCAGCATCCATTTCTTCCAGCCCCTCAGCTACATCTTCAACAACTTCCATTACATCCTCTAAAGCCTCAAAGGCGTCTGCTAAGCCATCGGGTACATCCGACTCTCTTTTACCTTTTCTCTTTTTTGCACCGAAGAGAAACACTCCAGTCGTCACAATGAAGGAGAATGTTGGAAAGAAAGCCATCTTCCAACCAGCGAAACCGAAAAGTCCCAATACGTCCTTTATTAGTCCCATTGCGGAGTCAACAACAGCCAGAAATGTAACAATTTCAAACATGAATTTGTCAATAACATCTGCAAAGTCCTCCATGATTTGGAGTAATTCTTCAGTTGCCGATGGCATGTTTTCTGGATTTTCCTCAGTGGGAACTAAGTCATCCATAGTGACTGAGATAGCTGGTATAAATTTTTCCTAAGGTTGGATTACTTTTTTCCTAAGCTTGAATGTTCGCGACCTGAACTGAAACTAACAGGTTGTTATTTACAAAACCTCCCATTGCCACATGTACCTCAAGCTTACTTTCACCTGTCATGTTGAAACTGATAATATCATAATAATTTAATTCTGATGGCTTATAAATACAAATAAGTTGCTAAAACAATTACCAGCTATCTGAATCACGGAAACAAACTAAAACCAATTAATACCTATCGTTGTAGCCTGATAAAATATTCATACAGCCGGCAGATTTTGCACGGTCAGTCAACCGCCACCCGCACAATACTCATGTGCCGGCGTGTATGTGAATAACATCCCATGTTTACTTGCATTCCAACAACTTATTAATGACTGGCTTATCTGGCTGCATTGAGGACCGATAAAAAAAAGCAGTGATTGCGGACATAATATTAGAAAGTTAATCGAATCGGGATGAAATTTCTTTCCTTGAAAGTACATGTGCGGTTTCTTTACTAAATAAATATTTTAATAAATATTTTACTAACGGTCTTACAGAAAGCTACTCCTTAGAACATGTTAATTATTTAAACGTTTTTATAATACCTTTCCGATACATTTTTGTCGAAGCTTGATCTAAACATTCAACGAACTTTTATTTTGATTCATTAGAAATTAAGCCAGCTTTCCTAAAGCTATCACTAAGCTAATTGATATATTGTTTTGTGTTAATAATCAAATTAATTAACGTGATTCTCTAATTGTGAAGGATTAACCGAAGATAAGTTCTTCCAATGTGTAAATCCCCCAAGTTTTCAATTCGAATGAGGGTTTGTTGCTTTGAATCTATAATTTTTATGGATAAAGCTGTGTTTAAATGATCGAGAAAACATCATCATCCGACTACATAAAATATTCGACTGAGAAATGAAATTTGAAATATTCGACCAACCTGGTCCCAGATGTTCTTGTAGCCACAAATCGCTATTTATACTTTGGGAGTTAACATGAGTCGCTAGTAATTATCGGCTGCAATTTATCCATAAATCTTGGCCCTCAGCCTCCGAATACTCACTTTCTAATCCTCCAAACATTCGACTAGCAACAATAAACCTAAACATAAATTCTCGTTTGATGCAGAACGACGTAAAAGAGTTTGGCATTTGATAATTATTGAATTTTGGAGAGAAAAGAAATCACAAGAAAGCACTGCCAATTAATCCTTTTTACCAGGAAGAATTTTGTTGTCATTAAAAGCAGTTTTTTTCGTAGGTAATTTGAAACTTGAGAATCTTGTGAGCAGGTAAACTTTACGGCTATATTGCCCCATAGCAAGTTCGCCCCCCTATGAGTTCCCCCAACCCCAACTCGACGAGTTCGCCTCATCCCATGGTAAAATGGTGTAATTGTGGAATAATACAACAAGCTAAACCCCACCTTAAATACACACAATCTTTCATCCTTTTATTGCAGCATTATGTATTCCTTTTCTGGAAAAAAATTATAGCGAAATAACTTATCATTATTTCGTTGGAGAAGGAAAATGTTTTCCGAAAGGAAACGAGTCGAAAATTTCTGGTTGAACTAGTAATTGCACTGGAGTAAATCCTTCACAAACCACACTATGCTACGTGTGGAGCAAGTTAAGCTCTATTGCCGGTGTTTACGAACCTACTTACAACTTCATGACATTTTGTAGTGGTTCTTTACTTGACTGCGACAGTCAATAATCACAAGAGCCCTCTAGGCAGGTTTTGCCAAGCGAGGTCATAGTGAGAGTCATAAAGATGAGTACATTCTTTTATCAAGGGTTAGTAAGTTCTAGTTTACCTGTGGTGTAGACTACTTTCAAACTACTTCAACCAAATAAAACAGGAACGACAAGAGAGCAAACCGTGAGAAAGAAGAAAAGCCAACGTGTCCTCTAGCAGCCGTCATGGTTTGTTGGTAGACTAACGGGTTGACAACCAAAATAGGAGAGAGACTATTTCACAGGGGCGGATAAGGGAATTTTCAAAGGCGGAAGGGGGGGATTTTGATATAATAAACTGTTCACGTTTTAACGGTTATTATTGTCTCTCCTGCACACCTGCCCAACTCCATCAGCCACAGTGATCTCACTTCAGTCACCGCGCACATGTTTGTGACTTGCTGACATTGCTTATGCGACAGTAATTCCATTCCAACAAAATCAAAAGACGAGTTACTTGGGCAAGTACGTCCTGTTGCTTAAATCGCAGTTTTCCGTCATGCACCGATCAATTCGGAGCTCCAACATCTTTCCCCCTCCTAACAACACACAAGTATTTTGAAATCAAGAAAGCCATTTATAAATCAAAAGGCCCTCCAGTGGGTTAAGTGCTTGAACCTTACCTGGGTGGGGTGAGGAATTTGAACCGGAAGCGTCAAGTCTTTTCAGCGGAATACAAATGTTTTAATTTTTAACATGGCGAACTACAACACGGCCATAATCTCAATATTACAGCGGACGGTGACAAGGGAAATATACCAGCTTCTGTCTTTGAATCTTCGGTCAGTAAGTAATCTATTTGTAGAGTGGAAGGGTGGGTTTATGTTAGGTGCATTTTTTTCATACAAGGGTGCTCTTCGCTTACCATCTTGCAAGCCACTCTGACAATGTCTGCAAAGGATTCATTCCTTTAATATAGGGTCAGCAATCATACAATCATGAAAGAAACTGGGACGAAGCCTGGCTACAGCTAGTTTGAGTGTTTCTGAGCCATGCGAGTACGAGTAAATATGGTCTCGGTTAAGCAGATCGCCATCAGCTCAATTGTGCTTGTTTTCTAAGTGAACAGACTGTCAGGCACCTTAAGAATTTCCCTTCCTCGAACAGACTGTCAGGCACCTTAAGACTTTCCCTTCCTCGATATTTCTTTTTCATTATTGTTATTGCCTTCTAACCGCATTATTCTTGTTATCCATCGCTAGCTCACTTGTTTGTTTTCTAGAAACGACTGGATACACTTTCATGACAATTACAGTTCGAAGTAGCTGTTACAGTAACTAAATTTGCAGGTGCATTAAATACTCTGGTGACAGTAAACGATTCATTATCAATGGGCCGGACGTGGTACATAGCAACTCTCTGCATATTTGTTGTTCATCTAATGTATTTATATTTATGTGTATGCACAGCTTCGACAAGGCTACGATAATTCACAGCGTTGCACGCGAATATATTTCATGTAACTTTACGTGAGTAGACTGAATTTGATAAGCCTGAAATTTTCTTCTCGGGGTTCTTGGATTGGATATAAATTATAAAGATGGGCTAGAATTAGCTTTTATCTCCATAAATTAATTTAGCTCTGTGCTTGAACCAAAACTATAAGATTGTCAACCTTTGACTTGAAACCAGTTGTCAAAATTAAAAAGAAAACTTTGGATAAAGTAATCAAGAAAGGAATTATTGTTTATCTTAAGTCAATATTGTAGAGTTAAAGGATAACAAAATTAGTTTAAATAATGACACTTAACTATACAAAGATATTATGTACACTGCAAGATTGTCGAATAAAAACATACTATTTGAATGTATATGCTTCAATGCATTTCAACCACCTTCGAAATCTAAAGATAAAAAATGACAACATCCTTGAAAGGAGATAAGCATTGTAAAAGTTCTCATATATTAGGATCAGAGAGGTCATTCACTCTACAAATAGGCTAACACGGAAAATCAAATAACTCACAGGTACTGTTACTCTGCAAATTCAAGCACCCCCCTTATTAACCAGTCTCTTTCAAACCTGTTAAAGTTTTCAAACCTCCCTTGTTAGTCCTCTATGTAAATAGTGAGTCAGAGAGAAGAATGTTTGTCATAAGTATTGAACATGGGATACTATTCTATGCAAACATATGAAATTTCAGTATTAGAGCTGAGCTTAACTTAAGACATGTTCAGCCAACTAGATTATAGTAACCTTGTATGTAAATATTTGGGTCATGTTGCTGTTTGTGTGAAAATCTTAATGTTACAAACAATGGCTTTATATGAACTGAATTTGTGAAAATAATTAAGATTTGCAACTTGCGTAAGTCATGCTCTCGTTCTTATTATATATATAAAACTAGCACTTATCTAGCACTTGTACAGACTTAAGGTACTTGAGTGCATTAGGGTGCGATAATTTTCCTCTATCTTCAAATCTGAATAGTTAGAATTCCAGATTTAATTGATTTTGCATAATACTGTCAGAACCCCAAAAGAATCTTTGAGTGACACGGGCAAAGTGCTTCTTTCAGATTTCACCAGCATTAAATTATATGGAGGTCATTGTTTGGATAGGCAAGCATTTCCTTCATGCCATATCCAGACCTTATTGGCAGATCCTGTTGTTGGCAGTGTTTTGTTTTAACTCTTTTAAAGACTGTATGATGCTATCCATTAGGTACATGGCTACCCATACAGTGACATAAAAGTAAAGGGTAAAACTAGAAAACAATGCAAGCTGTTTGTTGATGTTTTGTCTTGTAGTTTAAGTGAACCACTATATAAATAAATAAGGCCAACTCAATTAGGCTTGAGATATGCTTGACCTATTGTTGATAAACTAACAAACGCTATAATCAAAATTATGGCGTTGAGGTATGTCTCAAGTGCAAAGCTGGAGTACTTCTTAACCGTTCTCACCTAGACCTTTTGTTACATTTTAAATGGTGTTCAGAGAAAAAATTAATATTGGTGAGCTGGCCAAACAAAAACGGCCGTCATTTGGTGGCGTACGTACTCACGGTAAAAAAATGTAATGTTCATCAAAACAGGCCTCAATGAGAGGTCAAAATTAGTGATGGCTTTCATTGAGAAGTTTTCATTTCCTCTCCTGCTTTGTTTCTATTTTCATCACTCCTATTCTCCTATGTTTTTCGGAGAGTAGGATTTTCACTGAAGGCGAGCCAATATGATCAAGTAAATTGGTTTCATTTTACTGTTTTGCACATTTTCGCCCGCCTGGGTGTTTTCCTTTCTGAAATAAGGTTACTGAATTACGAAGATAGGAGTGGCAATAGATATAGCGTCGACTTATACCTGTTTGTTCCTTTGTTCACGTCCAGAATTGTTTTCCCCCAGTTGGGTGAATCACATCAGTAATCATCTGCCATATATATGTGAGGACTTATGTTTCAAAGTTTCGATGCCGTCTAGTTCTCAAATGAACCGCCATCATATGCCTCGATTCCATGATCATCTCCAGTCTCTATAATTCCATTATTGTCTGGCAATTAGCCAGTGAGGTTGGAACTGATAAGTAACACGAGGGATGGTTTCTTCCATTTTCCCTGTCTGCCACTCAGGTAGACAGGCTATCACGCACGTTCGAAGCTTATTTATCGAAATTTGGCTTTGGATGGTAACTGTCGCGAATTGAATGTAATCATATCCAACGCACGAGCGAAAAAGGTACGAGGTTACGGATTTTAGAGTGGCCAGTGTGGAATAAGTTTAAGTCTTAAGTTCAAATGATTCTTTCCTTCCGTTGGTTTGATTTGGGATAACTTTGAGAAATAAAAAATAAAGATAAAAAATGACAGGAAAACTATCTCCGAAGTAAAAGCCAAATAACCCGAACAGTTCGAGATCGATCCCGGAGCTCCCAGTAACTTAACGGGTCAAGTTAGAACAAATAAACCTTGTTCCTTTATTAGAATAACAGCTACATAGAAAATTAATAACACTCTTATGGTTAAAAAATACATTTTCCTCGACATCTCCTATTGGAAAAAGAAGTTGACCCAAAAGTGGACAAGAGCCTCCGTTTTGGTGTGAAAATTGTTTGAATGATTGTCTTCGGAGTATGGATCTGTCCTGCAAAACGAGCAGTTTCCCGAGAGCGAGGTTCAAGGAAGCTGTCCACTTCGAGTAACATATAATTATCCGAGACAAAGTTAAGAGCATTATTTCCCGCCAAATTAAGCCATAGCTAGAACTATTTTTATTTAACGAGAAATCAGTGAAAGCGTGTTTTTGGACCTGAATATATTCCTTACAAAATAGCTTAAATGCAGTAAATTTCATTTTGACCTACGGATGAAATCTAAGTGCACGAATGGTCCTCGCAAGTGAACAAAACATCAACAATGCAAAAAAGAAGCCTGAAAAAATTCATATTTTAACGGCTTTTTTCAGGCTTTTTATTGGGATTGCCTAATGTAGCCCATATAAGAAGGATCATGCCTGTACGTATGTTTATATTCTATAAATTTATAAAAATACCTACTCCGAAAATATTTTCATTTGGTTTATCAATAGCCTGTTTGTGATTAGTATTTAAATTAATTTTAACATGATTATCCATATCTGGGATTTCGCTCAAAGAAAGTACCCTTGGATTTACTCATGACACCGAAAGTTCACTAGCCAACAACGCAAAAGATAACAAAAATCTAAATAAGTATCGAAAATGTTCTTTGAAGAACTAAAACAGCGCTACTGAGAGTTTGCATACGATCATCTCCGGCTTCAATTTAACATTAGCCTAAATAATTCGGAAACATTTGTCAGCTTAATCCCTGAGGCGCGCGTTAGTTATAAAATAAAATTCCTTTACCGACGTGTAAAGCAAAGGACTTTCCAATGAACCTGAGATGCAAATGTACCAACGTCGAACCTTGAGAAACCACTGGACAGTAACAGTCTCCTATCGATCCAATCTCATACATAAAAAAAGAGCAGAATCCAAATTACTTACACATCTTGCGTTCACCTCTAACAGAAAAGACAAAGCCACACTGAAAAAGGTGACCTTTCCTAGTTAACCAACTATGCTAAACAACAATGACACCTCTTCCCTTTCCCAATGTTATGGAAGTAGTGATTCAAATACCCCGTAATAATAGCAGAGCCCAGTTGTATAAAGGGCGAATAACGCTATCCAACGGTTAAATACTTATCTGGCGGATAAGTGATAGCAAATCGTATAGCGTTATCCACCGGATAGAGTTTTATTCAGTGGATAACGTTATCCAACCTTCGAACAACCAGGGCCTGATCCACTATGTTGTTGCGAAACACTAGTCCCGTTTTCTTTTTCCACCCCTATTACAAGCGTAGCCCAGGGGTGGCACTATCAATATCCTTCTCACAAAGCAAAACTTGCAGACCTTCCTAACGAAACTAAAAATGGCTTCTTGGTTTAGGTTTCTCCGTCTTTCTTCCCTTTTTTCTTTTCACTATCCATCGTCATCCTCGCTGTCAGGCGTTAAAATGGCGTCCTTTTGACCGTACATACTGTAAATATCAACCTCACTGAGATCAAGCTTCGTTAACAAGCTGTTGGGTTGCGTGCCAAGAAGTTCGGCTCCCTCAAGAACATCGTCTCCCTCGTCTACATCGTCAGAGGTTCCACTGGCACCCCTAACACTGATCCACCGCCAGCAGTCCTACAGCAAAAAATGCCGCTCTGAATTCTTGAAGTGTAGTTAAGGACAAGTAAATTTTCTCATTTGCATAAGGCTTACTTTGTTCTCCCAACCCCTCCAAGCTTTTCTTCTTTGGACAGTGAAGGATCACAAAGTGAGCAAACGTAACCAGAATAACTTACTAGTACTTCTCTTGACCTGGCGACCCATAAATTAGTCGGAGTCTTTGAACGCAATTGGAAAGACTCATGCTTTAAAATTCAAAACCAGAATTTAAAGAAGAGAACAAGAGGACGCTTGATAATGAGATGAATCAGTTTCAAATGCATGAAACAAGGCGTGTTAGGAAACAACTCCAACCATCTTGAAAACACCTAACCTTTCATTCTGCATCAACAATAAACTTACTGATAAAACAACTTCCCATCCCTTCCCAAGAGGGTCAGTTGGTGTCACTCTAAAGCGATGCTCAATAGAGTTGCGGTTGATCATCCAGACCTTAAAAGAAATAATCACACCATCAAAATGATAAAATGAATGTAAATAGCTGATACACAATTATTCAGATATAGAGAGATCAGTAAATAAATACTCAGTGTTTATATTTAATTACTCTGGAAGTATTGGTGTGATTTATTGACTTTGCTATGTACCTGGTTGTCTGCTCCAACAGAAAGTGCTGTCACACGAAACTTCTGTGACTTCCATGTTGTGCCTTCTGGGTAGGTGTCGGTGATATTCTGTCGATACCAACACGTACCTAAAGAGTGAAGTCAAACTGTGTATTGACGTTGATACAGTTTTTAATTTATTCTAACGTAGAGGTTGATTCAATGGACAACGCGCTATGAGAAAGGTTACGATTATTCAAGCCTTACTTAGAATTTCGACAGCAACACTGTAGAAGATATCAAGAGCTAAATCAAGGCCACTACGTGCCAGCAGTCAATAAAGAAGGGTTAGATTTGGCACTCTTTATACGTCGGAGGAAGGTTTCTATTAAAGTTGTTATATGGTTAAGAACCTTGTCATAAAAATTAATTAATGATAAGAACAACAGAAAATAGAAGCTATCTGATATCGAGAGTTGACACCTTGCAACTCCTAATGAGGGTTTTTAAAGCATTTTCACCGGCTAATCCTACGCTTTATAAAAGTGAGCTTATTACTAGGGGCCTATTACCATGGGCTCTTGCTATCATATAATTACGGTCGTAGAAAATTGGAACAACTCTCTCGGAAAGGAGTATCAAAATGGAATAAAAGTAAATTCATATAGGGTTAATCTCACATGGATGGTTACAGTGTAGGTCAAATGCACTTCTTCAACTCATGTTGTTTCCACAGAGCTTATCTTCGATTAAACGAAACGTAAATTAAGACTGCTTCTTCGACCGAAAGTAAAGAAAATTCATAAAACTTTGGTTTCTTTTCTTCGGCTTTTTATCTTGTCCTCCCAGGATAGCTCAATATCGTGCTAGTCCCACTCTACTTGTAAAATAATTGACGTAGAGTAATACAACACAAGTAATAACAGTTTTGTAACGCTCGAGTCTATCAGAGTAGAAGGCTCTCACGCACTTAATTTAACGCACTAAGAAAGGGCCCGCTGATAAAACGTGTCTAACCATCCTTCTCACGAGTCCACACTGATGTCTTTCCGGCGGATACTTGATACAAATGGGGAGGCCTTTCACTTATGTGGAACCATCTGCTACCTGAAGAAAGAACAACCAAATGCTATGATGAGTGCCCTTGAACAAAGTCTTACAACGGAACTAACAGATTCTAACTAATAATACTAAATTTCAAACTTCATCTCGTTGAACAGCCGGGAAAGTGCTACAGCTACATGACCACAAACAGCTACTTATAATTCGGCTCACGCCAACTTGTCCCGTGAGACCAAAGACAACCAATATTCTACTTGAATTACTCGATCTAGACAATGTAAGTATAACAGCTGTTGGTGTGAATATTTGTTTACTATAAACATCTAATATATAATGAAATGTTGAGAGTTACCTAGATCTCTCAACACATTTAAAATAAATAGTAATCTTCTCGTTAGATATTATTGGATCAAATGTGGTTAATATTGAAAATATTTGAAAGCGGTTTTGCATAAGTAAAACAGAATTTCACGATATTATGGGAGAATTTTGATTTAACCAGCTGGTAAATGGCTTGATTTTTCCTTCATGTTGCAATCCATACCTATGATCTTATTTTCTCCAAAGCCTGCCCTGAAGTAAGCCGTACCATTCTCAGCTATAACCCACACGCGTCTCTTACTTCCCACGGAGATACTGACAATTGGCAGGTCCGTTAAAATGTGCTCCCAAGAAGAACCCTGTGGAAAAAAAAACTTTCATTCGAAGATAGTGGCAAATTGAAGTACTCACCATTGAGATGAGTATCCTTCTACTTCGATGCATTATGACTACCATGCATTTGGAAAGACGAAAGTAGGCCTCTGATTTTCGGGAAGGAAAAACTGCCGCAAAGCATCTTGACAATATAAATGTTGGGATAAACTGACCACTTTTATTTTGCATCTGTTTTTGCAGGTGTCGAAACATGGTGTCAGTTTTATTTAAACAAAAAAAATACATTTTTTAAAATTCATATCCCGTTGGGTAGCTTTTTCATTCCAATAAATCAATTCACGACAGAGCCGCACGCTTGGAAGTCTTTTATTCCACGCAATGTCTTTAACTCACATAAGATATATACAATTATTATGAGTTTTCCTCACCTACAACATGACATTTTCATATCGCCTTCATAACTAATGACAGGCAGTTATTACTGTTCGGCGTCTCACGGTATTGTACTCTTATCTCCGGTACACATAACATTTGCTCACAACTTTAATGGCAGAAAAAAATGTGACAAACAGAAGGCAGACACCTATAAAAGTCGATGTCAATACTTAGCTTAATGGCCTTGATTTTAATTACGGATAACCGGATAAGGACATCTTTACAAGAAATGTTTCGTTTAATTATCTGAAAAAAAAAATACAAAAAAACTGCCGCTTTCCTACGGCGTGATGTACTATACAATCCATTGATAATGGCTTTTTCTAATACAAACTGAAGATAAACTACTTCCTTGCCTCAGGGAATAATCTTTCCTGGTCCTTTCGAGAAGAATTCACCTTTTTGGATTTTTAATAATATATATATTCCATTACTTTGGTCATTTACAAGTCCTGGGTTGAAATAGGTAATACAACACAACTGTAGGGCCAGAATGTCTCTAAAAGTCATTTTCTCTCTTTCCACCAGATATTGATAAAAATTAGCGAGATTTCTGTATGAAACTTTTCATTACATATCAACTCAATTGTGAAAAGAAAATAAATATATTTGCGAATGCAAGACAAGATCTGTCGCCTATGAAAACCTAAAGATATTTTTTTAAAGAAATGTTGGCATTCATAATCGTAAAAAGAACTGAAACATGTCAAATAACAGAAAATAGACATTAAAAAAAACTTCACGATGTTAAAACAAATTTACCTTAAAATTTATCATTCGGGTTTCAGTTCAAGACGAAGCTCTTGAAAATTGTAATAGGAAACTTAGCTGTTAGAAAGTCAGTATCTTGAGCTCGATTTTTCCCGAAGTTTCGTGTAATGTTGAAGCACGCAAACAACGGAATTTTATATAAACGACAGAATTTGAATTCATTTAGCTATTACAATTATTGAAGGAAAAAAAACCTAATTGGTTCTGTCAGAGAAAAAAATACATGCAGAAAATTTACCTGCAGTTGATATAAATTGTATATTACTTGCAGCTAAGACTGCATAGAGTTTCTCTAACAGCTTGTTTAACGTCCTTGATTTTCCAACAGTACAAGACCGGATTCAGCGCTGAGTTAAAATAAAGCAGTGTTATCATGTAAGAATGAGCGATTATTATGGCTTCATTGCCACCGAAAACCGCCCAAAGAGCTGCAACAATCATATAAGGAAAGGAGCAGATCAATAGAGCACAGTAAACCCACAAAGCAGTGCTGACAGTTTTCCTGTATCGCCTTATACTCAACGTCGAGCCACTTACAGTGCTAACTGTACTTGTGCTCGCTTGATCCCAGGCAATCGTCCTTTCTTGCCGTCGATTGCTTACCTGGCGAAGAATTCTGTGAATGGAGGTGTAGCTGTACGACGAAACCATGATACTGACAAACACACCAACTATTTGCATGATCATAAATGTCTTTCGGCTCCACACACTTGATGTCCCAGCTATGCAACATGTAAGCCACGTTACTGCAACAACAACGCGAGCACGGTAAAGAGAAACGACCTCTCGGTATCTAATCCTCAATCGAAGCGCCAACAACCGATCAACGCTGATCTCTGCGGTCGTCAAAAGAGATATACCGCTCAATGTGAACCCAATTACATCCAAGTAAGGTAACACGCTGGAGCAGAGTACTGCGTTACCCGTTGCAGAGGTAATCAAGTACATCAAGTTGAAGGGTTCTACCAGTAGGCCGACACAAAGATCGCTGGCTGCTAATGAACAGAACATAGTTCGCGATGGTGGATGAATCGAGGAAACTCCGCGAATAACCCACAAGATCAGTAAGTTACCAAACAACGCACCAAAAAGCAAAATGAGATTCGCAACAGAATTCAAGATCAGAGATGGAACAAAGATGGTGCTGCGAGAAATATCATCTAAATCAGGGCATTGTTTCATGTTCAAAGATGGTTTGAGGTGTTCAGAAGTCGATGAGTTCATGTCCGTCTCTTGACAGTTATCAAGTAAAATAAAGTAGTGTCGTGTCACTTAACTTCTAGATCCAGTTTTAAACCAAATTTATGGCTGATGATTCGCTCGTTTTCGTTTGAATTACACAAGTGCTGAGAAAATCATAAATTTCTGAGTACTTTTGAATCTATCTTGAACACCACCTCATCAAAACTGTCGTGTAAATTTTGTTGCATTTGGTGATGTGTACTGTTTGAAGTGTCGTTTACAATACAATGTTAAGCAGCCCTACGGCAGTATGTAAATTTGCTCCTTAATATCATAAACCAAACACACCTAAATAATCTGGCACAAAACTACGTTTATTTTAATCATACCGCAGGGATCATCAGAAACAACAGAAGTCGCGAAGGAAAGAATTTCCGACGTCTTAACTAACACAACCTTGTTAGATTTGTCCTATTTGTTTTGCGCGAGAAAAGCGCCAACTTCATCTTTACAGCTTTTAATTTAAAACAGAAAAACTTCGAGAATGTAAATTACTTTGGCAGCGAAGTTGGACTTACTCCTTTCATCCACCGAAGATAAAGCAAAAATGGTAGAATGGTAGAATGGTTGAAGTTACTTAAAGATAACTGTTCAGCTTTTTATAAGTTTGTTAACAACGTTATAACGGCGGCGATATCACAGCTGTAGGTGACATTACGACTGGTCTTATTCATCATTACGAACAATTTTACGCAGTCCACGTTTACGATTCCTAGTTACTGAACCGTTTACATATTTATTAAAAACATTGGTGGAAGCTTTACATATTGATTATACGCCCAACAGAAGAAATGAGTTCTTTTCTCAAAACACACCGAGAGAGATAATAAACGAAACATCTAGCCCCTTGGAACTATTGTTTTTGGTTTCCTCAAAGCATGATCCAAAGAAAATAAACGAGATAACAAATCAATACAGTATTCAGAACATTTTAAAGAAAATAGCTGATACCACCACCTGCCAAAAACTCGTTTTATCCCCGTTAAAACCAATTATCGTACATGACACTACCCCAGCTTGGCTTTTCAGCAATTATCTCAGTTAAAGTTGCTATTATTTCTAACTTAACTTATGTAGTACTTTCGATCGGTGGAGCATGACTGAACCAAATGACTACATGAAAACGTTGTTTTAATGCTATCACCTTGCACACGAGCCTATAATTGAGTGCTGACCAAAATCAACTTCAATTTTTACCATTCTTTGGAGGGTGCATGAATAAAATAACGAGATAAAAACAATCTTGAGAAATACCTAAAAAACATAAAGTAAAGATAACCTCGTAAGAATTATCTGCTGCAATAAACCAAACAGCTAACTCGACTGTGAAACTTTGCGTAAGAAAGTATTACGTTCAATTCGTTTTACTATTTGAAAAATTTGAAGTTACTACTGAATTTTCATTTCTCTTTAAGCAGACTGCCGAGTCTGATAATTAACAACGAAGACAAGGCTTATAAACAACGGGACCACATTTCATACAAAAAAATGATTTCTTCAGGTGAAAAATAATAATCAGGCATGTACTTGAAAGCCCTCAATTCCCCGAGTGTACCTTCTCCCTTTAGCTATCGGCTCACAGCGTAAGTTGCCTTGAGTAATATAATCTACGAAGATTTGTTTTTAAAATGATGATTTTTTTGGCGTTCAAAGAGCACGGAATGCTTAGCTGGGGTCATATTTCACTATTTTGGTACAAAAACCAAATTAAACAGAAGTACACTTCCCATCTACAACATGCTGTGAATTCCATCTCGACTATCTTGGGCACAACATCTTACTGTCAAACTAAACAGATAATTAACGCTCACAAATGAGCTGGCTCTCGATGTGTGGCTTCATTGTGGCTCAGTTGGCAGAGAATTGTACCGGTATCACGGGGCTAATTGGTGCAAATCCCATGGATCTGTAATTTTGCATTAAACGAATTCAGAATTTAAATTTTTAATATTGTCACTTATTGGCCAGACGCCTGCAGGTCAAATTATGCTTTCAAATAGCGATTTCTTTGGCGAACGTTCTCCCTGGTTGTCGTCTTGACTTCAATTTAGAAATCAGAAAGTATATTAGACGATTTCCGCATTGACCAACAAATCATCTCATTCTGATAAGATACCGTAACGACAGATGTAAGAATCCGCGTTCGAACTAAAAAGAGACAGAAGAATGCAAAAGATGAATTCCAAGACACCTTAAATGTATCACTGCAAAAAATATCATTGCTTTTACTAATCATTGTTGACCGTTTCTTTGATCATAGAGATGATCTGATCGTTAGAAAAGTGTTTCCCGCTATTTCCATCGCTTTCTCGAATCGGAGAGACGCGTACGCTTATTTCTCGAACAGCGGCGGGTTATTAATAATCATACGAGTGACTGACAAAATCGGACGAACGCGAAGCGGGAGTCCGATTTATTAATCACGAGAATGATTACGAACAGAATTTGACGACACGAAGTCCTGTTACCAATTAATCAAAACTATGACAAAATTTGAGAAAGAAACTAGACTTCGCTTCTACGTTTTCCTAAAAAAGCAACAATTACCTAGGCGTATTGCGCGACAACAGCGCGCGCACATGACGCGTACTGTCCTCGTACACGAGTATGCTGTGTTAACTGTCCTATTACACTGGCCAATTACAAGCATGACGCCTACACTGTCCGATTGGTGCTCAAATCGGGCTGGTGATAACCAATCGCTTTCGAGAATTTTGTTAAAGTTTCGATTAAGCCTATAGTTTGATTTATGTGCAAGATAGTGGTTTATCCTGCAAATGGACTTGTCCACAATATCGACATCCTGGACGTGATAAGAATCGAAAATATGCTCAATTACCTACTATGGCCAAATGGACCGAACTAAAGAAACTTTGACTTTTACCAGTCACCACTGCAGAAGCAATGCCGTTGGCAAAATTCATCTTGTTACATATACTTGGTAAATCCTATGATATGAGCCACGTTTATAAATTGTAATCTAATTTACCTGCGGACAATCCTCGGCTACCCCATGTCGATACAAAACATCACCTTTTGTCCCAACCGTCCATAATGCTATGGAGCCATCCAGTAAATCAGATTGAATTGATACGTCACGTAGTCTGACTTGAGGCGTCACTTGAATCCATGGCCCAGTAGTAGTCAGTTTACATCGTCTTCGGTTAAAAGAAAGATAACTATCTGATGTTGATTCAACGAGACACAGTAGAAAGCTTTTTCCTTACTAGTACAGTTACGAATACCCCGCCTCACCCAAAACCTGCAGCAACGACAAATTAAAAGTTATAATAATAACATGTACAGAGATAATGCCAATAATATGATGGTGATGATGATGACGTTCATGATAAAACATTCAAACCCGTACATTCGCCCAAAAGTACTACTAACAGTGATTTCGGGAAATAAAAATGGATTAAATTTTACTTAAAAATTATTAATAATTCTATTTGAGTTGATCTGCTTTAAGTGACCGTTCAATGCAGGCGGAGGACAATACAACAGGCCGTAGGGACCACAACCGCTTGATAGAGGTGACCGCTCAATAGAGATTAAAATTACTGTGAGTAATGGGAAACAAATTCGGGAGTTTGATAACCGACCGCTTAATACAATGCCACGTGATACAGGTTCGACTGCAGTGAAAATAATTCCGATGATTGTAATAATAACAATCATCATCATCATAATTATAACTGTAATTATAATAGTGGTAACCGATAACAATATCTTCATTGTGTGTAAATTCCGTTCAGTCTCAAGCCTCCATAAGATAAGTCGTACTTAAATCGATCTGTGATTTTTGAGGCTGAGCACCCACGTGATAGCTGCGGTTGAAGTTTTACCAACGAATATATTTATGAAAAAAGAAAACATTTTAAAAAGGAAGCCACAAAAAAAAAGGAAAGGAACTCAGACCTTTTCCATCGTCTCCGCCTCACATAGTCATTCCAGCCACGCTCTCGGCGATAGGTTCTGAAGAGGAAAAAAGGCGGGGTCACATTCCAGGCACAGTAAAAAACAGCAGTTTAGAATATTATACATTTGTTTGGAGAGGAAATGTTTTCTTTTTTCATATCCCAACTGGTTTATCTATCTTAAGTGGTTTTAAGGACAGAAAACGATGTATAGCACAAGAGATTTGCATAAAGACGCCCAATTCAGTGAGAAAAGTACTGAACGATTTCCATCATCGTATTCAGCAATCACAATTCAAGCGAAACACTCGACCCTCCCTCACCGTCTATGACAGAAATTCAAACCTTGGAAAATCTACAGCATACTGCCAGCCATCTTTATCTGTAATGTTAGGTTTTGTCTCCACTGTCCATTGTTCATCAGCCCACTGCCACTGACTGGATGGAAGCACGTACCCCTCCCTTGTCCGTTCATACACTCCGCTCTCATCACTCCAGTTCCACCGGTCACTTGGAAGGCGCCTGCCGAGTAAGTGCCGAGCAATAAAGCCAAATGAAAGTAATGCCACCTTACAGCGAGTGTCTACGTAGAAAGACATGGCGATGTATCCGTCACAGAGGTAACCCGATCTCAGATTTACCTTACAGAGTCTCGGTTAAAATCCTCTCACTTATTAACCCCAAACACCGTAACATCGCAAGGCATGTTCTCCATACTATTTCTACACATTTCCTAAGGTGCTGACAAGGAAAATTTTTTCAACAATCAAGAGCTTGTTTTGCTGGTGATCATTTCCCCTTTATTCTCGTGACCTAAATGTTTGATTTAGGGGTGATATTGTAAAGAAAAATGACCGTGATCGACATCACAGTAACAAGTCGAAAATTGAAATGTTGAGATCACAAGACAAATGAAAAATATTGAAATGGTGTAACTATTATTCTGCATAAGACAATAAAGGAAACATAACGTAAAGGGGGACTGAACCTTTTACTGAGAACCGATGTTGATAAAAAGACCAAGCTGATTTACCTATCAGAGTATCCTTCCAAAGGGTTCCATCTCTGATTCTCATAAATATAATGACAGTCATAATCCTCCTGTTGATGAATTCCAGATACACTGCTGTCAAAACCACTAAAAATACCTCCGCCATATCCCCCAGAGTAGTAATACGGCACTCCATCAAAACCAATTGCCCACACTACCCCCATCACACCGGCTTCTACTTTGCGCATATGACCGCCAACTTGCCGCCAAAATAATTGAGCTGGTTGGATCTCGGTTTCTGGTGGAGGCGGCTCGCAAAAGAAAACGTCACCGCAGAGAGATATGGTCCAGATGGCCCTGGGTGAAGCGGATCCCTCGCAGTTATGTACCCGTGAGGCAGCACTGGACAGTGTTGTGACCCAGTCAATGAGGTCCTTTTCGGAACCGGTATGGATCACCAGAGGGTTTCGTTCTTGAGATCTTAGAGGCGTGTGAACAGCGAAACAGTGATTCCGCGACATTTTGTGAATGGTACAAACGCACTTAATGTCTCGCAAAGGAATCCGCATCTCTTCATACTGAGAGTTTTTCTCGTAGTAGCAATGCAAAGCTCCTGGCCGTCCCTCGGATCCTAGGTCGAGTCTCACCATACACTCGTACCACAGATTGGAATCTGCTGCTAGCAACATCTGGAAACGAGCCTTTTTACACCATTCACCCTAATACGAGTTTTAAGAAGGAAATGTTACGACAAAGAAAACGCAAAAGCCGTCAACTCAGCGATTCACTCTATATTACCACTCCACTTTACCAAGTTCAATATCAAACCATTCAACACAGCTTTTTTTTAACTTTCACTGACCTGTGAGATACCTTCCTCGTACTTGTTGTCGCGGCCTGTTTCCTTTTCGTCTCTTTCCCGCAGTCGTTTTATTATGCTCTTCCTCCAGGCGGCATTCCTGCTATTTAAACTTATGAGATTCATGCTGCTGGCTGAGGAAACCAGACTGCCGCTTATCTCTGTGAATATCGAAGAGTCCACCTCACAAGCTCCACTGCTCAGCCAAGTCAAGAACTCGATGTTGGACGGTAGGTTAGATGGACTGGCGAGACTGAAGCTGTCATCAGACTCAGTGAAGACACCTTTAATAAGGAAAATCTCAGCTGCAGTGCGTAAATCTACCTTTACATCACAACATCACACTTCCTGAGCTCAGTCTAAAGAACATGGTCAAAACGGCAAACGCATTGTAGGGCAAGATTAGGTGATATTATATGTTCAGTTCCATTGGTAATAAAACTGACGAGATGCATCTACCGCATAAAAATCGAAATTAAATCCTACTAACGACGAGTAAGTACCTTGAGTTCTCACTTGCGTTCTTTACAGGCTGTCTGCCATCAAGCTGTTGGTAAAAACCAGGGTTTTTGTTTTCGGACAACAAATAATGAGCAGTTCTAATCTTATAATCTTACTTTCATTATTTTCAGCAGAGCTGATGCCTTCAGAGCTGACTGTATCCAGGCTGGTGGCTTCGCTGCATGATATCAGGGGTCTGCTCATGTGCACGACCTTCCATGTCCTTCCTACCAGTTCATCAGACGTCACATCAGTGCGAAAATAAATGTGGTCACCCAGAGAACTCAGAGCAAAGACCTAAAAAAAGAAGGTCTTCAACATTGAGTATGTGATGAATTTTACTGTCACTGGTCCTAAATCTGTCGAAACTTAAGGGAACCAATGGTTTTAAAATGACATAAAGATATTTGACATGAAATTTTGGTAGTTTTTAAAAGTTCTAAAAATCATTTGTAGGTTCAGAACTACAATAATTTTTCAGTAACTCATGGTAACTCTTTTAAAAATGTTGCACAAAGATAAAACTTGACAAATTGATTTCAAAAGCAAAGTAACAATCTGAACAGCATAATATACTTTCTCTTTCTACCAACTTTACAACATGTTTTATCAACATGAATAAAGATCATTACACTACATCAACTAGTCTATGAAATCACTCATAGAATCCCAGCTTAGATAATGTTTATGTGAACCCAAAATTTCTACATTGTTGACATAACAAATAGAGATCAGTAAACTCCCACTTACTAGTCTATGAAATCACTCATAGCATCCTAGCTTTGTTATCATTTATGTAAACCCCAAATGTATACTTTTTTGACATAACAACTCCATATCAGATTACACGAGACATTGACATGCTCCTCACTGATAGCCATTACCCACCTGGTCATTTAAACCAATGGTAATAAGAGAAAAATTTCCAACCATTTGCACCCATCTGGACCCAATTACAGCAGTTTCTTCATCACTTGCCCTTGACAAGCCTTTCCTAAACCAAACCTGAGAGGCAAAACATAAGCATGACTGAACTGAGCAAATAAGAGTGACTACATTAAAACTAAGATTACAAATAATCAATAATTGGATCACTGTCCACCAATGGATGATAATGGTTTTCTTGTAAAGTGGTTGGCTTGGGTTGTTATGTAGTGATTTTTAGTGGAGGCAAAGGTAATCCCTTGTCAAAAACTGATGCACATGATATGTTGGCAAAAATAATGTTTTTCCTACATTTTCCACTTCTGTTTTCATTCGTACAGTTGTCTGGGATTGAATGTACAGTGGCTTTATTTATTGTGCAACACTTACATTCCTACATTTGGAGATATGATGTTGAGAAATATTAATTAAAAAAAGAAGATTCTGAATTATGACAAGATGCACAAGCAGAAACTGTAAGTCATGAGTTTTTGGTAAATTAGCAAACTGATTAACATCAAAAGTACACATCTCTACATGTGTTTATGAGAACATCATTCAAGTGGACCACTATTCCACAGCAATCCTGTCACTGAATGCTTACCTGGCCATCTTTGGTTAAGGCCCACAGACTGTTCAATCCAGCAGAAACTTGTAAAAGACGACATGGTTCCAGTTCTGGTGATGCATCTGGGGGAGCAATTTTTTTCCAAGCTGTCCCTGTGCAAATACATCAAAGAGTTCATTTATTCTTGTATTGATTAACTTAAGGTTGTACAGTAAAGCATTCAAAATTGACTAATGAGACAGAAAAATAAAACAACAACTAGCAGACTTTGGGACTGTTGATTGTACCATAATAATTATTGATAATTTACCCCTTTTGGACAAGCTCGTGTTCAAAGGGACAAGGCACAAGGAGTTTTGTGTTTCATTTTGTGTCAGTTTTCACTTTGAGCATTCATCAGAGATTGTGTACTGTTTCATTTTTCTTTCCACCCACCCTCCCACCCTGGGTGCTTTTTTGTGATGTCATAGGTTGGCAGAGAGGTTTATTAGGCATATCATTGGCTTTTGTTTACTGTTGGTTCATATTCTTAATAAACTTTTCTCTGTCCCAAAAAGTGAATTGTGTTTTATTTTTGTCAGAGGGCATAGTTGGGGAATTATTGTAGTAAGATATCTAGATGTCTATGCAAAGTTGATGGTTTGTGAATGCTTGTGATATAATTCAGTGGGAATTTTCTCCTCCCTTATTCTGGCTAAGTTCTGGTCAATCTTTTATATTTCACATATGTTTGGTGCAAAATCTTTGTTTGAAAGACAAGAAAATAGTTTTTTCCTTGATCTTACATCAAATGAATTAGATTTCCTGAAAGCCCTCAAATAATTCTCTCCCTTCTTACCAGTTGGTTCATAGAATGTGACTCCAATGCGAACCACAGCCACACCTTGCCATGTTACTCCCCATACCACTCCTGATGGGCTCACAGACAGCTGAGTGATGCTGACTTGGGGTGGGGGAACCTCTATCCACTTTTCACCTTCAGGACATTTCTCAGACACTCCAGAACGGTAAATAACCTTTAGGTCATGTCACATGCAAAATAGGACAGCAAACTTCTGTGAATATTTGAGAGTAGTCCATAAGTTCCAAATAACATATGTTTGGTGGATTTCACTCCTTTCTTAGGTATATCCAGAAAACACTTAATTTTATACATTTTTGTGGTGAAACACATAGGGAAAATTTTTTAAGACTGAAAGGCACAAAGAAGGAAGAACATGTTAATTACAACCTGAACTTTATGCTTATGACTTCTTGCCCTGAGCTCTTTTAAACTTGTGATCAATTATGAAGCACAAATAACTGAAAAAGAGGAAGTGTTTGAGCTCCTACAGGTCCTTCCAAAAGAACTTCAAAAGAATAAATAAAGGGACACTGGGTTAGGATTGACCTACTTTCTTCAACAGAACAACAAGGTTGGAAAGTTACAAAATGATAGCAGTAAGTTCAAACCTTTCCCTGAAATGTAACAGCCCACACGGCCAAATAACCGGGATCTCTTCCAGGAATAACTGTGCCACCAATGGCAATGTCTTGAAGGGGATCCTTTCCTGGGTCTTCACTTAAACCAGGAACCTAGAGAGGGAGGGAAAAACAGAAAAATGAGAAGTCTCACTATGGTAGACCTACTTCTGTGTTTGAATCTAAATTCAATTAGAAACAGTCTGAAAAATTTAAATAACAACATCACTGCTCTTCTTGAAATAGATGAAATCAAGGGAGGTCAAATCTCCAAATAGGTTAGACATATAATTAATGATACACAATAAAACAAACCTTTAGGATTAGGAGAAACAAGACACACTTTGTGCATGACTATCAAAATAGACTTGGAAGCAATATCAAAATGGTTAATCTGTCAGCCATATGTAGGTCTATAACTCTTGAAATGTACACCTCATTCAACATTAAATTTATCCCAGAGTGAAAATGCTACCAGAACTGATTACATATTTGAATGGCTAACAACAATAACACTCACTTTTCACAGCCTGAGTGCAATTTAACTTCTGCTTACAAGGCTTTAAACGTCACTTAGTTCAATGAAGCATTTTTGCGGTAATATCACAAAAAAAGTTTTGTATTCCTGGTCATGAAAGTATAATCACTGCCAGGCTTTCAGCCAATCAGTGGCTTTTAGAGTGACTGGTATCTTGCATGACATTCCAATGTGGCCTAAAAAGGTACAAATTAAGTAATTGTCACCTTAATCCAGCGGTCATAGCCATCAAATCTGTAGTATCTTGACCATAATCGCCTTCTTACACAAGATGTTTTACTCTCTTGAGGATGATAAGCTCTTGGGAAATCAAGAGCATATTCCCAACCCTTGCAGAAAATTATGATAACAAACAAAAATCAATTTACACATGATAATACTATGAGTAGATTAATGATAACACCAAGACAAGATATCAAGCATCAAAAGTACAATGTAATTCAGAATGGTCATGTTTTTACTTTACTGTATTACCCTGTGATTGGTAAAGATATCCTCATTCCACCCTTTTTAGCCATTCTGACTCAAAATTAAACTAACTGTGAATTGATCAATCATATTTTTTTGTATATTAAGCTGTTAAATCAATTATACTTTGAGTTTTAAGTAGATTCTAGTGATATTACCCGTTTTTCTGGTAAGCATTGTAATAACTTTGGTTTTGGTTTTTACCACTGAATCATAGTGCACTCTCATACATCTATCATATTTGCCACTATTAATATATAGTTATAGAGGAAGTGGTCTCTCTCATTCTAGTTTAAGTAGCTCTATATTCTTTAGTTTACTTAGAATAACTTTATTTAACATTACATCCTTTTATTTATTTCATTGTTAAATACTTGTATGTGTTGTTCAGCTTATTTTGGATCTAAGATACAGTAACAACCTCATGTACATGTATGTTCAATTCTTATGTTAAAAACTACACATAGTGTTGGATAATTGTTGTATTATTTGATTACCTCATTATCTCCATCAAGACCACGATCAATGTACCAGTCTCCTTCCCATATCCATTCCACTGATGGCAACTGAAACGAATCCTTCGGGAAAGACTGCTTTCCATCTTTACTGCTCCATGGCCATCGATCAGTGGGTAACATCTGGAATTGGCCAAGATTCATGAACAAATATATTACAATCACTTAGTCTACAAAACACTCCACAAAGGCTTAACATAACCACTTGAAATCTTTTCTTTACCAGTGAGTGCCTGATGTCTTATGGGAAGGACTATTTGTACAGTAGAATCTGATAATTGAAGGGGTTGTAACTAAAGAGTTGAATCTTAAGCAAAGTTTAACGAAAACAAATAACAAATAAAGTATAAATCAATTTAATTGGAAAAATATGTCGATACATACGATACCTGAATGCAAAAAATCACAGGCAGTTGCTCAGTTCGCTTTTTACCCGATAACAGATCATAATAATAACAGAAGGCATAAACCCAGACACTTCCTGTCTCCTTAAAATACCGGAAGTATACAGTGCAGAGTTAATCTGTACTTAAATCCATCAAAAGATGTTAAGAAACAAACGATAAACGTCTCAGTCATCCCCCCTCAACATGTAAACTTAGAAAAATAGTGATTTGAAACGAGTTATAAGACGATCTTACCGATTTTTGCGACCATTTATTAATAATTCCCCATCGCTGATTTTCATATGTTTCTACCTTCACTCTGATGGGAAGTTCAGTTGCGTGAACAAACAAATAAGGTTGTTGACTGGCACTGATTGCCCATGCACACTGCTCCACTGCTGAAACACGCTTAAAACAGTTCCTTGAACCAAGGCCAGGAGTTGAGACGTGCCGCCAAGACTTGTCTCGTAGATCAAATATGAACACTCGTCCATCTCGATCGATCAGCCACAGCCGACTTGTTCCCATCTCTGGATGACCGTTTTTATATCACATGTAGTTTAGTTACTTAAAAAGCATTGCTATATTTTCAGAGAAAGATATTCGTGTTCCATCTAGAGATCGAAATGACGGCAGAAATTCCACTACCTTTCACAAATCATCCACTTACCGAAGCAACAACAATCCCAGGCACATCATCCTCGTTCCCAGAGGCCTCGTTTGTTTTTGGTCACGTGGTTAGAGAAGTAACCAGTCAAGTCGCCCGAAGGATATCTCGCCCTGAGTCATGTCGCCTAAGATGGCTAATCGTGTCGCCAAAAATTTTTTGTCGCGTACCAAAAACTTAAGTCATGTCGCCCGAAATAAAAATTACCTGTAAGATCAGACTGTAAACTGGGGCAGCAAAGTTGATAAAGTGGTGTTCGTTTCCGACAACACTATGAAGACTTTTAAAGTAGTTATAACTACACAAAAACTATCAGGGTAAGGTTTCTTAAAGGGTGGATAACGCTATCCAGCGAATGATTCACTATCCAGTAGATAGGTGTGAAGAAAACACACAGCAGTATCCACTGAATAGAGATTTACTCAGTGGATAGCATTATCCACGCTTTGAACAACTGGGTCCAGATGGCCAACTGAAACATCATGAATATCAACGGCATAACACGATATTTTTTGCGAATGACAGAAACAGTAATATCAAGTTGGATATTTCTTAGTGTGCGTGCATAAACTCGTCCGTATCTTCTTTTTGGACTTTTTTTTTTATAAAGCTATTGTATGGAAGCATATCTGCTCGGTTGGTTTTGCCAAGATGTAAAAGCGATAGCAAGAAGACTGAAAACTTGTTCAGCGGCTTAACTAGCAGTAGCTTTTTTTAACGAGAACACTCCGGAGTGGAAGCGTCTCCCAGTGGGCCTAAATCTTCCATCAAGTAACATCTGAGCAAGAAATACATCATTTCTTCGCACCCATACGGTATCAATCTGGGACGCCCCAGCACCTAGCTCCCAACTCGACAACTAGTAACCTGTGTGTCCCCAAAATTAGCAACCTCACATTCTCGAATCATACCATGAACCAACTCAGACAGCAAATTCAAAATCATCGTCGCCTGGGTCTCACTGAAGATTCTGTCGCTGCCACTTTTGATGACTTAATCCTTCCCAAAAGCTCTTGTTGACATATTTCGGGACTTGTAGATCAGCCGGGGGAGGGTAATGGAAATGTCATGTGTCAGAGATAATTAAGCGTTAATTGATTTCCGGTTGACTTTTGGCAATAAGTGACAGATGATTGAACAATAGCATCATATTATATATTTAAAATGAGAGAGACCAGAGCGTGAGACAGAGAACGGTGAGAGAGAGAGGGAGATTAAGTTGATTTTATAAAATAAAACGTGAAGTTTCGGAACATAGCAGATTCTTTAGTCTCATTTCCGACACATGAAAGGGGCTCCTTAATCTAATGTCATACAGGTTTGAAGACTTTTAATGATAAAAGTAAAACTTTTTCTGTTCTAAACTGAACATCCAAGTTTTCCCAACAAACAGATTCCTTTTTCTTTTTTTAGCAACGATTCTTTTACCGGAGGCCTTCATTTACCTGTGCAGCCAGTTGCACGCACCTTAAAACAATGAAGATGCTCATCACACACATATATATTTTTTTTGATACTCACATGCCATTGCTTTATTCCTACGGCCAAGCCACAGCCAGAAGAAAAGGAATGACTCGCATTTTTTCTCCAATCGATGAGTTTTCAATAGGTGATCCACCTCCGCCCCCCACCCCACTCCCCCTTCTTTAGGCCCTTGAAATTAGTAAACAATGCCGCAGTGTCAGTATCACAACAAAGCATTAACAAAGAAAAACAAAAGCGCAGGAAAAGACAATGGATTAAACTTCTATTACTTCTAATTTTGCATCTGAATGATCGAAAGGGTGACGCAAGTTTGTTAGACCAATCCTTGCAATCGATTCTTGATCAGTCTCGACACTAAAATAAAAATTCCTTTAATTGCGTATGAAATTGGCACTTTTCATTTGTGTAACGTCCAAAAACTGTTAACAATTAACAAATAGAGCCATAAAAAATTACTAGTTTATGATTAGCAGTCGCCGTAAGGGCGCCTCCTAAAACATGATCGATGTGTGGAGGGGCGGGTGTAAGGAGAGACTGGACTCAACAAAAGGGAAATGATGGAATGCTTGAGGTACCTCTTTCTTCTTATTAATATCATTCTGGCTTTATTTTTACTCCAATCACGATCAGGTTGAAAAAGCGCACGGAATATGACTAAATATAACGGAGTTATGTAATAACTGCCCTATTTACCTGTTCGCCCTACAACAATACAATTTTAAAGAATACGGAAGATAAGAAATGAATGCACAGTCTAAGGTTGTTTAATTAGCACAACAGAGTTGTGTTTATGTATAAAAGGGGTAAGTCTCTAAAGAAACTGTGTTGTTGCGTCGGTGGGAGAGTATAACAGGATAATTTGGTTTTATCAACTGGATGGATAACGTAAATTGGCCACCGTAAAGAGTTTCAAAGCTGACGTTTCAAGCGTCAGCCCTTCGTCAGATCGAATCGCTGATAATACTGTTAATAATAATACTGAATTACCCTGTGTTTATGCTTAGTTGCTAGAGAAGTGAATCGTGCTTTGGCGTGACGGCATGATAATTGATTTTAATTGTTTTGCTTTAATTTGAAGACAAAAACGAGTCAAACAAACCTACTGATATAACTGAACTAGAAAATTGGATTCCACAAGCTATAAGAGCTGTATCCCAATAAAAACCGAGAGATTGCTTTTGTGTACTGAGAGTTAAATTCTTCATATACAAGGTATGCGCCTCGATTCCAAGACTTTAAGCGTTTTATTGACGAGGATTAGAAGTTGAAATTGGAACATGCAGATTCTTCGAACTTAACTGTGTGCTGACGTAGGCCATTGCGATTATTGCATATTGCGACATCAAACTGCGAAGTTGATAGTTGGGTCAATATTGATACAACTGTATGGTCCTGATGTTATGAGAGACTACAAACCATCTAGGAACATGTCAAATAATTACTCGCCCAGAAGGCAAAACGGTTATGTTAAAGAAATGGACCACGCTTTTACCCTTATTTTTCACAACATCAAGCGACTTCAGGAAGATCGATTGTGCATCAGTACCTCAAGCCTAGACCGACCACAGCACAATCATCAACAGTCGATGAAGCAGCCAAAGTTTATGACTTTAACGGAAAGGAAAACTTTGGAGCGAGCACGATGCAGATCAGAATCGTCTTTGGAAATGTTAGAAAAATGCATTCGACAGAGAGAAAAGTTTTCGGACCATGGAAGTGAATATCCTTTTTTCAGCTGTGATGAAGATAGCTCATTGCGAAGACGAAAAGTTAGATTTGCCGATGACTACGTAACAAGAGGGAAACTTGTTTATCGCGAATCTTATTTAGCCAAACGGTCAATATCAGATATACACTGACTTGGCCAATTTAAGAATTACTTTTGGATAAACCCACCGTAAAGTAGGTCAGTTGAACAGTAAAATGGATCTTAAGAAGCTTTGAAATAATCGACACAGTATAGTACTGTATTGACTGATACAATATATTGGTAGTCTTGATGGCGTGCTTTTTACTGACTACGAGTGAGAAGTAAAAGTTATGGTGCATTTTATCAAATTTTGTTGACATTTTTAGATAGTTGGGAAAACGTTCAAAGATTACGGCTCATATTGAAATTTGAACATCCACACTGTGGAATTGCTTTCCTCTCAATAATTTCCATGGTGAAACATTTAATAGCCGTCACTCGGAACACACTTATTGATCATTAGACATTTTAGTTATGGGGTATGTTGTTTCAGTCACTATCATCACCCCACAATACTACTTAACCTTATTAACCCAACCAAAAGATTTCCGCCTACAAGTCGGACAAAGTTGCTTTAGTAAGCGTATCTTTAGCTTTTGGCCTTTCCAATCCGTCTGCTATCGTATTAATGCCCAGGGAGAAAGAAATGCTTATCCAAAGAAAGAGTTGTATAGGTTTTTCTAGCACCTTAAGTATATTATACCCTGCGGCCAAGTTTGGTAGCAGTTTGCAATTTGCATAGATTTTTGTCATTTGTTTACAGGTCAGATGATATAAGAGCTAACTGAGTACTTAAACGTGTAAATTTTAGACTTGCTGATGGCGGGCGGTCTTTTGAGGAAAGAAAGAGGGGACCTTGGGGCTGGTTTTAGACGTCTCTTCTGATGATGATAGTGGGATTACGGCGAAAATGAAACGACTTTAGGAGTTGAGGTTTTGCTAACGGCCATTTGTGCACTAGTCGTGCCAATGAAAACATGTTTGCCCTTTTAATGAATAGCATGTTGATATTTTCTTGGCGGCCTATTTGAGGCTTTCAGGAATAGAAAATAGCTGATGTATAACACAATTGTTGGCGTTTACATGTTATGCAAACATTTCATAAACATGACGTTGATTAAGATAGGCATGGGGCAGTCAGGAAAATCATCAAATTTTTCTCAGCCTCCCTTCCCTAGAGAGAAAAACTTTCCTAATTAAGCCTACATTTAAATCTGTTTATTTTTTCGGTCACGCCCCTACTCGATATACCTGAGGAACTGGCTCAAAAGGGTAATTACCAATCACCAGCGAGTGGAGAAAAATAAGTGGTAAAACGTTTATCTGACGTAGTAAGAAGAAAATATGCGTTTTCAGACTGCGATATTGTATAAGGAACAACTCTGGCAACTTCAAGATCATTTCTCAATCTTAGAGAAACAACAGTACAGAATTATTGAGGAGTGACGTGTCTCGGAAGAGGAAGAAGCGTTGAAGATAGGAGTCAGATACAATCCGTTTGGAGACGATAGCATGACCGGTTGTTCAAAGCTAGGTTAAAATAACCCAAGGCTAATTTGTTTCTGATTTTAGATTTAAAAGCTTTAAAAGAAAATTCAGTACCATTGCTTTTGTCCACAATTTGATGATTGGATGCCTAAAAAAGAATTGAGAAAATTATTCGAAAAAGGCTTTTGAACAAAGAAATAAAGAAACTTTGATTAAATTTAACCCTGGGCCCCTAACAGTTAGCGCTAATAGGACTTTGAACAACCGGGCCCTGTTTAGTATACTTATGTGGGGCAAATCAAAGAAATTTACGAAGAGAGGCAGAGGTAGAAAGTTATTTTGAACTGACTGACAAAAAAATCAGACCATTATTAATTTTCATTCAGTTTATTGTGCGGAAAATTACACCTTGTCAAATTTACAGAAAAGAAGTCATGCTTTTAAAACCACTTACTAATATATAGGTTTTTTCATATATCTATGAGTTTTGATCATCTTTTTGAGGACAATCTTTTTCATATAATAAGATATCACTCTTGTACTTCGTATGCAATAGCTATTTAAGAAGAATCATTTGATAAATGAGATATTTGTCTCTGTTGTCTTGATGTACTGCCATCTGCAGATACATCACTCGCCATTCCAAAATCAGCCATCTTCGCGACTAGACCTTTTCCTACTTTTACATTCCTACATGCCAAGTCGCAATGATGGAATTTCTGACCACGCATGAAGGAAATTTAGCATTAATAACAAAGTACTGTGCTGTAACCAGTTTTCTAGTCGTGTACACTTATAAAATTGTCATGTTTTCTATCACTTCAACAACAGTTTTGTCTCCTCAATTCTAATCGATTCTTCTAAACCTTATTTTTTTGCTTTTTGTTGTTATTCTTGCTTTTCTAGTAGTTATGCATCATTTTTTTCTTTTTTCCTGTCCCATTTAGCTTTGCTTTGTTTTAATATTTTTCGTTTTCAGTGTTCTCTTTGAACTTTTTCATTTCGCTTGCCTCTCTCTCGCTCAGTTTGTCTTTTGTTTCTTTCTTTCGAACTTTTCCATCACTTTTCCATCCTCTCCTCCATCAGCTGTCAGTCTCGCGTTTAGTGATGCTTATTAGAAAATCTTACAAAAATTCTCTCAGAAAATGAAATACTGCCTACTCATAAGAGCACGAACAAACCTATTTATTTTCCAAGTGCCTCGTACCATTAGCGACGTCCGAAGTTATCTGATAAAATTCTCTCTCAGTTAAACTTGACGATATGTTTACATAAGTTGAATCATTTTGTCGATTTTGGACGCGACTGCCTCGAAGCAAGTCATGAAAACTTCCACCAAAAACAAATTCAATTACGACGCAAAGAAGCTCTCGAAGTGAAAAGAGGTGATGTAAGATATTTTTCTGAGAAAAGTCACGGTGCCTTCTAGCATTACACTACTCTACTGACAATGGTGTAAAATGATAAGGCCTCATGAGATATCGTCAATTTTAAGCAACAATAATTTATTAAATCAATCCATCAATCACTGTAGGTGAAGAGCTTATTTTAAACACTAGTACTACACGTCTTTTAAAAAAAATTTACTTCATTATCCCCCGAAAGAATTTTATTGAAGTAATTTTGCCAGCAACGCTTCCTATAACTTTTAAAATCGCCGATTCCTTACCTGCAAATGTACATGCTCCAACCAAACTGGCCTGAGACTTCAACGTGCCCTAGTGGGACCCAACGGGACCCCCGATGGGGAAACCAGTCTCGTGCTCAGACTCTGTCGACCAAGAGAATAACAATGGCGGATGAAGTGAACATGGCCACGTACCCAGCCGTTAAAGCAAGGGTACACGTTTAAATATCTGCACAGGTGAATAGTGAATTCTCTCAGAGACATAATCACCCTGTGGTGAATATTATAAATATCACACTTGTCCATAACAGAAAATGGCAAACATTTTGAGCGGCTTGATCACCGTTGTGGTCAGCGTGGCAGCGTACTTGTACTACAAACATACGAGTGAACAAAAACGCATTGAAGCAGTTTTGGACGGTCTTAAGCTTATAGAAAAAGAAGCTCCTTTGGAAGGAACGCCCAGAGTTGCTGTTGGCTTTGAAGCTACCATAGATTATATCGTGGATGCTTTGGAATTGTTTGAAGTGATGAATCTTGAACCGCCAGAGAAAGCCAAACCTCACGACATTTTGAGGAATGAGGGAGAGTTTATGGAAACATTTGCCTTCTTCTTTAATCATAGCGCAGCGTCATCGTAAGTCTGTTGATGTTCATAATACCTGGCGTATTTTTCCATTTTGTATACAGTTAGATTGTAAATATTTAATTTCATCAGAGGGCACAAATTGGGACCATTACTCATAGACCGCGCCCGGACACTTATTTCTCTTGATGTCTTGGTTTTGGATGGAAAGCTCTGTTTTCAAAGCAAGGCAAAAAAAGGACCAAACGACAATTTCAGTTCAGTTTAGGAGAAATGAGTGAAAACCCTTGACGGACCTTATTACCGTTCCTGTCAAACCTTGAAATAAACATGAACCTCTCCCTTTTTTCACACTTGTGATAAAGCTTTCTATACTTTATTTGATTTTATGTATTTTATTTATATATTGTTATAAATAAATTTTCCTTTTTGTATCATAATAATAACTAATCTGAAATGTTACAATTAATATACAATTATTGTAACTGTATGTGTAAAATTTTTTGGCAAAGATTATCAGGAGAATATTTTCAAAAGATGCTGTGTGGTACATCTTCCCTTTCCTGAATGAAAGACAATTATTTTTAATTATTTTTCAGACGTTATATGGAAAACAAAGAACTTTTCCAAAGAATGTGTGAAAAAGCTAATGAACTGGAGAGTAACTATAAAGCACTAGGAGGTACTGGTCTTCACATTGGGAAACGTCTTGCTCTTGAGGGATGTAATGTACTAATGGCCGGAGATACATCTAACGAATTTATAAAAATGCTACCTAAGGGCATGTATCCTGTTGGGAATATTGTTCCAGTTGATGACATTCACATGCTTTTGGAATATCCTGCTCTCAGACATTGGGGAAAATATACTTCACAAAGAGCTAACCGTTTAGTTGTACACAGTGATGAGAATAATCCTTACTTACGTTCATTACAGGAATTTGAAAAATCATTCAAGGAATTCTCACCTTCGGTTCTAGTTGTTGGTGGTCTGCATATGCTGGATAACTTTCCAGGGTTTAATAAAGGTGATAGCAGTCAAATTTTAAAGAGGCTTCAGTTGTTTTTGGACACTATTTCTGTTCCCATCCATTTTGAAATGGCCCCCTTCCATCAAGAAACATTCTTTGATGAACTTTTGCAATATGTAATTCCTTACACGAGTAGTATGGGTATGAATGAACAGGAACTTCCTAACTTGTGGAGCAAGCTGCTCTATGAAAATATAACAGTTGTTTCAAGTCAGAAACCGAGAGTTGCAAAAGTACTGGATCTCATGAGAGAAGTGTACAAGATTTCAAATGAGAACTATGGAAAAAGTAGGAAGAGACAGTTGACAAGATTACACATCCATACACTGGCATTTCAAGCAATTCTAACCACTAAGGGATCAAGGTGGAAAAATACCAAGGCAGCTTCGGCAAAAGCATCTTTGACAGCAACACGTCATGTGTGCGGCTCAGAAGATATTGATCCTCAGAAATCAAAGTTACTCATGGATGACTCATTTTCTAAGAGTATAGTTCCAGGCAGCCCCAGAGTTGAATTTGATACCAGTTCACCTGTATCCTGTTGGAATGAGGATGATTATGAAATCTGTGTTGCTCCTGTGTTAGTTTGTACCCAAGTATTGCAGACAGGAGGTGGCGGAGACCAAATTACTGGGGGTGGTCTGGCATTACAAATTTGAATGACGTGTAACTTTCTACACTAGAGATGATCAGACAACACTACATACAATAGTGTTTCATTGAGAGATAACAACATGTGAAAATAAAATTGAAGAATTTCTTTAGAAGTGACTTGTTATTAAACTAGCTCCCAAGCTGACTATAACGGGGTCTTTTTTCATGATTTTAAATTACTATAGCTACTGAAGTTAATTTCTTATTCCATTTAAATTTTGTAATTGCATTGAGTTTTTAATATCAATAGCCCTTTTTTTTGGAAAAAATAAGCACGTGAAGACTTCTGGTTGTTGTAAGACAGTGAAATATATGATTTCATAATGTAAAAGGCCTCCAGTTAAGGACCAGTAAATAAAAACAGTAACAGGTGAGGAAAATCAACAAATATGATAAGATAAAAACATTAATAATGACAGTTATAATAATGATGATAATAATAGTAATAGCAATAATAAAAAAGTAAATTTTCAAATATATTTCATAACCATCAAAACAAGTCAATAATATGCAATAAAATACGAGTACTTTTTTACAACTTGTGACCACGGTTCTTGCTTGTCGGCGGTTTTACCCTTGGGAGTTGTGCTGTTCGATTCTTTGTCCTTTCAAAGTACTCTGAGAGGAAAGAACAATTCCTTTGAACACGTGAAAAAAGGCTGTGAAACAGAGTGAATATAACTTATTTGTTATTTCAAGTAGGACTGAAAAATTCTCCAAATGGCAAATATTTTGGCTGCCATAATCGCCATTGCAGCTGTCGTGGCAGCATATTTTTACTACAGACACGTAACAAGCCATGATGATCGTATTGTTGCAGTCTTGGAGGGTCTGAAGTCTTTGGAAAGAGAAAATCCAGTGCACGGAAAACCTAAAGTAGCAACTAGTTTTGAAGCTAACGTGGATTATTTTGTAGATTCTCTGGAGTTGTTCGAAGCGTTGAACCTTGAACCGCCCGAGCAAGCCAAACCTCATGACATTTTGCGGACTGAGAAAGAATTTTTGGAAACATTTGCGTTCTTCTTCAATCATAGCGCAGCATCATCGTAAGTATTGCATCTGAACTTTTATGCTCAGGTCCTGTACACTGATTAATGGAGATCTCTTAGAATCGTCGATGATTTCAATTTTACTGCGCTGGTATCTTTCCAGGAGAGGGTTACTTTACTTCTGCGGGGTGCGTAGTCAATCCTTGAATTAAATTACCCGCGTATTACAAAACTGTTCATATGATTAGGTAAACCAGTAATCAGTTTCGAAAAAAACTGACGCTGTTGCAGTTCTATACCTTAAAACTTTGGGCCTGAGTTAGGGTGGAGTACAAGCAAATTTCCAGGATAGAGCTGTTTAATGAACAACTGGGACTTTGAACCACCTTACTGCTTTAAGTCCCTGGACTAACCCTACATTCAGGCTTTACCTTAGCTTAACTCTTTCTCCACTTGAAGAAAAAATAAGAAATTCAAATTAAAAAAAGAAAGCTTTAATTAATTACTGGTTGATTCAATGGGCCACTTGTTCTCATGTTGTTTTTAATTTGAAATTAACACATCTTAGCTCAAGCCCCAGTATTGATATACTCAATATCTCTTTCTAATGGAATTTGATAAAACAATCATACTGAGAACACATGAAGACCCTTTTTGTTGTTTTGTTTTGGCTACTTTCCCACAAGGTAGAGATAGGATGTGTGAACCTATGAGAGAATGGTCTGAACAAAATGACAGAGCAATGGAGAAGTTTCAGAGGATACTAATCCAATTTCAAAGTTGCCCTAAAAGCTTTGTTTCTTGGCCAATTATTCATGTTTTGAAAAGTCTATCTGGTGCAGGAATCATCAGTGGATGTACCTGCCACCTGAAGGGTGTATTTGATAAATATCAGGAAACTCTTATGGGAGCCAGATGAAATCCTTGGATTTACCTTGGATGGATTAGTATTCCATCTTGAAGGAGTGAAAATTCACCTTGTTGCTTCATTTTTCTAAGTTGGGATAATCTGTGATAATCTGAGGGTCAATATCCTCTAATCAGGGTATATTAAGTAATATTACCTTGTAAGTAATGCTGAACCTAAGTCTTAAGTCTAAGATACACTCAATGTTAAATAGTGCTTAGACTGGTCAGTTTGTCTAGAACTTACAACCTTGTTTCAAACTCTAAGGGCAGTAGATTTTTTTCAGTGAGTTTTGATCAACCCTACAATCAAACTGAAACAATTTTTTTTTTAACATTTTACGGAGTGACAGAGATACATAGGTTATCAAGATGTTTGTTTTGAGGTGGTATTTTTCAAAAATTTTGTTTATGGGAAGAACGGAACTCACTCAAAATATTGGAATATGAAAATCCACTCTTGACCCTCTATGTTCATATTATTATTTGAACATTAATTAATGTTCTTTAGAAAAGGTCTGCATTTGAGAAACAATGAACAATGCCTTTTTTTTTTTTTTTAGCCGCTACATGACAGACAAAGATCTTTTTCGGAAGTTAGTCCTCAAATCCCAGGAAATTGAAGGAACTCGTAAACTAATTGGTGGCAGTGGATTACAAATTGGTAAACGCCTTGCCTTTGAAGGATGTCATGTTCTTTCAGCTGCTGATTCAAGTTCAGAATTACTGGAGATATTGCCAGAGAATTTAACAGCAGTGGGGAACATTGTAGAGGTTGATGATGTCCATTTGTTGTTGGAATATCCTGCACATTTCCCTTGGGGAAAGTATGAGTCCCAAAGAGCCAACAGACTAGTTTTACACAGCGATGAACACAATCCATATCTGAAGTCAATGGAAAAATTTCAGGAGAAAGTAAAAGACTTTTCACCGGCAGTTATGGTTGTATCAGGACTCCATATGTTAGATAACTTTCCTGGCTTTAACCCTGGGGACAGTGGTGAAATATTGAAAAAACTATCGTCTTTTCTTGACACATTGAAAGTTCCAATCCACTTTGAGATGGCCCCATTCCATCAAGAAACGTTCTTTGATGAACTTTTGCAGTATGTTGTTCCTTATTCAAGTAGTATGGGTATGAATGAACAGGAACTGCCTAACTTGTGGAGCAAGCTGCTCTATGGAAACATAACAGTTGTTTCAAGTCAGAAACCAAGGGTTGCAAAAGTACTGGATCTCATGAGAGATGTGTACAAGACCTCAAAAAAGGATTATGGAAAAAGAAGGAAGAGACCACTGACAAGACTTCATGTCCACACATTGGCATTTCAAGCAATTCTAACCAGGAAAGGATCAAACTGGAAACACACCAAGGCAGCTGCGGCAAAGGCCTCTTTGACAGCGACACGTCATGTGTGTGGCTCAGAAGAAATTGATCCTGACAAATCTAAATTGTTTATGGATGAGTCATTTTCTAAAAGTATAGTTCCAGGCAGTCCAAAAGTTGAATTCAATGCCAATTTGCCTGTTTCTTGTTGGGTTGAAGATGATTATGAGATATGTGTTGCTCCAGTGTTAGTTTGTACCCAAGTATTGCAGACAGGAGGTGGCGGAGACCATATTACTGCTGGTGGCCTGGTACTACAGATTTAGACCGGGGACAATTTGTGTTATAAATTTTAATTTTTAACAGGGTTTTCAGTTGAACTCAGTTATTGGAACTATACCACCACTCATAAGGCCTTAATTACTGCTGCCTGTGGATTTTATGTGCAATTTTTGTTGTAGAGAACTTAAATTACAAATCCATCTCCTCTACTAACAGTAGGCACTCGTGAAGGCAGTTCATGAAGCCCTTTCTTTAATTCATTGGGCATAATTGTAAAACACAGATATGAACTTGAAAGCACCTAGACATGCAGTCGTAACATGTACATATTAGCAACCATAAAATTCTGAGGCAAATGCTCAGATAATAGTAATCTCCTTCATAGTCATTTGTTGGGATGTCAATCAACAGCCCTCTTATCACTAGAAGAGAGAAGAAATATTTTCACCATATGCTTAATGAATGTTCTAATTTGTTTGAAATGAATGGTGATATTCAAATTCTGTTGAGATCAAATCACTGAATAGATAAAGTAATGAACTCAAGTCTTGCATAGTGAATGAGTAAGTTGTTTTGCAGTTCAAAAATGGCATATTTCTGAAATGGGTTGATCAGCAATAAGTGTGATGAGTGTAACTTTTTTATCTGATCAAACCAAAGATATATGGAATGCAAGGGTGGTTTTTTCTAAGGTTAACTAAAAAGGAGTGAAATCCACATTCATCTCTGGCCATATGGCCCATTAATTAATTAATTTATTTATTTTTCATGGTGAACCCCATCATTAAAAAGTATTGTTGGATAGCAATTAGAACGTTTCAATGCAAGTGTAAGACACAAAAGTAAATTAAGAGCTCACCCCATCACATCAATATTTTAAATAATGCTGAATAAAGAGATATTCAACAGCTATTCATTGAAGTGGAGGTGGCTAGTGGTGGATATTTACTAAGCAGTGAAGAGGCAAGGTGTATTGCAAATATCCAACACTGGTCTTAATATAGCACAAAAATATGATTTTAACTCATTTATTCCTGCAATGGTTACACTACTTTTTGACGCAAATCCTGTTTGCCAATACTGGGAGGTAAATAGCAAAGGATATTTGGAACATGAGTAGCCAATCAGAGCATGCTTTCTATACTATCTGTTAGTTTGGTATATAATGAATCATTTTTATTCAGACAAATAGCTTTTTTAAAACAATTATGAGGTCCTATGAAATTAAAACATACACTGTAAATTTAGAGTGTGAAAAAAACTTTGTAGCTATATGGATATTTCAACATTTCAAGAAAAGTTTGGAAATGGCGAAGATCTTGAGTAACCATAGGTCTAGTTTGAGTGTTAAGTCTATCGCCCTTTATTTAGATGCCAACAACAAAAGTTTAGTGGCTTATGACCTAAACAAACTTTGTGTCATGACTTGCTTAAGAGGCAAATATTAAAAATGTTGCTTTAGTGACAGCCGTCTCAGTCTCTAGTGGTGTTGCTTTAGCTGAGTTTAGATCCACCCTAACCCACAGGAGTGTCTAGTCATGCATTAATTTTCTTTGTCTAGCCTGACTTGTAAAGTACACCAGTGCTACAATTTGTAGAAAGGCTTTTAAATTTGAACAATTTAAAGTGATTTTTGAGAAATCTGGAGACGCTCTCGACTGTTTATTCCAATGGTGATGGGAAGCCACGAAACTGGTAGATCTTCTCGTCTCCCATTACCCTTTGCGGTAGGCGGCGGTATGTGCCCGCCCTAATTTATGTTTATCTTCAAACTTAATGTAAACTTACGCACGCCGATAGGGCGTTAAAGGTGCAATGACCGAGAAACAGCGACTTGAACGCTCTTCTCACTCTCCATTGAGTGGTGCTGATGGAAGAGTGAATAAATTGAAAAACTTAAATCCGATCACGGGTGAATCTGAAGAACCCATATTGGTTAGCTTCGAAGACGTCAGTGCTGCCTCCTACAGGATTCGGAAAGGGGTTAAAAAAACACCATGTGAAGTAAGTAATTAAGCTTATGTGAAGTGAATTCTAACAATAGTTTCCACAAGAAGTACTGACCTTTTGCTCGATCGCTGTCATGCGGTCTGAATTATTTACTTAACATGTCCTATTTACAACTACTCGTTTCAGTAGTGTTCTTAGCTGCGAGGATCTTATAATTTCATCTCTCCACCGCAGTGCAAATATGTGAATTTTCATATATCTAAAATCTTCATTCACTTGGATGTTTATTTGTACCCAATTCATTGACCAGCTCCCAGTTGGCTTGTTAGCTCAATTGGTAGAGCGCTGCACCGGTATCGCAGAGGTCATGGGTTCAAATCCCGTACGGGCCTGAATTTTTTCAGGTCCTATTTACAACTACTCGTTTCAGTAGTGTTCTTAGCTGCGAGGATCTTATAATTTCATCTCTCCACCGCAGTGCAAATATGTGAATTTTCATATATCTAAAATCTTCATGTCGAAACAGGTTTCTACGTTGTGACAGCGTAGCTGCTCTCACGCAACTGAGGGCAAACTCATTTCATGTGGGAATAATCATTTCATTAGCCGGCTGCGTCAGAGTATGTTGCTGTTTAGCTGAGAGTTCATGTTTTACCTTAGAAAAAAATAGTCTCATCTGTAATCAACTGTTAGGCCCCATATTAACTGAATTGAACCAGAACATATTTATGTCAACAATAATGTTTGTTGGTAGTGGACAGTATTACGTCACAGGAGTTGCACTGGAGCTGGTTGTCAAGCCTCTTTGTGTAATCTAAATTTATGTTTTATTGAGTAACACGATCACACAATGACTTTGAAATTAACAAACTGAGATTACCATGTGTTCACTGTTTCCTACTCTATTTTACCTTCCATTACCTTTTACATATATTTTCATAACTGGAAGTCACTTGTGATGGCTCTTTCCCGAGCTGGCCCTCACTGTTTACTATTTTAAAAACAAATGATAAAATTTGAATGTAGCCTTGATTGCTGTACAGTTGAAAGGTTTCAATTTCAAGGTACTACAGAATTAAAACTTTGCTAAATTTTACCATCTGGAGATTCATTTCTGTAAGTTTGTTGCTTATGTTGTGTTTTAAACTACTGATCAATGTGATTTGTCTCATTATGGCTGACATATTATTAAATGTGATTATGAACTGGAAATGATTGAGTTAATCATGTTTTGATATTTTACATTATTACAAGACTGAGGCCTTCTATTCAAGATGCAACAGTTATTATCAGTCAGTCAGACAATGTTCTCCATAAATTCTCAATGAATTTCAAGTACATTTATGGTTGCCAGAAGATTTAGGTTGTTTCAAATAACTTATTATCTACCAATGCTATAGATTAGTTGATGATCTCAAAGCATGATAATGTTTTTTTTGAGGGGTTTCATATTCACAAGAAATTTTTGTACTCGTGCAGTTTTCATGAAAATGAAATATAAATTTGTGGTCATTTGTTTCAACATAGTTGTGTTCTGGAAATACTTATTTATTTGGTCAGTTTTGTCTTTCTTTGTGTTGAGTAGGGAGCTAGTTTTGTAGATACTGTACCTTCACAGAAAGCACATACATTGTACCTTAGATTTTTTTCTAACAGGGTGTTTGGAATTGTGCCAAAAAATTACAATTTTTTTTATCTTTAATCATGATTTCTAAGAAATTCTTAATAGAAATTAAAATTAAAGCATGTTATCATATAGACTTTGAAACTGCTCCAATTAAAGGAGATTTTCTTCTTGTACCATGACAGTTTGTTTATATAGTAATAACTTGACTTTTTGTGCAAATGAGGAGAATTTTGAAATCATGTGAAACACTCTTAAGCTCATGAATTAAAGGTTGTTTGTAGTATTTTCATTCATGTGTTATTTAACTCACAAGCATGCTTGTATAAATATTTTAATTAAATGGTTGATTTGGAAAATAATTAAGATATTACGTATGGTTATTTTTAGAGATCTAGTATGTCAGAGGCATTGAAGATGGACTTGTATTTCAAGAAGGACTATCTTCAGCACACAGGAAGGTAGTAAACATGAAATCATTGCAGATCGCTTACCATGATGATATTTTCAATTTTTTAGGAGTAAGATAAAAACATGGGTGAAACCTATGTATTCTTGTATTTCCTAATTTCCAACAAAGAAACAGTGGAGGTCTCTTGCTAACTTGTACTGAGTTATTACAATTATTACAGACATAAGTAGCAGGAAAATGGGTTATTGTAACAGTTGTGCATTTGATAGTGGTTCTCTGCATTTGGAGTTTCCAAGTTGCACTATTAAAGTCAGAATGAAAAGCTGAAGAAAACAAAAACTAAGCCTTAATTCATCGCATTTATTGTGGGGGCAAGAGTTCATACAAACTATGAGAAATGTAAGAACAAATAAGTGAAAATGCAGGATCATAATATCTTTGTCCTTATGCTTTTCTCCCATTGTTAAATGCATGTGCTGGCATTTGTAGCTTCTAGGATTAAATGGATTTTAGACTGGACAATTTGAAATCTGTATCCTGACTAATGTTGTAATTTAATTTAGCTTCAAAGAGAGAGGTGCCAGAAACACACTTCTGATGTTGTCTAAAGTAAGTACTCAAAATTCATAGTCAAATACATTTATTTGATATTACTCAACCTTTTTCTCCCAATAAGAGGACAAGTTGTATCAGTGACCATGCCTGTCCCTTAAAGTCTCACATGGAATCTGAGAGTGTAAATTTGTTATTTGATAATTTTAGTAGGCCCAGCTTTTGCTTTAAAGACTGTTGAAGAAGAAAACATTGTAATTTATTTCAGCTTAAGATCTAGTAAGTTTAACTGATATAGTACTTGGAAAATGGTCAATAGAAACCAGAAACACTTTTCTTCATATCTTGAATATAAGCAGAAAAGGTCCATTTTAAGCTCAATTTTACTTTTCCATAGGAGCAAAAGGAAAAAGGTGTAATTGCAGCATCAGCTGGGAACCATGCCCTTGCATTATCATATCATGGGAGAGATCTGGGGATACCTGTTACTGTTGTTATGCCATTGAATGCTCCCATTATGAAGATCTCAGCTTGTAGGAAACATCAAGCCTCAGTACATGTGAATGGAGCTGATCTTATAGAGGTCAGAGTTAGCAATCATTGTATTCTTTTACTAGTAAAAAAAAACTTGATCAAATATGTTCTTGCTATAAAATCAGATAACAAAAAAATTCCACTTTGTGTCCAAAAGATTAAACCTCAGGCATTGGTATCTGCTGTGTATAATAATAATATTAGAGCAGCTGAGCTTGTTTTTTGGCATAAAACACTGTTGTATTTTGTGCACTTACATGTTTGTAACTTGTAAAAAAGAGAAGTGCAAAAGTAAAAGCAATGCTGGAATTTACACTGTGTCTAGCTTTAAGAAGGAAATATGATGCAAAGACAACTCCTACACAATTTGGAAATCTGATCTTAAAAGGAAATCAAGTTGATCACCCACATATGCTAGATGGACTTTTTATCTTTATTTTGTTCCAGTAGAGATTACTACAGCTTATTCAGTTGGCCAGGCCATGTTACACACTTCCAATTAGAGAGACTCTGTTCAACAATAAGCTTTATAATATTTCTTTTAAATCAAGCCTGAATGGCAAAGTAAATTGGTAATGTCTAAATTTGCAGTTCAGAATCTTGCTGAATAAGTGAAAAAATGCTTTACATGAGTGGCCTTCAATGACTGTTTTAGGTCAAGTTTATCTTTCAAGCTTGTGCCAATCTGGTGCAGCAGGGTTACTTATGGTGCTCATGATGTTATGGATTTTTGGAAGGGTGTGGGGGGGGGAGGGAGTACTTAGGTCAATTTTTGCTGGGTATGTGCTGCTGGCCTCTCAGAATCCCTTCTACAATAAAGCAAATGTAACAACTTTTTAATGGCAAATTTTCTATTTTTAAACCTTTACTTACTGCAATCTTGTAACCCCATAGATCACAAAAAATGTGCGATCCCATTCTAATAACTCTATTGAAAATGTAATCCCATTATCATCTGTCTAGTTGTGAAAATGGAACCCCATCCAGCGGCACATCCCATTAGCCTCTTTCTAGGAAGTATCCTCTGCCCCTCCCCCTGGGTGGGGAATTGTCACATGTTTGAAAGATTAACTGTACCATATTCAACTTGATTTCTTTGAGTTTTCACAAAGATCTTGAATATGTGTCTGTTCTGTTGTAGTAAGTTGCATTAAAATGGTTTGCAAATGTCTCTAAACAGTCCAAAGAAATTGCCCTCAAGATGGCGAAGGCAAACGGATTAGCTTACATTAACGGGTAAGGAAATTCAAATTCAGGTCTTTTCTATTTGCTCGGTGATATATCTTGTAATGGAAGTTTCTTTCAGGTATGATCATCCTCACATCCTATCAGGCCAAGGGACGCTGGGTTTAGAAATTGTAGAGGAAGTTCCCGACCTAGAGGCAGTTGTGATTCCTGTGGGCGGTGGAGGCCTATTGGCTGGTGTTGCTGTGGCAGTCAAGGGGTTACGCCCTGACGTGCAGATAATAGTAAGAGAAAATTATTAACCTTCCAACTGAACCTTTTTGTTTCAAAATGCTTAAATTTTGTTTTTCTATCCTAAAGTAACAACCCTCCCTATTGTCTCAGGAAATAGAGAAGGTTGAGTTAGTAAAATAAAGCGCGATGATAAACGGCGCGATAGTAGCGGAGGAGCTAAATTACGAGGGAAGTTTGGGTCGGGTCGGGTAGGGTAAAGAACGCTTTTAAAAGTTTTAGCAACCGACCCGACTAAATCTCCCTCGATTTTCCGCTCCTCCGCTACTGTCAAGCCGTTTACATTTTGCTCCGTTCACTATATGAACTTCTACAACAGGCTACACTAACTGAAGTTGACGATTTCGTACACAGCGTGCGGCCTACAATTAGATGGCTAGATGCAAATCGTTAGTTTTCAAAAGTGAAAATCAGGGTGAACCAACTTATTAAACTGTGAAAGGTTATTAAGGGGTAAGTTTCTAATGAAACTGTGGTGCTGCGTCGGTGGGAGAGTATAGCAGGTCCGATGGACATCGTGTTTGAAATATTTCCCATGTTTCCTTACGGTTTTAGTTACTGTTGTTAAGTGTCAATACTTAATTTATTGTTCTCCTCAGGGTGTAGAGTCCGAGCGCTGCGCTAGCTTTCGGGCCGCAATGGATGCTGGTCATCCTGTCAAGATAGACGCCAATCAGTCTCAGACATTAGCTGATGGTAAGAATTAACTGGCGCTTTGTTAAATTAGGCGCGGAGGCTAAGGCGAGACTTAAACTCCGAAGCAAGGTTAGGTTTTCTAGGAAATTAGGAAGATGTTACCATAGGAAATGTAAAAATTTTTAATGGAGTTTTGTGGGAACCTTTTTGTTACGAGACATACATGTAATCTTTGAGTGAGTTCTCTTTTCGTGCTACCTGAGCCCTGTCTCCTTGCTCTGTGATTTGAACAATATCGTTGGTATTTGGAGCCATCTAAGGATCAGAAAACAAGGATTAGGAACAAATTTGTTGCGAGCTGTTCCTGTGCTGAATTAGTGTTATTAAAAATAACTGCTTGGTTCCTGCGAGTTTTTGAACCAAACAGTGAATACCTCATCCTCTCATGTTTAGCATTGTTGTTAAATGAAATTCTTGTTATTTTGTTGATTTGTTTCCCTTTAATTGTTTTGTTAAAGTGCTTGCCAGAAGTTCGCTACATGTGGACATGTTTTAAGGTAGCATCAATGTTGAATTGAGATCTTGAGACAACATCCTATTTACACTAAAATATTGCGACCAGCGCTGTGATTTAGTTTCCCTACCTCAGAAGTGCACGGTAATCGTAGATAGGGTAAGGCTTTTATATTGCAGACTTCGTGGACCATTTCTTCAAATTCGTGGACCACTTCAGTTGTTTATATCTTGTACAAAGGCTCAGCTTGGGTTATAACTGACCAAGTAATGAATGTGGATGAGTAAGGAATTCCTTTGGTCATCCACTTGTGCCCAGGATCTTCCACATAGTCATCTTTGTTATAACATTACGTTTAACGCAAATTTTCATACCAAAGGAAGCAAGTTAAGTACATGAACAACTTTTGACTCTGTCCGCTTTAAACGCGCGATGAAGCTTACTTAAAGCTCATCTTGGTGAGCATGAAGCAAAACCAACAGTAAAGGTTTCTTTACTCCTCCTTACAGGATTGTGTGTCTCCAAAGTTGGTTCAAACGCTTTTGCAACAGCCACAGGGCTTGTTGATAAAGTTATCAGTGTCAGGTAATGACATGACAGCTACCATTTACAACTGATTTAATTTTCTTCATCAAGTCTTTTGAAGGAATAGATGCACCTTCTCTGTTCGTTGATTAACATTATGTTTTGTCTGGGATTCTTCGGAAACTGCTAAAACTCTCTTTCAAGGTGGGATTTGTTTGTTTTTTTTTTCAGCGAGGATTTCATTGCCCTCGCCATACTACGTCTTATTGAGGAAGAGAAAGCAGTTGTTGAAGGGGCTGGAGTCACAGCCTTTGCTGCTGTTCTTGCTGGCATGTTACCTGAACTACAGGATCGCAAGTAAGGCGGATGGCTCTTCACAATTTGATTACAAAGTTTAAAAAGGCTTAAGGTAAAACATGCCTAAAATATGTAAAATAAACTGATCTTAACATACCATAAATATAATTCTTTTTGAAAATTTTTATTGTTGAAAACGTCAAAATTCTTATTGCTCTTGCGTAGAGTTCTGCATATGATAAGCTATTTTGTACATGAGACCGCGCTATTTCTCACAGAGAGAGACCTGCTGGTATTATGTCCAAGTAGTCCTGCCCAAAGCTAGTCTGCGTAATTTAAAAAAGATATTTCTTGAATCTCAAAAATATCTTGAATAGCAAATGACTGCAATTGTGAACGTCTGAGCTCGTCATCAACCAATCTAGTGAGGCCCCTAAGAAATTATAATAGGAACTTCTTTCGAATATAAGGACATGTTTTTTTTTTCATTGTGCAGACTTGGCTATGTTAGGGAAAGGAGTGGAGCATTAGGTTACCCAGTTTTATCATATAGAATTCCTATAAATACTCAAACTTACTTCGTAGGGAATACTACTGACCTGCTAGAAAGTATCATCGACCTAAGAGGTCCCAGATACCGTATACCAGTCCAAAAATTCCGGGTCAAAGGGCCCGTTTCACGAAGGTCCCAGTAACGTAACGGGCGGGGGCTCATTTCTGCGAAGGTCTCGGTAACTTAACGGGCCCGTAAAGCTTTTGTATCTTCATGCAAGATGGGGTTTTCAAAAGTTTTGAAAATTATCGATAAAACTATCAGCTACAAAAAAACCAAAATGGACTGATAAAGGTGCCAGAAGCTGCTTCTCTATTCTTAAAATTTTGATTTTAAGATATGGCTTCGGGCTTCGAGAAACGGGCCCCTGGTCCAATATTACATTCAGTATGTTTTTGGCCATGATAACGTATGTCTCGTCGCAGTTTACCGTCTTTGTTGTCCCCTAACTAACTCAGTAGTTTGTTTTTAGGGTTGTGATACCGCTCTGTGGAGGAAATATTGACTCTACTGTGCTTGGTCGCTGTATTGATCGAGGATTAGCTACAGATGGAAGGCTTTGTAGGTTTATTGTTACTGTTAGTGATCGGCCTGGTGGAATCGCTGAACTAACGCGACTGTTGGCTTCTCTGGGAGCCAGGTATGCCTCTAGTTGCTTATTAAAAAGTATCTCTCAAGTTGCTTATGAAAAACTATCTTATTTAACTTGAGTACAAAATTCACTGCGAAGGCAACTTTTACTTTGCAAACTTTTATTACAGCGTGAAAGATATTTTCCACGAGAGAGCATGGCTCGTGTCCAGTGTGTTCAATGTTCAGGTAAGAAAATTACCTCATTTGAGTGTGATTGCATTGTGTGATTGCATTATCTCCCTTACCCTATTACACTAACAGATCATAACAAATGTAACTTAGACTCGGAGAGAAGTATCTTATCTCCCAAAAGTTGAATTTAACCAGTCTTAGTTGTAACCTGACGTGTTTGTGTTCATTTCAACAGATCAAAGTAGTACTTGAAGTACGAGACCGCGAACATGGACTTCAAGTTAAAGAAGCCCTTCAGCTACAATACCCGAATAACGTGCTGTGGGGACTGGACTCAGGATCTACTGCCTCTACTTCATGAATTGCCTGAAACTAATTACCTCTACACAATGAAGACCAAGAAATTCTGTGTGGGTTTGAATTTTATTTTCTGGTTGTGTGTGAGTTGAAGAATGTTTTTCGATTTTAAGAATTGTATGAAAAATTTGGGATAGACAGAAACTTTTAAGTGTGAGGTTCTCCGATGCAAAGAAGTGCTTGGGAACTCAAAGGCAAAATGGGTCTGTTAAACTAAAGAGGATCGTAATATTCACCCTTGTGCGAGGCCCTTATTATTAGCGCTTGGCATGAGTGTACTGCGAAAATATGGGATCTTGAACAACGCGCGCCGGCGAGAGGTCTGCGAGGGTTTTGGCACTGATAGTGTCAGACCCGGCAAACCTCTCCCCGACTAAGGCCACTCATCTCAAATCTTCCCGCTGGCGGAGAAACGTAGCACTATTAATTAGGGCGTGCTCGCAAGCTACCTTTGTGTGGGATTCGCCATGTGGATGTTCTATTTTATAGATTTATCGAAGTTATGGGGCTGAGGAATATTGTAATACAAGGGTCTTTATGAAAAGTTTTTGTACATGTATTTATTTTGACTGCCAGTCAAATTTTGTGAGTGAAATTGTGAATTTTTTTTTACCGGGCTGTTTTAAAAAGGATAAAAAAACTGAACACCTCATTTAGTGGAGAACTGTCTCACTCTAAAGTATTTAACTGCTTATCGCTATTTTTATACAACCTGTACGTAGTCCAGAAAAGTCATGTTTTTTATTTATTTCGTAACATTTTTTGCTTTATTTGATAATATTAAGTCCCTAATGGGGAAATTAGCAATATGTTATTTGGTAGCGAAATATAGAAAATATCTTCAAATGCCTTAAAGGTTAGTCTCAACATTTCTATGTAGGGTCAGTCAAAGGGACATTCGGGATTAGGGAGTAAATTTGTCGCTGATCGTAAAGGGACCGCACAAAATATCTAGCTTATGTGGTCACTTTTAAGAGGCAAAGCCGTAGCGAGGGGAAACATATATTATATATATATATATATAGCTTTCAGAAGTCTTAATTGTGCACAAATGCATCATAATAAAGTTAAAGCCTTTATAACGAATTTGTCTCCCAAAGGTTATTCGTTTGAATGTGTTTATGCTTCTCAGTGTTACTACGATCATTGTCACGCTAATTCTATTTTAATCATGGTGAACCAACCAATGATAATTGGACAGATAACAAACCTTCTCTCTCTCCCACCTCTGTTAAACGGGGATCATGTGAGTTCGTCGCTTAAACGAGTGGTCCATACTGAACAAAAGGTAGTTAATAGTGGTTTGGCTGGTTCAGAGAGGTTGTTCCTCCCAAGGGGTTTTGAATATAAAAATGGAAAGGAGGACTGAACTCTACCCCTAGTTCAAGGCAGTATTGATCAGTTTTCGACAGGAATAATTTCCTGATCAACTCTCGGAGATTGTTCGTACCCTGGGCTCGGTCACTGGCGGCAATTTGAAGAACAATCGGCTTCAACGGGTACTTCTCCTTCATTAGAATTATCGAAGCCGGCACAAGCTGCAACCAAAAAGATCTGCAGGAAAAAAAGAAAGCGAAGTACAATACATGGTATCTCGAACCACGACTCCGCTAGACTCGGAAAGGACTTCGACCAAGGACGGTTTCGAAAGCGAGCTCTATTAAGCGAAGTCTTATGCCCCGCTCACACTACAAACATGTTTAAATCTTGTTTTACTAAACTGGTTTTATTAAACTACCTGTTCACACCGCGTGTAGCCAAACATGTTTAAAACCGTGTTTAATAAAACTACCTAAATGAGGTTGTTTAACTTTCTTGTTTAACTAAACACATTATTAGTCTTCTACGTCTAAAAGCTGATACTAGCCGCATAGAAGCCTGCTGATAATACACCAACAAACTTTTAATGTGCTCAGAATGCGAAATTCTACGAAAGCCGCGAAGATAATCATTCGACAACGATCCATTCCTGCCCAGTAATTCGAGCGATAATTTTTCTGTATCTTGTAATAGAAAGAGATACGGTACTGATTGATGCATTTGTCAATGAATGAAGTTTTGATCAGAGGATACTAGTTTGATGCGACCGCCGCCAAAAAATTGGAAATTGAAAATTGAAAATTTTTTGCCAACGTTTGGCTCGCGAAAAATTGGCAAATATTTAAACTCGCTCTCGTGCGACCCGGCCCTAAGAAAGTAATAAAATAAATACACCTTCTGTGACTTTCTGGCGGGGTTGTATGTCGCCTTATAATTGCCTTGGCGCAAAGATTGTCATCCAACATGACATTATCATCCAAGATGCCGACCGCCAGAAACCCAAAGGTTTTTTTTTATTACAGTCGAGCCTGTATTAAGCGGTCACCCACGGGGAGTGGTGATCGTTTAATACAGAAACGATAAAAATTGCACAAAAACTCGCTCAAAAATACTATTAACATTGATTTCGGGAGATAAACATGACTCAAATTTTACTTAAAGATTTTCTTATTTTTATTTGAGTGGTTCCGCTCTAAGTGGTCGTTCAATACAGGCGGAGCACAATACAAACAGACCGATGGGACTCTCGGTAAAGGGTGGCCACGACCGCTTAACTGGAGGTGAACAGTTGAATAATTAAGGCTAAAAGTTTCGAGATTTAGACAACTGACCGTTAAAATAGTGGGTGACCGCTTGGTATGGTGCCAACAGGTGCCCGTTAGTCGAAAGTCCCCTTAACTTGACGAGCCCGAAAGCATATTTTAAAATCAAAATTTAAAGAGTAGAGAAGTAGTTTCTGGCACCCTTAGCTTTACTAGTCCATTGTTATTTTTATCGTTTTCAAAACGTTTGAAACCCTCACCCGGAAAGAAAATTAGAACAGCTTTTGAGGCCCATTGAGTTACCAAGGGGTCCCGGTAACTTAACGGGCTCGTGAAGCTGTTCTATTTTCATTCAAGAGAAGAGTTAAAAAAGTTTTGAAAATTATACAACAAAAATTTCAGCTAAAGAAACAAAATGGACCTGTTAGGGTGCCAGAAACTGTTACTCTTTTGTTTAAAGTTTGATTTAAAAATATGGTTTTGGGCCCCATTTTGTTGAAGACATCTACTTTAGGCATACACCGCGTATTTTGTAGTGAATGGAACGCCACGTACTCGTGCGGCAACACAAGTTATCAGTTCTGGTAATCGCTCAGCTACCTAAAGGAAACAAAACAGTCAAATCCTTTGATGATCTAGGAAATTAAGAGGCTTATGATGACTAAGACTAAGCTGTACACTTTAGCCCTAATTAGAAATAACAGCGATGTTCTTCTTGGAATGAAAAAGAGAGGATTTGGTGTGGGACGGTGGAATGGTTTTGGCGGGAAAGTGCACTCAAATGAAACAGTTTTGGAAGCAGCGAAGAGGTAAAATTACATAGTACTTACTCTTTATTATAATTTCTTATTCAGTCGGCTTGTGATATATGAGTTTATTGTTAAAGGTAGATTTTCTTCCGACGAAGCAGACGATGGTTTGACCGATTTGAGACGGACCACTATGAAGGCACGCGGTTCGCCTGCAAGAGAGTACAATTTGTCACAACGTGCATGAGCCAAACACTGTGTTATAGCTATTTGAGTCACGAAGGAAGAATCCTACGATAGCAAATGCTTTTACCGCACTGCCTTTGGAATTAGGCCTTTGTTTCAGAATAGTGTGAAGTTATAAAAAAAATCTCTCCAAGGACAGGGTTATCAAAAGTTTATGACAATCTTCACTTTGAAGATTGAATCTCATGTAAGCATATTCTAGTTTTATATGTTGTGTTGAGGACAATATGAGTTAGTCACTAGTCATGTCACTGTTCTTGTAGGGAGTTACATGAAGAGTCTGGCCTTATAGTAAATGAACTGCAAGAGGCTGGGCTTTTAAAGTTTGAATTTATTGGTGAACCTGAAATAATGGAGGTCCATGTATTCACCACAAATAAGTTTGAAGGAACACCAGCAGAATCAGAAGGTAAATGCAATGATGGCATATCGAACTGTTACTAGCTTGTTCAAAAGTTTAAAAATCATACATGAGCAGTTGAATTTCGACCTGATAGAATTTGGGTTTTAACAACTTAGCCTTATGTGATAATTAGACAATATTATTGTAATTTCAGAAATGCGGCCTCAGTGGTTTCCAATCTCAGAGATTCCATTTGATGACATGTGGCCAGATGACATTCTCTGGTTTCCATTCCTGTTAAAAGGACAAAAGTTCTCTGGATATTTCAAGTTTAAAGGACACTCAGAAATACTTGATTACACATTAGAGCCAGAATGTTAAGTTGGGCATTTTGTTAAAATACTAATATAGGAAGGTTAATGTTCAAGTATAATATTTTAACATGGTTTTAAATAGTACATAAAACATTCAAAATAAATGTAGTTCAAATTTGTGCCAATAAGGGCCCGTTAGTCGAAAGTCCCGGTAACTTGATGAGCCCGAAAGCATATTGAAAATTAAAAACGTTTGTGAATACAACATTATATTACAATGATGTGTTGTTCTAAATATGATTGTGAATGCCTCAGCATCCAAGATCAATTCAATATATTTGGACAAAGCCAGCAAACTAGACTGGGTGTCAGGTTAACTTACTTGGTAAAATTCTGTGCAGGAACAAACTCATTCTTTAAATGCTGTAACTGGTAGCTGCTTAAAAACAGTAACTAGTCGGAAACAAGTGGGTCTGTAATGGACAGTAGCACCCATTCCGCTCGCAGGTTTTCCGTTTACTTTTAATTATAATTTCTTTCCAGCTTAAATCAATCTTTTGAGTATATACGGAATCAAGGCAAAGATTACAATGTATTTCTTGTCAAGACTGGTATTTAACTGTTTTGTCTTGATGAAGTAGCCAGCACTTCAGAAACTAGTAACCTGTGAAAACCCTTACATGGACTGTCCCAATAAGGTGCTGTTGCTGTTTACTTGTCATTTCACTTCATATAAAAAAAAAAAAAAAAGAACAAATAAACTGAATTTTGATACCCACAGTTGAAAGTATACTGTTATTTGTGTTTCATGAATAACCAGGTTCAGTTCAATGATCTTTCAATAAGTTACTCGTGCAGTTGATATTTGTAACTGTTATTCACTCTCCAAGCAGCAAGAGTCGTATGGAAGCAATGGGATGTAACTACTTCCAGTGAAAAGAATATCATGGAGTGGGTTTTCTTTCTTGGTGAGCCTTATAATATGTGTCGTTGGAAAAGAGAAATGAAAAAAGAGGTAAGTACTTTGCTAATACTGTATAAAGAACACAAACTTTTATTTTCTCTATTAATTAATTAAATCTGTACAGATGTTGATAGAGAGCAAACTTACATTAAATGCACTAGCTGTTTTAACACAAATTTTCAAAATACCTTTCACTTCTGAAACAGTAGCTTGATTTACACACATGGATGCAAATAGAAATTTACATTACATATCTGTATTGTCAAGGATAATGCTACTTATAAATTAATCTTTAGTTGGTTGTTCACAAGAATGATATTTGTCTTGTCTTTTAACATTGCTGTCTATTAATATGAAATTTATTTTATAGATCCTCAGATCCTGAAGCAGAATAAATATTTGGATCCCTCTTTATAAAGAACTAATGGGTGGTTAGAAAGCTAACATTCACAATGTCAGAAATTCTTGGTTGGAAAACATCCAAAAAGTAACTACAAAGTTTAAGTGCGAATAATTAAATTTAAATTCTATTCAACAAGAGATGAAAAGTTCATAGCAGTATCCAAATAAATCTTCCAAGACTCTTCATGTAAGAAAGGCACTGATAGTTCTTCCAGCTTTCTTGTCTCTTGAATCAACAGATACATGGAGGCCCCTCATACATCCCTCCAGGTTATCAAGTTTACCACAGGCTTGACACTGTCATCAACAACAATCATAATGATATAAATTTAAGATAACAAGAGAGTGACAAAAAACTGTTGTGTCACATTTTAAGAGTGTGTTACATTTTGAACATTCTCTTTTCAGTAGTGTACATTTTAAATTCAGTTTGATTAGCTTAGTAAATAAATTATCTACAAAAGAAATACAAATCTTGCATTAATGAGACTCCAGAAAACATCCATTCCCTTTGATTAGGGTTCAGGTTATTTCTTCAGATTAGGGTGAGAAGGGAAGAGAGGGGTCAAAATCCTTTTTTTAAAGACAAGTATGAATCAAGAGGAGAAAAGTCAGGGTTCTTGCCAAAATTTCCATTGTGGGAGGCACAGTATATTTAGAGTCCACAGAAATCCAACAGAAGGGAGAAGGGGGTCAAAAACCAACTTAAAATCTTATTTTAAAGACAAGTAGGAATCTACTATGCCTCCTTTGTGGGAGGCATTGTATATTTTCTAAAACAACAGCTATAATTGTAATAAATGTCTAGACGTGTAGTCACTTACCATCTTTGAAATGAAGAGGAGAGAAATGTGTTGCAGATAACAGGTTAAGAAAAAAGAACAGAAGTAAATTACTTTGGGCAGAATATTATTGCATGTTAAAAAACACATAAATGAAATCCATGTAAATCTAAGCAATTATTTTGAAGATTTCATTCAGAACATTTTAATTTTAACTTACTATGAATCAAAGCACATAATTGCTTAAAATTTAACTTATTGCTTAGATTTCAGTAAAACTGAACAACTTTTCAGTACTTACCCCCTTCAAATTTTTTATTGTTGTCAGGAGACATTTGATATAATGAAAAAAATAAGTAAATTTACCATTAATAATAATTGCACATGAAATTCACCACTATTTATTCAATGGATGCAACCATAAAGGTTTTATACATTGTAGTTGGAAATGTTTTTCACAATAGCACACTTTCAAATCAAACATCTCTTATCAGGCAAAACTGCAAAATTCATAAAGTCAAAGGCTAACAGTGCACTGTTAACTACAAGAATTAACCAACAACTGAACCTGCATGTGATCATAGCATGATTGAAGGTGGCTTGAGATGACATTTGACTGGTGTGCATCATGTAATTTATCAATACATTTTCAATTAGTTTTCTCTTTACATCTTCTATTGTCTTTGTTGTGTTATATAACAAAACACTAAAAAATGTTACCCTCAAATTTCAGTTTTTTCCAAGGCTCCATGAAACGCAAAAATTCAGCGGAAAAAATATTTTCCTGTTTCAACAAAATCTTGCTGGTGGCTCAAACCTTTAATGCATTAAATATGAACTGTAACCATTTTGGGAAATCAGATGTAAGAAGAAGAACTTACCCCCTGCAAAAGCAAGCCAGACATATGAAAAACAAACATAACAACAAAAATTAGTATTAAATCATTACTGTGAGTTAGTTTAGCTATTTTTGTAGTCTCATTGGTAAAACAAGAACAGATTTAAGCTACAGCATCCCTATACTTTACCATATGCGCTGAGAATACATGCAAGTCTACTCACAGACTATTGCATATCAAAAATATTTCTAGTCAATTTCAATTGTTTTATATTGCTATAGTCTTACAGCCACATGTAATACGTAGCAATAACATGATATTCAATTGATAAATTACTCTTATGTCATATAAAATACATAAACTAGTTTGTAAAATGAATAAACAGAAAATTTCAAATATTGTGAGTTCTGTTCTCCAGTAGAATTAAATGCTATTTCTTACAGTATATGATTCAATACTAACGTCAAAACTGATTAAAAAATAAACAAAACAATATCAAGTAAAAACAACTCCTGTTTAAAATGTAGAATGGTGTAGATCCCATTCAAGTATTTCATATTAAAAAAACAAAGTTAGAAATTAAAGAGGAATTTTACTTACAAACTGAAGAGAAGGACATTGTCACAGTTGGAAGAAAAGAAACACAAAAGAAAAATTAGTGATAGCAGACATGATCTGTTTTAAGGTAACTCAAATTCCTATGAAATTCAACATGAGGGTGACAAATAAGAAAGGAAAAAAGGTTTCTCTGGGGAACAGTCTGTATATTGTGTTCTTGAGATAATTTTACAAACTGTTTGCTACTCTTCAAATTTGGCTGGAAGTAATAATTTCCATTTATGTTTTCTTCAGAGTCAAGTCACATGACATAAATGAGTAATTGGATTCACCCAAAAGTTTAACTTGTTTATTTTCTTTTTTACGATGCAGTTAAATGCAATTTAATGAAGTTAATGACAAAGAGCATCAGCATTCTCTAGTAGTCAGCAGTTTTTTTGCATATGCACATGCATCAGAATTCCATGTGCCTTTGGTCTCAGGCTTTGAGCATGAACCTGCAGCATTATGAGGAGTGGCAGTTTTCCCCACCCACTTCCCTCCTTCTTTCTACTGTTTATTCAGTGTGGCAGGTGCCTTTTTCCCTTTCCTGTGTGGGGATGTATGACTAGGTTGCCAGGATTTTCCAGCCATGGGAGAAGTCTCCATCTAGGAGCTGGCTGTCAATAGTGTAAGCCCCTGGATGTTTCAGGCACCCAACCTCCACTAACGGATGCAGTTGTTGATTAAGTAATAAAATCATTCCTAGGTCTGAAAAAACAAATTAGTCACTTACCACATCCACAACCTTTCCATGGCACATAAAAGAAGGAATAAAAAAAAATCAGATCTATTGTACAGGTTTAACTCCAGATTAGAGGAAAGATGTTGAATTTCAACTTAAATGGATTACAGCACCTTTGAATTGTCTGTTTCTAATTGACTATAAAACATAAACTTGGTCGGGAAGGGGTTGTATTTTGGGAATGGCTGATTGTAAATCTTTTACTTGGATGAGGTTAACCTTCATTTGAGGAGTCTCATCCTAAAAAAAATTGTAAATTCTCAAATAACACCCTGAAGCTAGTATCAAAACTAACACAGATTAAAAATGTTATGAAACAAAGCAGAGAGTTTCTAGCAACAAACACCAGCTCCACTTGGAAGCACTGTAGCATTAAGTTTTTCAAGAATGGGGACTTGGTAAACTCATGTATTGTATATTGATAATACTTTACAAATTAATGTTAAATAGAAAAAGTATTCAACAGATAGATGTTAAATGTACATACCGGCTGTTGATGTCAGGTAAGATTCAACACATAAATGAGAAGGAAATGAAAGAGACAAAGTAAACTTGCTTATATTTGATTTTTAGTATATATGCAAGTACTTTATTATCAGTAAGACAAACAATTGATATTTTTATCATTTTGTTAAAAATAACAGAATGGGGACCACAGATTGCTTTTTTTGATTGTAAAAATTATTAGTATCATGCTTTGCACTTGCAAAAGTGTTAACATCTCAGAACAGACAATGTCAGTGGAAAAATATCTGTGCATATTTTCACCCTGAGTGGAGGCTTTCGTCCAAAGTTAAAAAAATGAGGCTGCAAATTACACACCGTTTTCAACTACTTGTTGTCATCAGCATGGAGTATATTCTACTGTTTAAGACGATGAGACACTGTCCCAAGCTTTGTTATGTTCCAATGTGCACTTACGAGGGCTCTCTAAACTCTCCACTTTTTAATTAAAAACCCTCCTGTCTGCTGCACCCTCCCCTCCCTACCTATACTAAGTTTGCTAGCTGCATGGGAACAAAGTGATGAACTTATCATAAAAAAAGAGAAAAGTCACTTACCCCTTTGTGCCACCTGCAAGCTTCCTCATGATTACGGTGTTCGCTGAAAAGCTTATTGCAATTAGTACATAGTTTGGTGTCACTAGCAAGAGTTTTAGATGTCACTGCAGAGGACATCACCGGAGATGATGGAGCGCTATAAACCACTCTCGATAAAGCTCTTTTGTAACGAGTAATTTCTGGAGACTGTCTCCCTCCGTATGAAAGATGATTCGCACTGCTTGTTCTTGAAATTTCGTTCCTGGCAATAGCACTCCACATCTTTGCGCGATTCAAATCTCTTTCCTCGAGCTCCACTTGAAAACTTTCCTCCCGCAGTTTCAGACGATGCTGTTTCACTCGCGCGGTCATTTCACGGCGGTTCTGCACAATCATGTGCAAACGAGTCCTTAGGAGACACTTCTGAACGATTTGATGCATTCGTAAATCGACATATTTTGTTGAGAACCCACATCCCTCGCACTGTACGACTCTGAAGTCACAACTTTGGAGGTGTAATGGAAGGTCTCTTCGCCGTACCTTCCGATTACAACCGATGTTCACGCAAACAGTGAAAGTCAGTGGGCAGTGATTACCGTAATGATCACTTAGTTTTCCTAGCGACAACACTTTCTCGCATCCCTTCGGACAGTTAACTTGCAGGCTTTCGTACTGCTCTCTCCATTCCCCATCAGTATTTTGGTCGCCCAAATACAGGGCTTTCTTGCAAACAGGACACGTAGGTGTTTTGCGTTTCATCCTCTTCTTGAAACACTTTTTACATAGCACATGTTGACAAGCTAAGCAAACTGGCTCTAGAAATACATCGTGGCAATGGGTACAAATAAATTCTCCGGGAATTATTTCGTCAAAATGCTCCTGTTTCAGTCCCATGATGACGAAAGAAGTGCGAAGGATGAACAATCAGCTTCGTGACCTAGCGACAAAGTGTTTACACCCAGATGAAAGTGATAGAAATAATTACCAGATAATCTTACAAAGCATTTACCGTAAAGGTAACCTTACCTTTTGTGTGGGTAATTGAATTATGTCAACTATTTTTTTATATTTGAATGGTCATGAGCTACTCATTTGCATAATATGCCTGACCACGACGAACGCGTGACTAGTAGGAAAAGTAAAGAAGATAACTAGTGAAGTCGCCCAGAAGTCATCTCGCCTAAAGTTATGTCGCCCAGAACCTGAATCATGTCGCCCAAAGTTTTACTCATGTCACTCAAATTAGCAAATCAAGTTGCCCGATCAGACTTACAGACTGTAAATAGGCAATAAAGTTGAGGAATCTCTATTACTAAAGCGCCGTTTGTTTCCGACAACATCATAATGTCTTAAATCAGCTACAACTAGATCTCTGGGTTTCATGTGAAAAGCCTAATTATAAGAACTTACATGAGTCTGACTAAATTACAATAAATTTAGAGGATTCAAGGATTTTTTTCCTCTTTAACATTGCTGTATTATCGAATTTTCATTCAGTATTCTCGTAAGAAAGGAAGATGTGGGGAGAATCGCTAGAAAACATGACTGTTTTCTTCTCTTGCAATAAAGTAAAACTAACAACTGAATTCTGAAAGTTTGGCAAGTAATAACATTTTTCAGATTCCTTCAAATGACAAAACGTTGTACGCTAAGCCCGTCTGGCAGTTGAGGGAAAATTCAGTCCTTCAGTAGGAGTCCAAGAACGTTCTTACCCTTGTGATTGAATACAAGTGAGACAACAGTAGTTATAAAAAGCGAGTCCTGGTGCATTTTGAAAACAACCTTGATTTCAAGGCGACTCATGAATTTTACCTCGAAAATCAAGGTAGATTTCAACCTTTATTTCAAAGAACAGTTCTGGCGCATTTTGAAAACAACCTTGATTTCAAGGCGACTCATGAATTTTACCTCGAAAATCAAGGTGGATTTTAACCTTGATTTCAAAGAACAGTTCTAGCGCATTTTGAAAACAACCTTGATTTCAAGGCAACTTATGAATTTTACCTTGATTTCAAAAAACAGTTCTGACACATTTTCAAAACAACCTTGATTTCAAGGCAACTTTGACTTTTTACAGGTTCACATTCGGGGGTTCTGGCGCATTTCATGTCTCACAAAAAACAATTTTGATTTTAAAGCAACTCATGAATTTTACCGTTTGGGGGTCGAAAAAAGCTCGGATCACTCGTAAACATGACGAAATAAAATTTGAATTTGAAAAGACATCGAACGGGTCGCATATTATTTTTACAAAGGATATGCAAAGTCAACACAACTAAACTTGTCTGTTGCAACAGACAAGTTTTTATCTTGTTTCTGACGCGTAAAAAACAGGTTGAAGAAATAAATGAAATGATTCTGACGCGTCGGGAACATTTTGAGGAAAACAAATTTGAAAAATTTCTGATGTGACAGAAACAAGAAAATAAATGTGAAAGAAACAGGTTGAGGAAAATAAATGAAAAATGTTTCTGACGCGTCAGAAAAAAATTTTGAATAAAATAAATGAGAAAAATTTCGCAGGTAATTTAGTGTTAACAACTGAGTTGAAAACGTAAATTAGCCACGGTAAAGGGTGAAAAAGCTGACGTTTTGAGCGTTAGCTCTTCGTCAGAGCGATGGACGAAGGGCTGACGCTCGAAACGTCAGCTTTTTCACCCTTTACGGTGGCTAATTTACGTTTTCAACTCAGTTAATAACACTAAATTACCTGCTATACTCTCCCACCGACACAGCACCACAGTTTCTTTAGAAACTTACCCCTTTAGAGAAAAATTTCGGATGCGTCAGAAAAAGTTTTGAAGATAACAAATGAGAAAAATTTCGGACACGTCAGAAAAAAATTTCGAAGAAAATTAATGAGGAAAATTTCGGACGCGTCAGAAACAGATTGAAGAAAATAAATGAAAATAATATTTTTGACGCGTCAAAAAAAATTTTGAAGAAAATAAATGAATAAAATAAATAAATTCTGACTGCGTTAGAAAAAGGTGGAAGAAAATAAGTGAAAATATTTCTGACGCGTAAGAAACGTGTTGAAGAAAATAAATGAAAAATGTTTCGGACGCGTCAGAAAAATTTTTAAAGAAAATACATGAGATTTTCTTTAAAAAAAAAAAAATTATCATTTATTCTCTTCAATCTGTTTCTGATGCGTCCGAAATTTGTCATTTGTCCTCTGAATAAAGAAGTGCTGCTCATTAGTTTACTTTTAAAAAAATATCTAAAAAATTGTTTAAACAAACTTAGCAAAATAATTTAAAAAATTATTTAAAAAATTACTTTGGCCACCAAAAATACTTACATAGATTAGCTATTGTTACGGTTTTCCTGTAACACACAGCACAATCTAAGTCTGGCAGAATATTACTGATAACATCCTTAATACGGGTATGACCAAAGTTTAACGTAGTCTTAATGACCATAATTCTGCCTGGCCGAGATCTATGATCAAGTGGCCTGGAGAACTGAAAAAATTAATTAAAACAATTCTTTTAAAAAATATTAAAAAATAATTGTAAAAAATATTAAAAAATGATTTTAAAAAATTGTTTGAAAATATTGAGGGCCACGGTTTTAGCTAAAACCGTAGCCTCCTAAATAATGTTTTCTCACCTTGCCCAAAAACATTTTTTCAAAGTAAAAACTTGCAAATTTATTTCAAGCTAAATATAAAAGGTTTGCAAATATCTTGGATTATATCACGTATTTAGGAGCCTGTGTACAATTGTATTTGATAGTCGAGGACACCTTATTCATCACCATTATCTACACACTTTCCATCTATCAATATCTCTAATTGATTTGTCATTAATCAGTGACTAATCAATATTAAAAAATAATTGTAAAAAATATTAAAAAATGATTTTAAAAAATTGTTTGTAAATATTGAGGGCCACGGTTTTAGCTAAAACCGTAGCCTCCTAAATAATGTTTTCTCACTTTGCCCAAAAACTTTTTTTTCAAAGTAAAAACTTGCAAATTTATTTCAAGCTGAATATAAAAGGTTTGCAAATATCTTGGATTATATCACGTATTTAGGAGCCTGTGTACATTTGTTTTTGATAGTCGAGGACACCTAATTCATTACCATTATCTACACACTTTCCATCTATCAATATCTCTAATTGATTTGTCATTAATCAGTGACAGCAAACTGATAAAAACAGCCTAGTTAAGATCAGTTACCCATCGTTTCACCCTGAAGCCCAGACCGTTTGTTTGAGCTGTCTCACTTTAACTCAAATAGCAGAGGTAAGCGCGCTTTCGATTTCTGAAGAAAAACTGAATTTCTACTCGCTCGCACTCAGGCTTAATCGTTTTTTTTTCTTGAAATTAAATAATGTCGTTCAAAAAGTTTTGGAATTCAGCTGTTTGTTTTTACCTTGTAACAAGAAAGATGAACACCGTTATGTTTCCAGCAATGCTCTCAACGTCTTCACTTCTTTGAAGAAAGTGTAGTAAAAATTCTCTTTCACAGAAGAAGTTTTTTACACAAAGTTAAGAAAATGGAACAAAAATGGAACTAAGTCGAAATCCTTGAAATTGTTTCTTTAATTTCGTCTGACCCATGTTGTTTCTCATTTATGTTAAGGCTTTTCACGGGAAACCCAGAGATCTGGTCATAGCTGATTATAGATATTTGTGTTTCAGGTTCTCATTTCAGATAAGTGATGAGTCTTGTCATCTACGTTTTGCTGATCACTTCTTGTGTGACTTTCGCCAGGTAAGTATTTATAAACTAAATTGAGAGGACGAAATCGAATACAAATTGAAACTTACTTTGCTTTCAGCAATGAACCTTTTGCAATACCTCGGTATTGTTCATTCTTTGAGCATCTTTAAAACTATTTGTGACTTGAATCTAGCGGCGCAATGCGATCAGTTTTTAATTTACAATTTCGCATTTTTTTTTTTCAGCTCCGAAGAGGAGCTCTATGGAGTTGTCAATGATGGTAAGTTCTACGAGCGACATCCACCTCAATATGCCAGCGACAATTGGCTGGGATCAGCCACTTTGATCGGCAGTGGAGAGTGGAACAGCTTCCAGTTTTTGTTCTTCCACCCAGACGGTACTTTATATGGTGTTCACAACGACAGGTTCTACAAAGGGCCTCCGCCTAAAGCTACCGGTACCGATGCTGCTCAGGACTGGATGAATACAGCGACTCTTGTGGGCAGTAGAGGATGGCATGTCTTCCAGTTTCTGTTTTTTGATCCTAAAGGGACACTGTATGGTGTTGCCCATGGCAAATTTTACCGGCGAGCCCCCCCTACACATGTCTCAGAAAAGTGGCTGGGATCTGCTACACTGGTTGGAAGTGGCGGCTGGCAAGTATTCCAGTTCTTGTTCTTCGACCCAATGGGAATGCTGTATGGCGTTGAAAACGGTAGGTTTCACAAGAGAGAGCCGCCCACGCATGCAGGAGACAACTGGCTGGGATCAGCAACTCTTATTGGTACTGGAGGATGGAGCCATTTCAAGCTGCTTTTCTTCCTGAATGACGGCAAGCTGTATGGCGTGCACAACGGCAAGTTCTACAAGCGTACACCTCCTGTCCGTGGGAACGATAACTGGCTGGGCTCTGCGGAATTGATAGGCTCAGGTGGCTGGTCTGTGTTTAAGTTCCTGATGGGTCCTCTGAGGCCACCTCCAAGGTGATTTGCAGTTATCATTGTTAGGTTCATATCCTAGTATTGTATTGCTTAAAGTTGGGGCGTAAAATTTTACACGTGAGTCGCACGAAAAAGGTTTATTTGGAGGTGTGGGTGGGGTGGGATACTAACACCCCTATCAATCCAGTCCCTCCAGTTTACAAAAGATACAACAGGAATAGATCAGTGTTCCCTCAGATGCGAATCAAATATTGTTACGCAGATAGACTCAGATGTAAACAGCCCAAAAATGTGTACTTCAACTGATAAGGATGAAGAAAACTCAATATAAACAATCTCGCCAGAACGACGTTTGATTAAAACCCAGTAAACAGAAAGACCATGGAACAGTTTACAATCCGCAAGATTAACGTGGAAATACAAAAAAGTCATGTTGAAAGTGTGTACATCGCAAAATGACAGCAGCTATTTTTTCCAAACCGCGGAGAGCAGATGACCCTATATAACTCAGATTGTGATATAACTAAACCTTACTGAAAAACAAAACAAAAAGAAAGGAGTGTCAATTTATTCATAGTACTTTGAACCACATGATACGGTAGGTCTTGTTCCTAATACATTACAACAGGAAAGAAAACAATCGAAACACTTTGCTCTGACGAAGGGCTAACGCTCGAAACGTCAGCTTTTTTACTCTTTATGGTGGCCAATTTACGTTTTCAACCTGGTTGTTAACACTAAATCAACTTGCTGAATACTTACTTTTTAAAGAAATATTTTTCACAAAATAAGCTCCGCTTAGTACTTACAAAAGAGTTTTGCGGATCAGCGTGTGAGTCTCTAGTTGTCGTTGTTGCTGTTGGTGTTTTTTTAAGATTTTGTCTCGAAAGTTTGATAGCTCGTAATCCGGTCAAATGAAGGAGAAGGACGTTTTCGTAACCATTAATGTTTAGTAAAAAACGAATAGATTTGAGGTACACTTTATTATAAATTTTTCCTTTTCATCAAGACGTGAGGACAAATTTTGAATCGGTAATAGACTTGAAATTTAATGAAAACATGTTAGTCAAACAGTATTTTCCAGCTATTCATTGTGATTCTCTGCCACAAAAAGCGAACAGAAAATGGACCAGTCGTGATCTTTGGTGCGCAAGGAACAAAGACAAGAATCAAAATGGGTGGACACAACCAAGCTTAAATTTGTGCTCAATAAATAAACACGTTCTGTGTGGGCAGTTTTAAGCCACGTTGTTCACCAAATTTGACTTCCTTTTTTTAGGCTTCTAAGTGAATCTTAATGTGACACACCTTTGAGTTTACACCCACCATTAGTCTCCATAGCCATCATTTTAAGAATAACATCTTTAGGTCGGTCCTACACTATAGTTTAGTGCACACAGATCAGTACTATATAACAGCAGTAACAGAAATATGAACTTCTTTTCTTCTAAACGAGAATGGATAAGAGTCGATAAAATGTAGTCAGTTTGTAACAGCTCAGAAACTGATTTGTTCTCTTTAGACTCTATGGAGTTGTCAATGATGGTAAGTTCTACGAGCGACATCCACCTCAATATGCCAGCGACAATTGGCTGGGATCAGCCACTTTGATCGGCAGTGGAGAGTGGAACAGCTTCCAGTTTTTGTTCTTCCACCCAGACGGTACTTTATATGGTGTTCACAACGACAGGTTCTACAAAGGGCCTCCGCCTAAAGCTACCGGTACCGATGCTGCTCAGGACTGGATGAATACAGCGACTCTTGTGGGCAGTAGAGGATGGCATGTCTTCCAGTTTCTGTTTTTTGATCCTAAAGGGACACTGTATGGTGTTGCCCATGGCAAATTTTACCGGCGAGCCCCCCCTACACATGTCTCAGAAAAGTGGCTGGGATCTGCTACACTGGTTGGAAGTGGCGGCTGGCAAGTATTCCAGTTCTTGTTCTTCGACCCAATGGGAATGCTGTATGGCGTTGAAAACGGCAGGTTTCACAAGAGAGAGCCGCCCACGCATGCAGGAGACAACTGGCTGGGATCAGCAACTCTTATTGGTACTGGAGGATGGAGCCATTTCAAGCTGCTTTTCTTCCTGAATGACGGCAAGCTGTATGGCGTGCACAACGGCAAGTTCTACAAGCGTACACCTCCTGTCCGTGGGAACGATAACTGGCTGGGCTCTGCGGAATTGATAGGCTCAGGTGGCTGGTCTGTGTTTAAGTTCCTGATGGCTCCTCTGGGTCCTTACTGTGCCTTCATAACGACGGCACAGTAATTCAAAATGCCGGATCTTAGATCACCTGGGAATTAAGCTAATGGATGGATGATGGAAATTGTTTGTTCTCTCTTCCATTAATATAAAACAAGGGGAATAAAAACGAAAATACAATCAAAAAAAGTTTCTTAGTTGTGAACGTTATCTATCTTAATCTTGGGCATAAGTGAAAAAACACCTCAAATACTTTTAACATCGCATGCATTGCAGAGAATCCCAGCAAAGCTTTGCTAAAGGGAAAATTGCAGTTCATTAATTGGTTTTAAAAAAAGGAAAGTGAAGTTTTGGCGCAGCTGTTTGGGATCTAAACCATTTTTGACGCTATTAGTCGTCAGTCTTGAAAACCGTAAGATTATAACAGAAACTACACGCAGTTAAAGACATCTTTTTGCCACAACCCTCCTCAAACTATCATCGAACATTATCGCCATATTCGACTCTCCATCTTTAAAGATGAAAATATGTATTCAAATGTGTTCACACGACTGTAGCACATTTCATCATGCTAGAAATATCAATAACTATGTGACCTAAATATTCCCGTGTGGACCTGCAATGTCTAAGAGAAACTGAACCATTTCCATCACTTGTTAAGTGCTCAAGTGCGACTTCGGCGCTTGAAACTTGCCTCGTCTTGTTCTGAAGTCTGGCTACAGCCCTGAGCTCGTTAGAAAAAGTACGTCTAGCTAAGATCAGTTACCCATCATTTCACCTTAAGGCCCAGATCATTCTCATAAATTTTACCACGAAAATCAAGGTGGATTTTAACCTTGATTTCAAAGAACAGTTCTGGCGCATTTTGAAAACAACCTTGATTTCAAGGCCACTTATGAATTTTATCTTGATTTCAAAAAACAGTTCTGACACATTTTCAAAACAACCTTGATTTCAAGGCAACTTTACTTACTTACAAGTTCACATTCGCGGGTTATGGTGCATTTCGTGTCCCACAAAAAACAACTTTGATTTCAAAGCAACTCATGAATTTTACCTTTTGGCCGTCGAAAAAAGCTCGGATCACTCGTAAACATAACGAAATAAAATTTGAATTTGAAAAAACATCGAACGGGTTGCATATTATTTTTACGAAGGACATGCAAAGTTAACACAACTAAACTTGTCTGTTGCAACAGACAAGTTTTTTATCTTGTTTCTGACGCGTCAAAAACAGGTTGAAGAAAATAAATAAAAATGATTTTGACGCATCAGGAACATTTTGAGGGAAGCAAATTTGAAAAAATTTCTGACGTGACAGAAACAAGAAAATGAATTTGAAAAAAAATAAATAAATGAGGAAAATTTCGGGCGCGTCAGAAAAAATTTTCAAAGAAAATTAATGAGGAAAATTTCGGACGCGTCAGAAACAGATTGAAGAAAATAAATGAGAATGATATTTCTGACGCGTCAAAAAAAATTTTGAAGAAAATAAATGAATAAAATAAATAAATTCTGACTGCGTTAGAAAAAGGTTGAAGAAAATAAGTGAAAATATTTCTGACGCGTAAGAAACGTGTTGAAGAAAATAAATGAGAAATGTTTCGGAAGCGTCAGAAAAATTTTTAAAGAAAATACATGAGATTTTCTTTAAAAAAAATTTTTCTCATTTATTCTCTTCAATCTGTTTCTGACGCGTTCGAAATTTTTCTCATTTATTTTGTCAGAATTTTAAATTCATTTTCTTCAACCTGTTTCTTTTAAATTTATTTTCTTGTTTCTGTCGCTTCAGAAAATTTCCAAATTTGTTTTCTTCAAAATTTTTCTGATGCGTTAGAATTTTTTCAGTTATTTTCTTCAATCTGGTTTTGAAGCGTCAGAAACAAGATAAAAAAATTGTCTGTTGCAACAGACAAGTTTAATTGTGTTGACTTTGCATATCCTTTGTGGGACACGAAATGCGCCAGAACCCGCGAATGAGACATTGTGAACCTGTGAAAAATTCAAGTTGCCTTGAAATCAAGGCTGTTTTGAAAATGTGTCAGAACTGTTTTTTTTTTTTAATCAAGGTTGATTTCAAGTTGACTTGAAATCAAGGAAAAATTCATGAGTTGCCTTGAAATCAAAGTTGTTTTCAAAATGCACCAGAACTGTTCTTTGAAATCAAGTTTAAAATCCACCTTGATTTTAGAGGTGAAATACATGTGTTGCCTTGAAATCAAGGTTGTTTTCAAAATGTGCGAGAACCCGCTTTTCATAACCATTACAACTCAAACAAATGATCTGGGCGTGAAATGATGGGTAACTGATCTTAACCAGACGTACTTTTTCTAACGAGCTCTTTGCACTCAAATATAGCATTAGTTGAAGTTGTTGGAAAATGAAGTGCTTGAAACTTTTAAAAAGGGGGTAAAAATTTAATAACAAACGGAAGGACTGTAATTGTATGAGAATTTCTTGTTCTCAAATCTTTTTGACATGAGCCGATTAAATTAGGGAAATATCTTGAGCACTTAACAAGTGATGGAAATGGTTCAGTTTCTCTTAGACATTGCAGGTTCACACGGGAATATTTAGGTCTCATAGTTATTGATATTTCTAGCATAATGAAATGTGCTACAGTCGTGTGAAAACATTTGAATACATATTTTCATCTTTAAAGACGGAGGATCGAATATGGCGATAACGTTGATAATGGTTAGAGGAGGGTTGGGGCAAAGAGATGTCTTTAACGAGTCTCTGTTATAAGCTTACGGTTTCTAAGACTGACGACTAATAGCATCAAAAATCGTTCAGATCCCAAACAGCTGGCCAAACTTTACTTTCCTTTTTTTTAAAATCAAGTAATGAACTGCAGTTTTCCCCTTTGGCAAAGCTGCGCTAGGATTCTCTGCAATTCATCCTATGCTTAAAATATTTGAGGTGTTTTTTCGCGTATGCTCAAGATTAAGATAGATGGTGTTATCAATAAAGAAACTTTTTTTGATTGTACTTTCAATTTTATTTCCCTTGTTTTATATTAATGGAAGAGAGAACAAATATCTTCCATCATCCATCCATTAGCTTAATTCCCAGGTGATCTAAGATCCGGCATTTTGAATTACTGTGCCGTCGTTATGAAAACTATTCATCAGACAGGACCCAGAGGTCCCATCAGGAACTTAAACACAGACCAGCCACCTGAGCCTATCAATTCTGCAGAGCCCAGCCAGTTATCGTTCCCACGGACAGGAGGTGTACGCTTGTAAAACTTGTCGTTGTGCACGCCATACAGCTTGCCGTCATTCAGGAAAAAAAGCAGCTTGAAATGGTTCCATCCTCCAGTACCAATGAGAGTTGCTGATCCTAGCCAGTTGTCTCCTGCATGCGTGGGCGGCTCTCTCTTGTGAAACCTACCGTTTTCAACGCCATACAGCATTCCCATTGGGTCGAAGAACAAGAACTGGAATACTTGCCAGCCGCCACTTCCAACCAGTGTAGCAGATCCCAGCCAGTTGTCTGAGCCATGTGTAGGGGGGGCTCGCCGATAAAACTTGCCATCGGCAACACCATAGAGTATACCTTCAGGATCAAAAAACAGAAACTGGAAGACATGCCATCCTCCAGTGCCCACAAGAGTCGCTGTATTCATCCAGTCCTGAGCAGCATCGGTACCGGTAGCTTTAGGCGGAGGCCCTTTGTAGAACCTGTCGTTGTGAACACCATATAAAGTACCGTCTGGGTGGAAGAACAAAAACTGGAAGCTGTTCCACTCTCCACTGCCGATCAAAGTGGCTGATCCCAGCCAATTGTCGCTGGCATATTGAGGTGGATGTCGCTCGTAGAACTTACCATCATTGACAGCTCCATAGAGTCTATAAAGAACAAATCAGTTTCTAAGCTGTTACAAATTGACTACATTTATCGACTAATCCATTCTCGTTTAGAAGAAAAGAAGTCCATATTTCTGTTACTGCTGTTATATAGTACTGATCTATTTGCACTTAAATATGTTGTAGGACCGACCTAAAGATGTTATTCTTAAAATGATGGCTATGGAGACTAATGGCGGGTGTAAACTCAAAGGTGTGTCACATTAAGATTCACTTGGAAGCCTTAAATATTTAGTCGGATTTGGTGAACAACCTGGCCTAAAACTGCCCACAACAGAACGTGTTTATTTATTGAGCACAAATTTAAGCTTGGTTGTGTCCACCCATTTTGATTCTTGTCTTTGTTTCTTGCACACCAAAGATCACGACGGGTCCATTTTCTATTCGCTTTTTATGGCAGAGAATCACGATGAATAGCTGGAAAAATACTGTTTAACTGACATGTTTCCCATAAATTTCAAGTCTATTACCGATTCAAAATTTGTCCTCACGTCTTGATGAAAAGGAAAAATTTATAATAAAGTGTACCTCAAATCTATTCGTTTTTTACTAAACATTAATGGTTACGAAAACGTCCTTCTCCTTCATTTGACCGGATTACGAGCTATCAAACTTTCGAGACAAAATCTTAAAAAAAAACACCAACAGCAACAACGACAACTAGACTCACACGCTGATCCACAAAACTCTTTTGTAGGTACTAAGTAGAGCTTATTTTGTGAGAAATATTTCTTTAAAAAGTAAGTATTCAGCAAGGTGTTTCGAATGTGTTCTTTCCTGTTGTAATTTATTGGGAACAAAACCTACCGCATCGTGTGGTTCAAAGTACCTTGAATAAATTGACACTCCTTTCTTTTTTGTTTTGTTTTGTTTTGGTTTGTTTTTTTTTAGTAAGGTTTAGTTATATCACGATCTAAGGTATATAGGGTCATCTGCTTTCCTCGGTTTGGAAAAATAGCTGCTGTTATTTTGCGATGTACACAATTTCAACATGATATGTTTGTATTTCCACGTTAATCCTGCGGATAGTAAACTGTTCCATGGTCTTGCTGTTCACTGGGTTCTAGTCAAACGTCGTTTTGGCGAGATTATTTATATTGATATTTCTTCATCCTTATCAGTTGGAGTACACATTGAACTGTTTAGATTTGAGTCTATCTGTGTAACATTATTTGATCCGCATCTGAGGAAACACTTATCTCTCCCTCTTGTATCTTCTTTTGTAAACTGGAGGGACTGAATTGATAGGGGTGTTAGTATCCCACCCCACCCACACCTCCAAATAAACCTTTTTCGTGCGACTCACGTGTAAATTTTTACGCAGCAACTTTAAGCAATGCAATACCAGGATATAAACCTAACAATGATAACTGCAAATCACCTTGGAGGTGGCCTCAGAGGACCCATCAGGAACTTAAACACAGACCAGCCACCTGAGCCTATCAATTCCGCAGAGCCCAGCCAGTTATCGTTCCCACGGACAGGAGGTGTACGCTTGTAGAACTTGTCGTTGTTGACACCATACAGCTTGCCGTCATTCAGGAAAAAAAGCAGCTTGAAATGGCTCCAGCCTCCAGTACCAATAAGAGTTGCTGATCCCAACCAGTTGTCTCCTGCATGCGTGGGCGGCTCTCTCTTGTGAAACCTGCCGCTTTCAACGCCATACAGCATTCCCATTGGGTCGAAGAACAAGAACTGGAATACTTGCCAGCCGCCACTTCCAACCAGTGTAGCAGATCCCAGCCAGTTGTCTGAGCCATGTGTAGGGGGGGCTCGCCGATAAAACTTGCCATCGGCAACACCATAGAGTATACCTTCAGGATCAAAAAACAGAAACTGGAAGACATGCCATCCTCCAGTGCCCACAAGAGTCGCTGTATTCATCCAGTCCTGAGCAGCATCGGTACCGGTAGCTTTAGGCGGAGGCCCTTTGTAGAACCTGTCGTTGTGAACACCATATAAAGTACCGTCTGGGTGGAAGAACAAAAACTGGAAGCTGTTCCACTCTCCACTGCCGATCAAAGTGGCTGATCCCAGCCAATTGTCGCTGGCATATTGAGGTGGATGTCGCTCGTAGAACTTACCATCATTGACAACTCCATAGAGCTCCTCTTCGGAGCTGAAAAAAAAAAATATGAAATCGTAAATTAAAAACTGATCGCATTGCGCTGCTAGAAAGATTCAAGTCACCAAATAGTTTTAAAGATGCTCAAAGAATGAACAATACCGAGGTATTGCAAAAGGTTTATTGCTGAAAGCAAAGTGAGTTTCAACATGTAATAAATTTCTTCTACTCAATTTAGTTTATAAATACTTACCTGGCGAAAGTCACACAAGAAGTGATCAGCAAAACGCAGATGACAAGACTCATCACTAATCTGAAGTGAGAACCTGAAACACAAATATCTATAATCAGCTACGACTAGATCTCTGGGTTTCCCGTAAAAAGCCTTAACATAAATGAGAAACAACATGGGTCAGACGAAATTAAAGAAACAATTTCAAGGATTTCGACTTAGTTCCATTTTTGTTCCATTTTCTTAACTTTGTGCAAACAACCTCTTCTGTAAAAGAGACTTCTTAGTACAATTTTTTGAAAGAAGTGAAGATGTTGAGAGCATTGCTAGAAACATAACAGCGTTCATCTTTCTTGTTACAAGGTAAAAACCAGCAACTGAATTCCAAAACTTTTTGAGCGACATTATTTGGGTTCAAGAAAATAGAGTATTAAACTCTCAAACGCTAAGCCTGAGTGCGAGCGAGTAGAAAGTTCAGTCTTCTTCAGAAATCGAAAAGTGCACTTACCTCTGCGATTTGAGTAAAAGTGAAACAACTCAAACAAACGGTCTGGGCTTTAAGGTGAAGTGATGGGTAACTGATCTTAACTAGGCTGTTTTTATCAGTTTGCTGTCACTGATTAATGACAAATCAATTAGAGATATTGATAGATGGAGAGTGTGTAGATAATATTGATGAATCAGGTGTCCTCGACTATCAAATACAGCTGTACACAGGCCCCTGAATACGTGATATAATCCAAGATATATGCGAACCTTATATACTCTGCTTGAAATAAATTTGCAAGTTTTTACTTTGAAAAAAAAATGTTTTTGGGCAAGGTGAGAATAAAACCGTGGCCCCCAATATTTTCAAACAGTTTTTTAAAAATTATTTATATATATATTTTTTTTCAATAATTGTTTTAATTAATTTTTTCGGTTCTCCAGGCCACTTAATCATAGATCTCGGCCAGGCATGATTATGGTCTGTAAGACTACGTTAAACTTTAGTCATGCCCGTATTAAGGATGTTATCAATAATATTCTGCAAGACTTAGATTGTATTTTGTGTTACAGGAAAACCGTAACAATAGCTAATCTATGAAAGTAAGTATTTTGGAGGCCAAATTAATTATCTTTAATAATTTTTTAATAATTTTTTTTTATTATTTAGTTATCTTTTAGAAATTTTTTTAAAACAATTTTTTAGTTATTTTTTAAAATTAAATTAGTGAATAACACTCTGCGCACCGTAGTTGTAAAACTTCTTCATTTTCCGACTTCTTCAGGAAGTTTTAAAGTTAACACTAAACGCCTGTATTTATAAGCCATAATTAGCGGTTATGCGGGGGGCCAATGATCAAAAAGGCTTGGCGAGACATACTAATAGGATCAGGCGAAGTTGCACAAACTTTGATCATTTTTTTGGGCAAGGTAAAAAAATTAATTTAAAAAACTGTCTAAAAAAATTTGAAAAATTAATCAAAAATTAATTTTAAAAAAATTGTTAAAAAAATTTAATAAAACCCTGTAATTGTTTTAAGGGGTGTTAATACCTGGATAATGATGTTTATTTATTCCAAACGATCATAGAATTAAACTGCTATTTCTCAATATCGAGATTTTGACTGACTAAACACATAGATAAACTACATCATGAATATACATCAATCACTTTTTTTCTCTGTAAGTAGTAATTATGTTCCTCGTATTTTGTTTTGTTTTTTTTCTTTCAGGCTGAAGAAAAGCTCAATAGGCATACACATGCAGTCCGCATTAGTGCTTTGTTAGCTCCCAAAATTCTTAGATAAACAACCTGTTTCATTTGGTGATGGCCAAGGCGACTCGAGCTCTCCGACAGAATAAATGGTCATAAAATATTCCTTGTCTAGTGTGGGTTATATCAGCATTTACTCTATTCCCTTGGACAACCATGTGCACTCGCGTAGTAAAAAAGTAAATTGCTTGAGGTTTTAAGATTGCGTGTTGAATGCCTTATAATTTCCTGTCAGGCATGTTTTTGTTGAATTAAGTAATAATTTTAAAAAAACTGTGTTAGAACATGATTTTATTTTTCTTAGACAAGTATCAGAGCAAGATTCAATAGAAGTTTATGGCTCTTATTTGAACTTTATCATAAAATATTTTCTCCATCGAGCTGATGTGATTTTCATGCTGTAATAACTGACTAAACCACAAGTGAAGAAATTTAGTAGCAATGATTTTAAATTTTATCCATTTTAATGCGTTTTTCAGGCTGTAGTACCTGGTTTAGACCACAATTTGAGAAATTAAGAAGCGAAGACTTTTTGTTTTATCGAGCTAGATATGATCTTAACATGCATTGTCAAGCAAGAGAAACATCACAGGAAAAATCGTTTGATCAAAACCAAATCGACCCGCGCGAAAAATGAGAAAGCAAAATTTAGCAAATAACGAGGGCTGAAGTTAAAAGAATCCTAAGGTGGCGAATTCTGAAAGTTTGGTGAGCGATAAAGACTATTTAGATTTTACACAATGACAAAATTCAAACGCTATAAGCTCGAGTGCCAGTTGGAAGAACATTTAGTCTCTCTTTCAAAGTCCAAAAACGTGGTAAGCTCTGCAGTTGAGTATAGGTGAAAAGGCTCACACAAAAGGTCTGGACTACACAGTAAGTGATCTTAACTAGGCCGTTTTATCAGCGTGCACCATTGATCAATGACAAATCAACTAAAGCTATTGAAAGATTGGAAGTGTGTGGACAATAGTGATGAATCATGTGTCTACCAAACGACTACCAAACACAGCTGTACACAGGCTCCTGGCTACGTGAGATAATCCAAGATATTTGTAAACCTTGTATATTCAGCTTGAAATAAATTTTCAAGTTTTTGCTTTGAAAATGCCTCAAACGTGTGGTAGCTACTTTATGCATTATTTTTCAGATTTTAGCAAAATTGCATGACTGTTTTCGCTCATTCCCTACAAATAACTGAGAGTGCACAAAAGTGAAAGAGAGCCTGAAGGAATTTAAGCAAAAACAGGCAGTCTATAGAAAGCCTTTTACTGACTAAAATAGTTATCTTTTAAAATTTTTTTTATAAAAGCGTATGTATGGTTAGTTACTTGTGGCCATTCTCGGGTCAGAGGAAAGCACAAGTTTTCCGGCGGTTGGAATGTTGACTGCATCAAGGGTGAAGTGCCGTTGAGTGAACTGCATATTGAAACAGTAATTGTTTTAAGGGGTATTAATGCCTGGATAATGATGTTTATTTATTCCAAACAATCATAGAATTTAACTGCTATTTCTCAATATCGAGATTTTGACTGACCAATTTTTGTCAATTGAAGTACTGATTCGCACTAAAATGATTCAATTTCTGTTATGTTTGTCTGTTTTGCCATAGAGGTAAATAACATATGCACAAAACGTGTAACTTCGCACCCTTTTGAGTCATTTTCATTTTGCTGAATCAAATCTTTCTCGTTTATCTACACACTTACACACTCCATACAATGATTCTCCCGAAGGCCACTTCATAATTGCATGAGATGTTACGAACCCTAACAGAGGAGCTGAAAAGGCATAAACAAACAGTCTGCATTGATGCTTTGTTAGCTCCTGAAATTCTTCGACAAACAGCTTGTTTTATTTGGTGATGACCAAGGCGACTCTCCGACAGAATAAATGGTCATAAAATATCCCTTGTCTAGAGTGCGTTATATCAGCATTTACTCTATTCCGACTTGGATAACCATGTGCACTCACGTAGTAAAAAACTGAGCATGAGTTGTGTCAGTCGTTTGGGGTTTTTAGATTGCGTGTTGAATGCCTACTAATTTTCTGTCTAGCAATCAGAACTAAACAACGATAAAATTGAAAGAACTAGTAGACTTTCCCATTTTCGAGAATTTGAAACTTCACCTCGAACAAGACAAGTTATCGCCAAAGTTCTGAAAAAATCTCACGGTGCATGTTGTAAAATGGTTATCTTCTTGAAATTAATAAGTTTCCTTCTCGTCTGTCTTTCACCAGACAGGTAAGAGATGACGGACAGACAGTTGATTTAAGAGTAAATATTTGCAGAATTGGAGTACTCAGCTGGAAATCAATTAGCACATTCGACTATGAGTTTTCTCTTCCTTTTTAGACTTGCACGGGAGCATGTTTCTATCAGTGTAACTATATGGCTCATACTTGTAATTTATTTATAGAACCATTCCTCTGTGGAATTGATGGGATTTTTAGGCTTTCGTAACTGATTTAGACCACAGTTGAAGGGATAGAGAAGTAAAGATCTTAAATCGAGCTAACTATAATCCTAACATGTACCGTCACGTGAGAGAACCATCACTGAGAAAGAACGTTTGATCAAAACCACATCGACGCGCGCAAAAAGTGAGAAAGTAAATTTTAATAACGAAACAAAGGCTAAAATTAAAAAAAACGTAGAGAATTGTCTCAGCGGTCATAACATAAGCGGAGAACATTTAAGTTTAAAGTTGTGACGCTTGTTACTCTTAAGAACATACTTTTCACAAGTACAAAACGATCTAAAGCGATGATTTGCGTTCTTTTGCCTAGGGTTGAATCAAGCCAAAGAAAGCTTCCAACGTGGATTGTGACATGGACCAAATAATATTTAACATGCGATACCAGTTGATGAACAAAGAAGTCGAAGGGAGTTTTAACATATGTATTAGTTTTAGATAATTATGTCCCTTTATATTCTTCGTATCAGTTTTACGACCCTTGTAATAAGTGAATGTTTACGGTTTTCTTCAGATGTTGACTAAATCTTTGAAAATCATGTTGCATATCTTGTTTTAATTGCGAAGAACTAAAGTAAAAAAAAAAAACAACAACAAAAAACAAAAGGCTTCGGCTTCTGGCGAATTAGGAAATTGATTTCAAATCATTTGATTTTACTCTGCGTCTTCCACCTCCACGCAATTTTCTAATTCTGCCTTGTTCCTTACCTTGCGTTACTTGAAAAATCTCTACAGACGTCTTTTAAATTTGTTCCTGCGCGAGTAGTTTGAAATTATTTCAAAAGGTAATTATAATGAAAGATATGCTTTCCAAAGAGTAAATTCACTATGATAACTTACAAAGTAAATAAGGAAAATTAGGCTAAACTTGTGATTTTTTGACGTTTTTGTTCAACAGAATCGGGAGTTGAAGCCGAATAATGAACTAAAGGCTTATTCACAAAAGGATCAATTAACATTGGGATTTGAAAACTGTGGATTGATAAAAAACGATGATCTTTGATCAAAAACACCCTGAAACATTAAAGAAAGGGAGCTCACAGATCTGCGAGAATCTACCAGTCCATAAGGAATTTTTTGTCTGAAGTCCTGACGAAAAGATTTAAATAGGACGTTAGTGATTTAAAACGTTATTTCAGGTACGGTATATTTGGATCAAGTTTCAGTGCCATGGTTGAGTTTGTTTTCCGTCATCTGTTGATAAAACGGAAAGTCGTGAATGTATAAAGATCAATTGATTACCCTTGAACTCCTTCGAGTGACCAATACATAATTTCCCCTCACCAAATCAATACAATATCAAACATACAAGTGATGAGAATAAAGCCAAATATCAGTTAGGGGATTATTAGTTGATTCAATACCACATTCTCAGTTATAAATCTTCCCTTATTGTCAGCTGACGCACAACAATGTCAGTGCTTGGAACTGTTGTTACGGATCAGTGCCAAGTTTACACTGCAGTAGTAAGACACTTTGCTCACAGTGCTCAGCGCCTCTTCGGAGCGTAAACTAGCAGTGAAGGGAACTTATTGGGGGAGGGGAGAGAGATTAACCTGCAATGGACCATCATCCCATCCAGGTGGGGTAACCACCTTGTGGGTCGGTAGTCTCCAGGGAGGAATTAACCCTCTTTTCTCCAACCTTCTTTTCCCATTTAAATTTAGGGATAGCTTTTTGAAAAACAGGGATAATAACGAGCTATTAATAGTTCCGGGTCCCCAACATTACCAATAACTTATAAGCAGTTAAAGCAAAACTTAAAGGTGTTTTCGACGGGTTATCTCATTTGTTTGAAACTTTAATTCGTCATTACTCGAATAAAGTATTGCTGCAAAGCATTGTTAACATTGTGTTCTAAGCCATGTGAAGCTCAGCTAAAAAAATTAAGTACTGCAACTGTCAAGTTAAGCAGAAATAAAAAAGGTTAAAAAGTTTCAGTTATCATTTTCTTATCTTACCAAAAATAAATAATTCTTTAATGATCTCTAAAAATGATAAAAGTTCCCAGGACATATCTACAGATTAATCCCTAATATTTTGACTATCATTTCGAGCGATTGGAGCATAACCATTGGAGACAATGCGTTAAATTTTGGACGCCGTACGTCAAGGAATGAACTAAGACAGAAACAAGGAATTACTTCAAATTACCACAACATTTCAATACTGTGAAAGAGTACATCATGCAATTTTTAATTATCAAGAATTACTTCTCAGTTTAAATTGCATGTCTTATCAAAAAAGTTATCATTCTATTCTCCAGGCCTAGACAGGCAACAACCAATCCAATGCAAATATGAGTAGACTTCTAAGTGAACTCACCATCAAGAATAAGCGAACAGAAAAGTAAGAATTATTGTTGTATCAAATAGCTAAAAAGACTGCCCGCAGTCTTTTAAGCTTTGCTAAGTTTGTTACTGATGAACAATAACTACAAATACTTAGGACTAAAACAATGAGAACATTCCTTCTCCTTTTGATGGGAATTTAGTTGTAGGGGAAGGTAAGTGTTTTCATTTCGGTGCAGCTACCTTCTACACCCTCAGCTGTTTGCGAATAGTGCTGATACACATGTGCAAATTGATTTATTAACTGGTCTCTCCCTAAAAGAAAAGGAAAAAAATGAATAAATCAGGTGAACAATGCAAGTGTTAAGACCTATAACGAAATCATTAATCGAATTATAATTATACCTACCCTAAAGGTATTATAATTATCCCTACCCTAAAGGTATTATAATTATCCCCACCCTAAAGGTATTATAATTATACCTACCCTAAAGGTATTATAATTATACCTACCCTAAAGGTATTATAATTATACCTACCCTAAAGGTATTATAATTATACCTACCCTAAAGGTATTATAATTATACCTACCCTAAAGGTATTATAATTATCCCCACCCTAAAGGTATTATAATTATACCTACCCTAAAGGTATAGCCACATTAATCCTTTGACCTATAAGAACCTTGTGAAGGTTTACGGATCAAGCCACTTGTTCAAGAGGAGTTATGAACAAGACACATGTTCATTTTCATCTCAGCATAAAAACCCATAATAAACTGTAGACAGATACTTTAAACATTTGTAAACAGAATTTATTGAACAATATCCCTATACACCTGCACTGAGTTTTACCCAGCACAATTCGCTCATATACTTAACGTAAACTTTAGTGCACCATTTGCCAAAGACCAGAACTAATTGTGCTCCGGCCTTGAGTTTCATAAAAGTTTAGTACTTTAAGTTAAAAACAATATTGAAGTACCACAACCTAAAGTTAGCAAAAAAATTATATAAAAAACATAATAACTCAATAGTGTTACTTGATCTGTGCTTTAGTTTGCATTACACATTAGCGATCATAAACGGGTGTCAAGAAATGAAATGAAATGAGAGTGTTACCTGTTGTCGACTTCTTTTAGAGCGCCTTGACCTTTGCTTTGAAAGAAAATTCTTTATGGACCTTGGCATTGGAGAACTGCTGCGTTTCTCTACAGGTCTTGAATTTGATTTAAGGTCTCTAATTTTTATGCTCTCCTCCTCTTTGGGAATTTCTCCTGCAAGAGGTGTACTGTGGTTAGCAGCCAAAACTCTTTCACGAGGAGAATAGTCTTTGGATTTTGAATCTTGATTAATTTGATTGCTGACTCCTTTGTCCTGTAAATTTGTTTGATTTCCACTTTGCTGCGAAACAACGATATCATCATTTCTCATGATGTCTAAGTCTTGTCCTTTCTTCTCCTGAATTTCCAAATTCTGTTTCAATTCCAACTCCCTTTTCATCAGAGTTCTATCTTGTATATCTTGTGAAGATTTGGCTTCATTTGAAACACTATCCAATTTTTCTGAATCCTTGGAATCGGATTCCTTTATGGTATCTGCAGTTGCCTTTGTAAAAAAAAAGGACATACATGATTCAAGGTAAACATTGTTTAGAGCACAGTAGACTTTTTCTATTTCTAAAAACAGCAAACAGCCTATTGTAAGGTTGTCCTGTAGCCTTTTTTCCAGTTTTTTTGACAGTTTACTGTTATCTATTGTATTCCTTGGCAAGAAGAGGCACTGTGTAGGTAAAGTGTCTTGTTTAAGAACACAACATGAGAACCTGACCAAGCCTGAACCTGGACCTTTCAATCTGAAGTCCTCTGCCTTAACCACTAAGTCACTGCATCTTTAGGAAAAAAGCCAATAATAAAAGAAACTTTTGTGGCTACATTTTGGGATACATGGAGGCCCAATTCTTAAACAAAAGGCCCAGGTTTATGCCCTAGTTGGCTCACAATGTTTTGTCCTTGGACAAGACTGGAGATTAAACTGGTACCAGCAACCTTCCAAGGAAACTTGAAGAACTGCTGTTGGGTTACATTGTGATGGACTGGTGTCCAATTCCAGGAGGATACCAGTATTCTGGTCACTCCATGGTAAAAAGATTATGTTAAGCTCAAGCAAGCAAAGCTCAAGAGATTTTACTAGATCTTCAAGCCAATGCAGGTTTTTTGAATAGGTCTTTACATTCTATAAATTTGAAATATAAATAGGATAGCTTGAAAAAGTCAATAGACTTAGGAATGATTTTGACACAAGTTTAGAGCAAAGAAACTCCAGGCCATCCTTAATATGCTAATTGATTAAAACTTAAAAACATACAAAAGTTGAGATCTTAGAGTTGCTCAATGATGATAAGGTAGGTATAAAAAAAAATAGTCATTAGAAGTCAGAAAAAAGTCATCAAGGATTGTGGACCTACTGTACAAATAACTTTGAAATAGCAAAGACAAATGAATTAAGGGTCTTTTTAAAGAACTCTTGCAAAAATGTAAGGAATTTTTGAAAGACCACATGAACTCTAGCAGACATGTAAAACCTTTCAGTCTTGTGAATGATTAACAAATAATTTCTTATTATATTATTGATACAGTGTACATAGAAAGGTGACAAGAGAAAAGCAGTATCAGTTGGATATTGTTTGACTGAACTCTAAGTTTTCAGAGCCTAAGTTATCAGAAAAGTATGGAATGAAGAGGTTAGTTGATAAAGAGATCTAAAGAGTGAAAGGTTACCTCCATAAAATTACAGCTTAGTTTAAAGAAATGCTCAATTTACTTTTACATTTTGTTCAATTAACTGATTTTTAAAAAATGTTATCCTTGGATAGTGTCAATGGTTGTGAATTTAGTGTGACAAGAGATTAATAGTTAGCATTTGAAGATTATAGAGATTGATGGCCAAAGACAAAATCATACAATAAATTCTCAGTGCATATTTCTGTTAAAGGTTTTATTTTCACATAGTGCACCTTAATACAGTAATTTGCCCTAATTTAACAGATTTTGCTGTACATGTGCTTATCACTCCACACATTTGACATCCATGTACCACCCAACTGTACTTATTCTCCCTAAATGCTATTGTACAAGTTTTAAAGAATGTCCTATAATGTTGCCAGAAATTTCCCTGATGGATTCTGTTCAACAAGGTGTTCACCACTTCAAGAGAATAGAGGGCTAAAATACCACATTCATATAGTCATCTTCTTTAGGTTAAAAGTTTATTTTTGATAGTGTTTCTTTGATTGGTAATGAACCGCAAAGTTTTGGTACTAATAGCCTTTTACAGTGTACTCTCTTCTCACTTTGAAATAATTACATTTTGGCTTTTTACAAAGCACCTAGGTGCTGGCTTATTAATCAAGGTTTAGGAAGGAGAACTTAAAGTACCATTTATGTTAAACTTACTGTTTATGGAAATATGGATTTGGCAGAACAGGTGAAAGTCTTTTCATGTTATATTCTAGTGTTTATCAATGAAATAATAGCATGGAAATGAAACCTAGAACTAACTAAAATGCATTTCCTAAATGGAACTGATCAATATTAAGGTAGCACTCCTATGGTCTATAAAGCTAACACTTTGGCCATCAATCTAGATATTTGTTTTAAAAATTAACAGGTTTAGTTTGTTTCCATCCATTTATTGGTCAGGAGGTGGTCTTGTTTTCTTTCCACCTGAAGATTGCTTTGGAAAAATATGACTTTTTCACTAGGAATATCTGAATGGATTGAATGAATGTAAGTCTTCAGCAAGGGAAATAAACCATGGCAACTCAAAAAACCTATTTGTCACACAAACAGTGAATGTATTTCCTGACCCATTCACACATAGCCCAGGCAGCCAATGCAGTATATATGAGAGCATCAGGTGTGATGTTGCATGTGTTAGGAAGAGAACTGAGGAATGAGTCAGGAAGTAAACAGCCGCTCTTCATCCCTACTGATTAACAAAGAGTTGCACATTTTTGTTTCCCTCACTGATTCTTTACAGAACCTTATTTGGCTGCTCCAGCTTCTTCAACTCCTCATCAATTTCTTGTTGTGAGACCCTGATTGGTTCAGCATTAACAGCTTTCTTGATGCCTGCATTCACATTATTAGTTTTCTCCTCCATGTTGTCCACATTGTTTGACTTGTCATCTTCTTTACTCATTAGTTGTCGCTTATCATTCTTCAAAGGTTCTTCATTGTCTTTTTTCTGAAGTGGATCATCCTGTGGGGCATGAGGCACTGGAGGTTCTTGTCGCTTAACCTCACCCTCAATAGGTCTAACAACATTCTCTGTCTGCTTTAATCCTTCATTAACTGTGGCAGCAATGGGTTTTTCAGCTGGCTTGACATCATTTAAGCTTTTTTCATCTTTGGCAATATTTCTATCCTGCCCTAGACCAATCTTAAAGAAAAAAACAGAAACAAATTGAATGAATCTCTGTATTGACTAAAAGTTTGATGCAACTTGTTACTTCTGAAAATTGAACTCTACATTTAGAAGTATTTTTGAAATTCAACATCAAAAGTCCTATTTTAATTCTATAAATTGCACTAATAATAAACTGATATTTTAATCATAACTGATAGTAATGAAATAGAGTACACTCATCAATTGCCTGAAGTGGTATTTTGGCCTAAGGTGTTACATACAAATGGTGGAGGACATGACAGCTCAATGGTTAGCACACTGAAGTTAGGATTGAAAAGAATAGCTTTGATCCATGACCAAGATCATTATGTCCAAAAGCATGGTTCCTTTCTGTTGCCATGTTAATTAAATATGAAAGCTCCATTTAGAGTACCAGGAGTTATCTGTGCATGTATATCAAAACAACACCCTTCAGCTGATAAGTCTACTGTTATCACTAGCTTTCTAGAGGTATTGATACTGCACAGAGAGTTTCATGTGAAAGACATGCTCCACCCTCAATAAGTCTCTTTCATAGTTAACTGATAACAAGGAAGGGTAGCATTATGATAGAGATCACATGTAACCCTTTTTCCCCCAAGAGTGACTGACATCTAATTTGTCCTTACAATATCACCCTTGAATCAAACATTAATGGCAAGAGAATAAAGGAAATGATCACCAAGTAAAGAAAATCTCAATTTTTAAACAAATTTTCCTTGTCAACATCTTAGGAAATAAATTAAGAACAGCATAAAGAATATGGATACTGATGTTATGAGTGTAAAGGGTAAAAGATGTAGGTATTCCTATAGAACTGAAGTTCTGTACCTTAGCTATGTCTACATCAACTGGTGCTTCTCTGACACCAACATGGAGCAGGGTGTCATTAGTTATTGACTGTGGAGGATTATGGAAGTCTACCGGCTTAATAGGATCAATTCCTGGCGGATGGATGTCAACTTGGTGGTGTGAGCTTTCTTCTTGAGTAGTTAGCACCGTGTATGTGCCTGCCACGAAGAAAATTACACCCAAACCAAAGACAACCTGTGAAAAATAGGAGTAAAGAGACTAAATGCTTGTATGTGAAACTCATTATTCTTCATGCATGACTAAGAGTCATGCAGTGTTTCTAGCATGCAAGTTTAAAACATTGTGTTGTGACAATCTCACCCAAAACAACCTTTCAACCCAGGGTACTACACAGCACTATATATACAGTCTTTATATTTGTCCACAAATTCTTAAGTTCAATACACCTGGTTAGGTATGAGAAAACAGATTTATCATAGCATAATAACTTATGAAATGAGCATGCAAAGCATCAAGGAATCATGCTTCTGGTTGATGGCAACTCTTTCCCCCAATATCATTAGTAAATGATTCATTTATAGTCAAGAAATTCAGCTTCATAGATCACTTTTTAAGCTTTACAAACTACAGTGAAAATTCAAACAGCTTACTTCTAACATAGGAAAATGCAAGCACACCAGATGCTCTCAGGTTTATTTTCAGTCTCTTAAGTTGAGATGAGAAACCCAAGGCAAACCTGGATTCTGTATAACAATCAATCAGGCAATCAAGCAATCCAACAAACTCTCTTTCATTTGCAACCAAGCTTTTTGCTTTTAATTATTGAAAGCAGAACAATGTGTGTTCTCAGTTTTTCCCTTTGGTATAATTATTATCTACTGGGCAGCTAAGCTTCTTCATAGGATTTATATATTAATGCAACCCTCCTCAGCTGTTGAACATTTAGTTGCTTACTTTCATGATGGCTACCACAGTTCTGCTGACTCACCTTGGCTACAAACCTTGCAGATGTCTTTTCAGTTACAACATGTAAAAACATGGTGGATGGGAATACAAATGCTATCAAAGTGCCCATTGTTGCTCCAGTCAATGCTAACACAAATTCAACTAAAAACCATAGAGAAAATTAGTAAAAAGAGGTTTGTTGAGCATTTATACAATAAAACAATAGAAGTTATGTTCCAGGGCATAAATGTGTTTTGGGCTTGACTAAAAGCCCCAAAACATATCTATGCCCACAAACATAAGCTGACTATTACTGTAATTATTATTACTTGGAGGTTATAGAGAAAATAAAAACTGATCACACTTAACAACAGTCTGAACAATCATGGGAACATGCAAGCAGGCCAACATATATTTAAACCTGGCAAGATCTCCATTTAAGCCTGCAAAATGTGCCACGATGCCCAACAAAATAATAATGTCATTTTTAATCATGAGAACCTTGTTTTTGAACTAAACTAACATAACTTAATGTAACAACTTTGTTTAAGTGTTGATGTTAAAAAGCTAACTGGGGACATTAAAATAATAGGAAAAAAAATTATAAAAGGAGTTTATACATGGTATCATCAGATAAATTCATAATTCACTTATTAAATAAAATTTATAAAAAGCTAAAATTTAAAAGTTAAAAATTAAGGAGTTATCCCCACTAAAATATATAGAAAAATACTAAAAATATTTCTAAAAATTTTCTAGAGAACTGCAAATAAGACATAAAAAAGCTGCTTTCCAACTGCTCAATTTCCAAATGATCACACCATGACTTGAATCTTATATGCCTTTAAGTCAGGACAAAAAATGTTGTTGTTGTTCTCAATCTCAGAACAACATCTTTGTTGATAGTGCAATCATGCACTTACTTTGTGGAAAGAGAATGCCCAACATCAGGGTGCTAGATATGATAGCAAGGGTGAGATAAGTGAATCTATCTTGTGGAATGAAGTTGGCACCTCCTGGTAAATTTTCTGAACTTCCTGACTGCTGACAGAAATAAATCAACTGCATAAGGATAGGTCATACTCTGGACATGACAACATCAACAACAATCAGACAGTAACACTTAGCAAGGCTGATATCATGTTTATGGTGTGTAAAAAAAAAAAAAGAAAAGAAAAAAAAATGCAGAGAGATAGGGAGAAGTTCATAACATAACCTGACATCAGAATGTCTTCATTGTGAGACATGCTTTAGTTAATATTTTACTGAATTATATGTTCAGTAATTGATATTTCTAGAATATCTAAGAAAGAAATCCTTCTTTGTTAACATTTAGTTCTAAGTTTATCTTAAATGTAGATTAACTGACAAGTCTTGTTATGCCAGGTCTGTTCTCCATCCTGATGGCCTACACTGCCACAGCTTATCTCTGTTTTAGTAACATTAAGTAACCAAGACAATTGCTTCTCCCTTGGTTATCATACCAGTGCTTTGCAAGTTTACCACATGAGTTTGTCAAGTTTGTACAAAAGTTTGACAACACCCATTTAAAACACTTAAAGGAGAGAGGCTTTGTGCTCAAGAGGTGTCTTAATCAGTATAGGGGTCCTACTCAGACCTCTTGAGGTGGACCATTAACTCTTGGGCCACTGCATCCCCCATTCTGGATACACCAGTATTTGAAACTTAACATTCACTTTCTTGGATAGATTTTTACTGACCTGCTGAAATATCAAAGAATGTAGACTTGCTCGTAGAGGATAAACCATTAGGGGAAAGCTGACAATAACTGACATCACAAAGCCTGTAGGAATATAAACAGTAAAAGAAGCAGTTTATACTTGAACTAAATATAGTATATGGAGTATTTCCACAAACAAATGTCAGTAAGAGCCATTGCAATATTAATGGTGCAAACATCAGTTGCCATATCAGTGACTTAGTAAGTTACATTAACTGGTTTGTCTAAGACCTTACCTAATTTAATTATCTGTGAAATAAAAGTGTTTCCATAGTTTGTCAACATGTCACCCTTGACACCAACACTGTAGAAGCTGACGTAGCCAAAAAATCCAACCTATTTCATTACCAAAGCAGGGAAACAGGGTATTGTTAATATTTAACACTGGAATGACAACAAACACCTAATTGAAAGTTAAGCTGGTAATATATTCAGAAAATAAAAACTCCCATAAGAGAATAGTCAAAGAGACTAAAGCACAGTGGATGACTCAAACCAAATAAGAGGGATAACCTAGTAACTGGATTATTTCCAATTCTGAATTAATAAAATGCAAAAGTAAATAAAAACGGGAAAGAGCAAGGCTACCAGACATTTATTGCAAATGTTATGATGTCTGTCGAAAATCTCAGTGCATAAGTGAAGTACAAGTAACTGTAGAAAAAGTTGAATACTATCATTGTAATGATGACATACCAGAAAATATACAGAAGCCACAATGTTGATTCCAGTATTGACAACACCTTCCATTTTTTTAACTGAAGGTTCAGGTAAGGTTTCATAGAGTGCAAACAGCTGCCTACAAGTAATTAATCAAAATATTGTTTTAAGTGAAATGTACACTTAAATGATTAAATGATAAATTAAATTAATGGTGGGATTACTTTGAATCATTAAATAATTTTGTTGACATTTTTGGTCATTATCAAAGATCAACATACCTAAAACAGTTAGGAAATTCCATTCGAAAACTGATTGAACCAAAACATAACATTATAAAAGTCATGAAGCATAATTTGACAACAAAATCACTGTATAACTACAATTTCATCCCAAGATGGCCTAAAAGGTTGAACACATTTTGCTAAAACATGGAAAATAACAAAGACCCTTACCACATACCTCTTACAGTCATGTATGAAATCGCAGATAAATGCAAAATTCATACTGTTGTATACCGAAATTTAAATACTCTCTGTTATTAAAATACTCTGTGCAAAGAACTCTTTTACTGACATGTCTAGGTGTCTCAGGCAATCAAATTTTATTCTTCAGGCAATTAGTACAGATCAATTTTTTTATCTGAACACTAGATTCTTTCGTAAAACATTTTGGCATCCTGCAGTTGTCCCTAGAGAATGCCATTAATTTATTTGAATCAAAGAAATAATCAACTTCAAGTTTCTAATTGCTCCCCTCCTCACCTTCACTCCATACGTATAGTTACACTTTAAACAACTCCGTGTCAAAATTGTAATTATCAATGGTGAATGTATATAATTAATTTTTTGTGTGTAAAAATAAATTGATAACTCAAAAAATTGTTCTTCCAGGTTTTAAAACCAAAGTAATACTTACGTTTGGCAAGTAAATGCTAATGCAAAGATGGGCAAATAGTGGAGAAGTTTCTCTGGTCGCCAGTAATTTAAGTCGTACAACCAAGATCCTTCCATGATCTTTGGCAATGCACTCAAAAATGCCTGTAACAAAAGATAAGGACCACAATAAAATCTATAAGCATGTTCCACTAACAACATTTACTTACATCCTTTTCAAAGATCTCACAAGAAACCTCATTAGGAAATACATCTAGTAGATAGCAAACAAAATAAATTCTTAACTTACCTGTAGAACAAAAAATCCATAAAACAGCAGGGCAGCAGAACTGAAGGAAGCTAAGCTTTGAAGATTTCTCATCAACGACAAGGGTAACCCAACACCAAATGCAAGTACTGTCATGAGAACTGCTCTCATAGTCCATGACACCTACACAATTGTATGAGACAGTGAATGGTCTCAGTAGTCAAATGAGGCTTCACATAAACATTAAATGTGATATGAAAACCCCTATTAAGTGAAACTAATTCTAGTTTTCATTCGCCTAGTTTCATTTATCCTTTCACTGGTGTGATACCTTAAATTTCACATATTTTATCACATGACTGTTACATTACAGAAGGCTGGCCATACCTGTAATCCACTTAAATTCTGAAATATTGAAGGAACCAAGTCTCCAATGATAACATTGAATGCTATAAGAGTTCCTAGAAGAAGACCAATAATACTGAAACAAGAAAGAGAAAGCAATCATTTAACTAAGAATAATAAATTAAAGTAATTCATGAATTTAATAAGGGTGATCACTACATGCAAAAAGATATTACAACATTCCACTTGGAAACTAGTCTGGAATACACTGTTAAGCTGGAAATTCCTTTTCTTAAAAGAAGAAATTGTGTGGCCATTGTAAAGATTTGTGATTGGCCACATAGGCCATTATTATCCTCCTTTTCACTGATTTTTTTTTTCATTTATTTATTATTAAAGATGGTATATTCTCTGGTGTTGACAGACTTCTACATAAGGTCACCCAATGCATATGGCTTTGTTAGTTACTGCCAATAACTTGTTTTTTGTGTTAAAGACAAAAATACATGCATTGTGTAGATGTTTTTTAGAGTTATCAATGTTAATTTTCACTAATGTGAAATGTTGTACCACAAAAGCCTTTGACTTTAATTGAAGTGTATGTTTGGCACTTATGATTCATGCCATTTTTATCATATAAAAAGGTGCTCGAGATTAGCTCCACACATGCAGTTCGCATTTTTTACTCTTCTATATCAACATGTATAATCCATTTCCTTTTAAACCAATTACCTTGCTTCCACAGCAAACTTTCCTGGAGCACCATAAGTAACCAATGCTGAAGGAAAGCATTAAAAATTTAAAATTATTGAAATAAAAACAAATGATAAGTGGTCTGTTAGCACTACAGTAACTGTAGCAAAAATATAAAATTAATTGATCCCCAAACTCCAAATTGGACCACCAAATTTTCCCTACCAAAGTTGAGGAAAATTTGCAAACATACTTTTAAAATTTTTTTTCATACCAATAACAGTCATGGCCATATGATCCTAAACATTTTATGATATCTCAACTCTTTAAATTTCTCCATGCGTGAAATTTAGGAATACATAAATAAAAAGCTTCTTTACGCAGTCAGGGCGCCATTTTGGGGGCTTCTCTGGAAAAGAAGAATGTTGAGTAATTCTTTTATTGGACACTAATGGCACCTGTTTTGGAACAAACATGTTGACCATAATATCATTTTGGCTTACATTTTAGGCTTTAAATGTGATTTTTGCATAGTATTTTGTAGGCTCTTAATGTATTTCTTAAATTCTATTGTTGTATCTTTATTAGGCTCTTTGAATGTGATAGTTCATGAGAATTCTTAATGTAAATTAATTTTTAAAGATACAGGGCTGGTACAAAGACTATCGTTGGAGCTGAATGAGCTACCCTGTGTAAATAAAGGTTTCTTTTTTTCCTTTAGGTATTTATTTTCCAATTTCCTTGTTAAAATTCCTTCCTTCCTTCCAATAAATGTTGTATTAACAGTGAAAAGTTAATCTGTGTGTGTCTGTGGTCTGAAAGAGCCCAAGCACCACAGCCCACAAACCATTCTCACTTTGGGAGAACTTTTAAGAGCTGGGCAGCTTAGATTTTTGGGACAAGAGCCATCATGCACTCATTGATTTTTCAGCTGTACTCTGTGGGGAAAAAATATTATTTTCACCTTCAAAGAAGTTTACAGCAGCCATTGGGTTGTTGTTCCCTTTCAAATAAGTGTTTGAAAGGAAAATGTTTAAACCTTAATGTAAAATCATTACAAGTAAACCTTCCATTTAAACTACCTCCAGATTTTGATTCTTTGATTCAAATTCCTCTCTAGTACTGTTTTCTCAAAATGTCTAGTAACTCACCTAACCCTTCATAGTTCCGTCTCCGTGCCACCTGACCTGTCTTAAGAAGTAACCCACAAGACTTCTTTGTAAGCAAGGAGCTACTTACAATTGCTACTCCACAAAGTACGATGCCACACTGATGAAAAGGAGTAAAAGAAAACAAAAGTGGTATAACATTCCACTTCTTAGCTGTATTTTTTGTGATTAATCTTACAAAATCCATGCAGATAAACAAAAGTTTTAAAGGTACAATTATACAATATATACTTAGGGCTTTCATTAGAAGCTGGCTACCGCTGGAGCTCTGGCGGCTGCGAGTCATCAAGTCACTGGCTACTTGGCCATGTTTGTCAGCAAATACTTCAAAAATATAACTCTTAAAATGTTTACAACCTACCCATTTTTCAGTTGAAATAAATCTGATAAAATATAGCACATGCTTGCCTTGAGAATTTTGGAATAAAGCATATATCAATACGATTTCTGTACCACGATGTATCGCAACTGATTGAGGAACGCTCAGCCATTTTTGGTGTAAATTTAAGGGTGGGGTTGCAGCTTGGGCCTTGGTAAGTCACGTGACAAGCACTCCTGCCAAACTCAATTACCTTACATGTTCACAAAAGCTCTTGAAAAACACACAGAAATCTGCCAATTAAAGGGTTAATGTTATGCATCATTAACTTTACTTCCTCATGCCAGGAATGCTGGAAATCACATTTCCGAGCTTCTAAATTTCAAAATTTTCTGGGGGAGCATGCCCCCAGACCCCCCTAGAAAAGGTGGCCTTTGGCCACCTAAATAGTCACAGCCACCTACTATTATATGGGCAGACACCTACTTCAAATCTTATTGAAAGCCCTGATATACTTATTCTACCTATTTATTCCTGTTTTAAAAAAAACGTTGCAATTTGAAGATCTATATGAAATATATACACCTCTCAAAAAAGGTCTTGTCAATGGAAAAAAATTGATTATGAAAATCAAACTAAAAAAAATTAGGGTTAAGTTTTCGCACAGCCCCATACTATTGTAAAACAAATCTGTTTTCCCAACGGAAATGTATTGTTTTTGTCATTGTTTTCTCTGTTCAAGAACTGAATGCATAATGTAGGATGGGGCTGTGCGTAAATTTTACCAAAACTAGAATTAATACAGCTGCGTGTGCATAAAGTGCAAGCCAACAGATCCTAACATTTGTCTAAATACTGCCTTAGGTGAAGCAATGAAGATATATTGAACCTATGTGGCATGTAACATATTCTATGTTCACGGTTTGAATGACAATCGCAAGTTCGATATGCACAATAATGAGGCATAAATATGAGAATGGAAAACTGATTGGCCTACATTTTCAGGCTAGTATTAAGAACCACCATTTTACAAATGAAGATATCTTTGTTTAATTCAATTAAGCGTTGTTGTGGTGATCAACCAAAATTCCATAAATGTCTTCTCGACTAATTCACGGATAGATTTAACAACAAAGGGCGAATATCGTGTGTCTTTGTACATGTGAACTTACGTGACAAACTTGAGTAAACAGTGTAAAGCATAATATAAGAAGATCATTTGCAAAATAAACTGAAATAAAAGAAGTTTATCTTCCAGCGAGGGTCGAAATAAGAAGTTTTCAAAGTTTACCTCTTGAAAGCAGAAAGGCATCGCCAAAACACTGACTCCAATGATGCAGTTGATCAAATTAAATATAACAGGTGTGGTACTCATTGGGGAAATTCCAGATAGAAGAAAAAATTCCACAGGGCTAACATATAAGTCGTTTAAAAGTTCAGTTCCTTTCTATTGACGTTGATACTCCACTCTCACCACGCATGCAAATGAGGCTTGGTTGCTCAGATTAAAACTTCTTCCAGGGAACACCCTACCCTACATGGTAAATTATCATAACGAAAACGAGGTTATTCAGTAAATTTCCCACAATACCAAACAATCGTATATCCTTTTCGTTCCTCAAAATGGTGAGTTATGGAACTAATTCTCAACTTGGCGAAAGTATCCTCCTTAATCTTTGTCATCTTGGAAGTGACTACGTTTGTTTCCCTGCAAACATTTAATACAACTCTCACTGTGATGATGTCTTAATCTTTTAGGGGATAGACATCAAACGGAAGCACGTTAAGAAGAGGGCACGACAAGAGCCTGCCTCACAGAATGTCTACCTGAGGCTCCTTGTGAAGGTTTGTAGTATTTGGCTATTCTTCGTTTGAATCTGATTTTTGTTGAGATGAAGCTCTGACGAATTTTAATTAATTTTCTTCTTGCAGCTCTACCGTTTCTTGGCCCGCCGTACAAATGCAACTTTTAATAAAGTTATTCTGAAACGTCTTTGCATGAGTCGTGTGAATCGGCCACCTATCGCTCTTTCTCGTATGGTAAGATTCACGTCCTCTATATCGTTATCAGTTCTTTTTTCTCTCTTTCTCTAATCGATCACTGTACATAATGGGAAATCGTATATACTGTTGATTTTTTTCGTATTTTCCATCAGGTGAGAAAAATGAAAGCAAAGGGTGACTTCTCAGGGAAAATTTGTGTTGTTGTTGGAACTATCACAGATGATTTGAGGTTGTATGAGGTGCCGGCATTGAAGGTTAGTCCTACAGTCATAGGTTTGTGATTTGACTTTCTTTTAGCAAGATGCCGGGATAAACCTTGCTCTTTTCCATTGATGTTTGGCTCAGTTAGAGATGTTGGTAAATTATGTTGGAGAGAAAATAATAGCCGAAACCTACTTTTTGTTGTACAACTTGTCATGTTAAAGAGAGGGAGGAAAATTTGTTTGGGTTTTGCAATATACTGCAAATGGGCAAAGTAGTTTGCAGGTATGATAAGTTTTTTGGGCCTCGTACATGTAATAATCACTCCAGTGTTAGATCTAGCAGGCAACAGGAGTTTCTCTGGGAGCTTTGACTGTGAGTAGTTTTTCTTCAGTGTCCTCCTGATTAAAGTAATTTAGTGTATGCTCTCCCCTTTGTCTTGAAGGTTTGTGCACTTCATGTGACTGAGGGGGCACGTGCAAGGATTTTGAAGGCTGGTGGAGAGGTTATCACCTTTGACCAGCTTGCCTTGAGGGCACCTAAAGGAAACAACACTGTGTTGCTTCAAGGTAATTTGCATGTGTCTGGTGTGGAATGAATGATATATTGTATTAACTTTAGTTGGAAATAGAGATGGATTCCTTAAAATTGATGTATGACTGGAGACTACTTCAATAATAGAAGTGTTATTTTGTCCAGCAGCAATTATTTGTTGCTGATTTTTTAAATTGCGATGGTCCACAGGCTGGAGTAAATTGAAATTTTTCCTGTTAGAAGTGAGTACGCTCTTATGGGTAAAGGGTCCCAAGGGTTTTAAGATTTATAAGTGTAGGTATTATTGTTATAAAGTAACTATTTGTTTAACATGGGCATATAACTGCAATGTTACTGAAAGCCCAGTGCTAGTGAACCAGAGTTACTAGGTTTCATGATTTTAATGATATATTGAAGTTTTGTATAGATGTGGATTAGCAGAGAGTTGACAAGAGTTTTTCACCTGTTTTCTTTTATTTTGAGCATTTTTAAAAGCACAGGACTTTGTTACTCTGCAAAAAGAAAAAAAATAATATATATACATAATACATATTGACATGATGTTAATTCTGTAGCACCTTGAAGGCTACTTAAACATACTAAAGCTCCCCTTTGAACTTGGCTGAATCCAATATGCTCATTTCCAATTCTTTTTTTAAATGGTATGATAGGTGTTTTGTTTGTGATGGGTTTGGGTCCTAGGAAAGCCCGCACATGATGATAAGACACGACGGTCTTCTAATGCAAACAGCAATTGATGAATTCGTAGTGGTATTCTGATGTGGGTAATCTTAATCCATTCATGTAACACTACATTTCACTGCCATAATTTCAAGGTTACAACAGTAGCTCTTCTTTCCCACTATTCTTCAGAATGGATTACAAAACACTTGTCTTTTTGTTTTAGGGCCGAGGAAAGCTCGTGAAAGTGTGAGACACTTTGGCCCTGCCCCAGGTGTTCCACACAGCAAAACAAAGTAAGTGTGTATTTAAGTCAGTAGAGAGGAAGATTGTACATGGAAACGTTGGGTCAGGAAGTTTGAATAATATAATCTTATTACAACAAAAAAAGAGAGGAGTGTACTTTTGAGTCACAAAAGTTTATAGTTTGTCAATGACATTGTGAGGTTTTCAGTGTTCCCCGATTCATCATTATTGGCTTGTCATCTACCATGTACTTTAAACTGTCAAGGGAAACCTATTTTCACAAATTATGCATGTGGGCATATTAACGTTCCTTTCTTGGGAGAATTTGTCTGCCACTGAATCTCTCCCTGTCTTTGTCATCATCGTGCTGTTGCTATTTATAGTCATTCTTGACTTATTAGGTCTAAGCTGAGAAAAAAGCCCTAATCTTTTCTAACTTGTGCTCATTTTTGTTTTGAAACTTGATTGGTTTACAGCTGTTTTTTTTTTTTAACTTGTACCAGCTGTTTGGTTCAAGCCAGGTTTTACAGGTCTGTATTCAACAAGCTCACCTGTTTTTTCCATAGTGGTAATCATCCTGTTTTCATTTGTTTTACAGGCCATATGTTCGCTCCAAAGGACGCAAATTTGAAAGAGCTCGTGGTCGGAGAAAGAGCCGTGGTTTCAAAGTGTAGAGAAGATGTGGAGGCCAAATGCACAATAATAAAGTTGTTTCTCAACCTAATATTGAAGGATGTCCTCCTTATTTTTATTAAGTTATTACTTTCATCCCCAACTGCTTATGAGTATTGTCTCTAGACATCCAAACCTCTTTTACCCTCTCACATACCTGTGAAACTCAGTCATGTAATTCTATGGAAATTTGATTTTTGCAATGTGTACTTCACTGTGTGTTTCAGAGTAGTATTCACTCTTCAGTTAAATTACAAGAGTTACCCTAAGTCAGAAATCAAATTATCACATTGAACGGATTTCAAGGGTGTCAATCATTTAAGTGCTAAAGGAGATGTATATGCTCAGATTCATATGCTTCAAAAACTATTCAATTTTTATCTCCATTGTTAAAAGTATCAATCAAAATCTACTTCTTTTGAGCATATCAGATTCTGAAATGTAATCTAACCATTCAAAAATCGTCTTCAAATGGGCAAAGAAATCATCTCTGGCACCATTTCAAACAGCAGTCAGCAACGTGCTGACTAAATGTACTGTGGAAAAAATTTCTAGTGCTTTCAACAATGTAGCTATCTCAATAGAATATTCCCATCACTGAGGTAAATGGTACTTGCCGAACACTTGTACACCAGCTAATCAGGTACATGTATGTAGTAAACCTGGAAATTTTTATCAACTGCAAGTATTTAGATAAGAATTTGAGGTGACTAAGTCATTTTTCCCACTTTTATTCCTCAGTTCTGTCCCCATTTGACAATTTTGTGTTTAGAATTCTGTTCACAAAATCAAGTAAGAAGGTTTGTGAGAAAAGAAACTTTCTCAACCTTGAATCATGCAAAAGTAACCTTGAATCTAAAGCCACTTGATTCAAGTTCTTACTCTAAAACTGATTCAAACCACTCCCTTGACAGTTGAGTAACAAAAGAGGAGTATTTTTTCATAGAAATACTGCTTCATGCTTGGTTGCTACAAACATTGGTTTTCAAAATTCTTTTATTTGACTGAATGAAAGTAACATTTCCCTGACAAATGAAATATCATATGAAACAGAGGAAATATTGCAAACCTCTTCCCAACAGCCATCCTAACCACTCATCTTGATGATTTGCCACCATCGTTCAACATAGAGAAAGATTTACAGTGACTAAGGCTAAGTTAAATTATTGAGATCCAAGAGACTAAGGAAAACCATCAATGGCAATGTAACTGTCCTGTGGTTTAATGTCTACAGCCATACTCCTACCAACTAACATTTCACTTTCAAACAAGACAATGTAACTCCCATCTTTGAAAACACCTTGAGAAAAAGCAATTTCATTCCTGAGTATTTTTGGAGGTACAAGAAGAATGATTGGAAGAACACCCTAGACTTCATGCCAGTCTCCAAAAATTACATGTACATCTAGGAGCTCCAATGAAGATGCAACACTTTCCTTTTATCTTACAACGAAACTACCATATCCTGGTACTTTTGTTATAAGATCTGGAAGAACATATAGCTGTCAGAGAAGCCTACTTTCTAGTTAAATCATGTCTCTGATCCAGATTCATGCTGATTCATTTTAAGTCCTAGCTCTCATTGGCATTCATTAACATATCAGATTTCCTTTGCTTGCTTTCCCTTAAATCTGTAGATTGATTTTTTTTCACTCCTAGATCTCCTCGCAGATTTTCTACTATAGACTGGAATCCCTTCTTCTCTTTAGTTTCCAGAGTTTTCCTTAGTTCTTTTAGTTTATCTCTGTCACCTCTTAAAGGTTCTTGCATCTTTAGGTTCTGCTTAACAGATCTCTCAGTGTTACTACTTGCTACTCCTGTCATATTTTTAAAATCTATGTTTGACTGGACAGCTCCATTTGTGTGGGTATCCATAGAGTCATTGCATCCAGAGCAGCTCATATTTAAGAGCTTCCTAAGTTTTTGTACCTCAGCCAAAAGATCGCTGTAAGCCTACGAAGAAATAAAGTGATCAGTTATCAGCAGACAAAATAATCTTGCAACTAAAATTCTTAAATGAAAAATTTCTTTGAATAGTATTTATTGGAGCTACACTTGAAAAAATTTAGTAATCATCTCACATCCATTTTGTATAAGAACCTATAATACATTTTTTGCATACTGAAAAATTAAGCCCTGATGGTTGATTGATGTCATGCTAAATTTGTGATAATGTTCAACAAACCAGACCATAGTCAATTTGCAGACCAGAAAGTGAGTTGAATTGCCAGGATTCAGAATTCTATCTTCAAAATGTTAAATTATCAAATTTTAGGGACCACATATACCTTGGAACACTCTTCTTTAGAATGAAAGCTGGCAATCTTTCCTTTATGGTCATTGCCAGCGTGTGAGTTAAGATCTCCTTCAAATGAGCTGTTTTTGCTACCTTTTTCATCTTTCCCTTTTTCTTTGTTGCTGTCATTTGGAATCAAGTTTTCCTTTTGGAAAAGAGCTTTTCTGTACTTGTTGTAGCCTTGAAGAGTCAGCTCTTCACGATAGAGTGCTTCTTCAATCTGTTCCCACTCTTTCTGGCCCTCAGCACTTAGCACTGGATAAACTATAGAGTGAAATCATTAAAGCACTTCATCAATCAAGGATGTAATTGCATTAATTAAAATAACATATTGCCACCTCCCTCATCCTCCATATTCCTCTCTCTTCTCCTCTCTATCTCCTCCCATCCACCCTCTTCCCCTCTCTATCCCCTCTCATCCTCCCTCTTCCCCTCTCTTCCCCTCTCTATCCCTTCAGGGATAATTTTCCTTGTCTATAAAATTGGTATAACATTACTGTAGCTGTTCCACTTAACAAAGGAGGTCTGTGATGAAACTTTTATAAGGGCTTAAAAGTGCCATTCTTTTTTCAGCAAATTTGCCTTGGGAAGTTTTCCTTGAAACTCTGCTATCGCAAAATATTTCTTAATGAGCACACTTGTAGCAAAAACACAATGAGACAGTGTTAAAATGCAGTTTTTGTTATCCTCTCTAAATTAAAACCTTAACTTATGCTGCAGTGTGAAAAAACAAACAAACAAACAAATAAACAGGGTTAAAAAAAATTAATCTCACTCATTGCCCCATTTTGTTTTTAATTAATTGTTATTACAAATATTAAATACTACGTAACAATTTTGGCTCTTTACTATGACGTTTCAGAACATTAAAGTAAAAAGATTTTCATACTCAAATGTTTACATGTGCAAAACCTTGATCAAGCTGATTGAGATTTTTTTTACCTTCCCAGTTAAAGGAAATGAAAGACTGTATATGAATATGTAAAATGTGCACACTTATCATGATGATAGCAAAGATTTTTTTTTTCATAATTCCACATCATATCAAAATTGAAATTGAAATGTTTGTATGTTCAAAATGTTACTACAACTATTCTGATGTAATTACACAAAACTTAATTACCTAGGAAGGCATCTATAGGACAAGCCAGTGGTGTCTCAAATCTTAATTCATAATGACAAATAGTGGGCTCTACTACAGAGATAACCTTGTTATGATCTCCACATCTAAGAAATACCTGTAGAATTTCAAAAGGAGCAATATTATATTACTGATACTTCATTGTTGAAAAATGCTATATACTTAGTATATAACATTATATATATATTGTAAAATAGGTTGTGGTTAGTTATTGTGGTAAATAACACTTCAAAAGAGGAATATATTAATTATTTGTATCATGATATGGTTTGTCCCACGTCGTGAGAGAAGCAATTATATTCCTCTTTTGAAGTAGTTATGTAATTATACTTCTCAATTGTCTTTACTGACCCTTTCCACAAATAATTCAACTGGAAGGAGCACACAAATTAACGATAAATGAGCATCAAACTATGTCTAAAAAAAATTTTGCAATAGAAAAACTGACACAGGAGGCAGCAAAAGTATCACTGGTTAAGTACACAAATTGGTTGCACCATTAACGAGGTTGTGACATTAGAAATTTTATTTTAAAGGATCAGTGACATTAATCTCATGCTAATTATGCAAATTTGCTTCAATGTGTTTATTCCTGTAAAAATGTACATGGAAAAATTATGCACTTCTGATTTGTTGTCTTTGAAAAATTAACTTGTGCTTATTAACACCAAATTATACTCAGAATCATGTTATTACCTATACTTGAAGTGAATTGATTTTTTTGCATATAGTTTCGCTAGGCTAGTGTGTTTGCAGATAAAATCTGATGGCTATTCATACTAATAGAAAGCACCTCACATATAATTATCAAAAGATATAATAATCAGAAAAAAATCTGAGGAGTTCAAAGTACACCTTTGTCTGTCTTGGTTTCTCACCAGGACACATGTCACCATTAGCTAACAGCATGGCTTCAAATGTGTTGTTCACAATGACCCATTCTTTCCAGACACTGTTAAAAAATAATCAACCATGGCAGTTGCATGCTTCTAATCTTTCCTAGAACAATTTTGGTGGGATTGCAAATACTTTTGTCAATACTCAGAATACACAACAATTTTATATCAGTCTATTATATCTGGGCTTACTCAAAAACTCACTTTATTAATAAATTAATTTTTAATTTAATTTGTAAATTAATTGAAGCTATTTTAATTAGTAATTTGGAATGGGTACTATATAATATTGATTTGCACCACTGCTAATTCTAATTGATTAATAATTCAGTACCATATTGTACATTAATCATTTTCATAGCTGTCCTCATGATTTTAATTATCATCAAGACATTTTTTTACGGCAACCATATGTAAACACTCAAAGACATGACTGTGTTTTAAGAACATGCTGAGCTTTTTTTTTAAATAATTAAGAAAAATCCAAAAGTCCTTTTAGCCCTTTTTACTCCCAGAAGTAACAAATCAACATGTAACTTCTTCCTATAATATTCATATGTTGTCCAAGAAACAAGTGATGAGTTACTCAAACTTTTTGGAAGAAGATCTTGATCAGATACAAAATTCTGGTAGACAATTTACAATAATGATAATAATAATAATATTTATTACTTGTAATGCACATTTTATAGGTGCATATGATCAAATGCATAGCAGCCACAAGGGAGATTTAATCATCAGATCTTGGGAGTTGAAGGGTTAAAGTTAGAGTAATTCATCACTTCATGGGTTCATTACGAACAATACAATGACCAGCTCCCAGTTGCTTCTTAGCTCAGTCAGTAGAGCACTGCACCAGCATGGCAGAGGTCATGGGTTCAAATCCTGTACAGGCCTGAATTTTCACTACTGCTTAAAATAGATGGTATTCATTATGTAAAGATCGGTTTCATATTCAAATTATACATGATTACTGATTAAAGTAGAAATGCCTCACCCCAAAACTCCAGAAAATGCATTCCATCTTACTGTCTGTTCCTTTTGTGTCACATTGTGGAATGGACAAAACTCATACTTGTACCTAAAAGACACATTTTATCAGTGTTGAAGGCTACTATTACATGATCTGAATTAATGATCACATAGCAGATATCTTTTTAGACAAAAATGGTTCAATTCAACAATATGACACCCATGTACAGGTTGGTGCAAAGTACATGTTGCTAGGCATTACTGCGTTACTGCAGTACTACAGTACACACCATGACACATGTAAGTATTTCTATAAAGTTAATACTGTTCAATTACTTTTTAATGCAATTAAAAAAAACCTTTATACCCACACAAATATTAGTATAACATCTTGTGACAGTTCAAAGAGCCTGCTATATCACATGATTGATTTAATTTTGTTATGTGACCTTGATATAGTGGTGGCTCTGTGCAACTTCTGTTTGATCAAATAATTATAGTCTATTACAATCGTCATGATCAAACATAGTAAATCAAGTTTATGAAATATTTACAGTGGACAGAAGGAAGAGGCAATAATACATGAAAATCAAATGTTGCAGATCATTTAAAAGATGTACTTCACTCAGCCAATCATACTCCAAAAATAATGTTTCACAACACGTCATCTGAAAGTTCTCATGATTTAACACACAATTATGACTCACATCTTACCCATTATGTATCAATGTAAAGCATTTTCCAGCCAATACTTGGAGATGTGGTGGACCTGCAAGGCACAAAAAGTTTAATTTTGAATACAAGTGGACATTTTATTAAGGCAAGAGGTGCCATAATTCCTTTTTGAACTATCATAATTCAAAAATTATTTCAGTTGTAAAACTTGCTCTAGCTGGTGACCTTAACTTTCTCTGTTTTTCACAGATTTAATAGTCTATCATATATCACGACACCATCTTTCAGGCATTCTTGGAAGTTAATAGTTAATTGGAATGGTCAAAACATCAATCAAAATGCATATTAATGTTGAGTGGCTGAAAAGTCATAGACACCTTAAAATCCCAGCAGTTCCTTGGAACACTTACTGTGAAGCTCAGAAACCGAGCACACCAGAAGTACTTGTGGAAAATTATTGCTTTTTAAAGAAAAAAGCTACTCAGGCATAAGGCAACTGAACTGCAAACAGTAACAGTAACTACAATAACTACAGTAACAGAAACAGATTTCCTTGGGTGTTCTAGACTTAATTCTGAGTGACCAGGATACAATTGACCTATCAGAATGGAATCAAAGTGTTCTCAGTTTTCTGAGTTTCACAGTTACAGTAATTCCAGTAACTACCCATCATTGTGCCTAGCATTCTAACCAAGACTGCAAAGAGAAAATATGATTCCATTTTTAGATACATTTAGTTGGAAAGAATTCTTATATTAAAAAAAGTGCTTTGTTTACCTGACACAGTACTAGGTTTTACTCTGGCAGCAAGCTATAAGGTAAACACAAAAATGATTAGAATCCATGAAACATATGATAAATGAAAAACATAAGGCCTCTATCAATAGTACTATCAGAATACTTGAGCAAGTTAAACAGTAATACCTTAGTTTCACTTTGAGATATATGTCTAGCAGGCTGATAACTATTACTCCTGACAAAGCAAAAAGCAAACGATGTATCAAATGCACATGCAGACTGCAAGCAAGAGTATTGATATATAACTATTAATATTATTATTATCATCATTATCATAATGATTGTTATCATTATCACTATTATTATTATTATTATAATTATCATTATGATCATTAATTAACAGAATCTAACAATAATATGATCATCACATTATCATCTGTTTTTGTTGATTTTATCACTATCTGTATACTATAAGGTGCAACTCATATGATTATAGGTACATATGCCTTTAATAAAAACCAAATTAACAGAACCCAAGAAATCTGTGAACCAACTTAATACCATGATATTTGAGCTAATTTAGATAATATAAATCAGTTTTATTATGCACAACTGACATTTCCCAGTTGACCAACAATGTGTGAAACAGAGTTAAATACAAAAAGTTCTTCCCTTTTGTCCAACAATGCCCTTGTTTGTTTTTCATTATTTTGCGGTTATCAGTCATTAGTAAGCCATTGTTCAAACTGATACTGTACTTTAACCAGTGTATGGGTAAATACATTAATTCCTGCTTTCAAATAATGTCCTTATGTCATTCATCATTACGTCATCTTGCAATGGTTAAGCTTTGTTAGTCTAAGAGTAAACTCACATTTGTCCAGATCTGTAGACTGCTGGTGCTTCAACAATTTTCACCTTTTCAGGCCCGGAAACTAAACAATTTTTATGCAGACCATTAAAGTTTCTCACTAAGTAAAGAAAATTTCAGTTGCTATGGGCATAATCTATTTCTGTCCCAATTTTTGGACAGGTGCATGGTTTGCCTGCACCATAGTTACAGGGAGAATTAACAGACTTTCAAAAATGAAAGAATGGTGGACAAAATTACTAGTTCTTCATCAAGGTCATCATCTGATCCAAAGTAATCTTTCCATTTGTTTGATGACTTTAAATCTAATTTCTATTCGTACCACTGCACCAGTCGCGAAGGAAAACGAGGTACTATCTGCTTTCCACTATCAAATACAAATGAACGTTCCTTAAACCCATAAAACTATAGAATACACTGCCACTTAATCGTATACATCTCAATTCATCTCAGTAGTATCCACTGTGGACCTAAACCCTATGGTTATTGTTGTTCGAATAGATTTGTTTCAGTTTCTCAAGCTGGATCATGAGCGAAAAACTAAAACTGACTAAACGTGAGCTACGAAGCTAATAACCTTAATTAGAATAGCGCGATTGCAAAACGGTGGCCAAAAAGACAGATCGTCATTGGTTATTACCATTTAAATCATCATAATATAGAGACTGCATTTTCATCATAATGTTTGTTTGACTATAACGTCTAGTCACTGCATGTGCATCTAAGTAGTAAGCTAAAGCTCAGAAAGGTACAAAATGTATATTTTGAAAACACCTCACTGATAAATTACTTCAAACAAATTATTTGCAGCTGGATATCAAAGGAGGTAGTATTAGGTCGAAAGAGGACATGAAAATATTCAGGACTTACCTTCAATAAATAAGAATAACATAAAAATGGCAACTAAACCATGGCTTAGTCTTGCATTATGCGCTATGACTGCCTCCATTTTGTATTTCCAAACTTGCGCCTGCACTAGCTATGTAAAGCAGTCATCTCAGCCCCAACTTATCGCTCGATTTTGAAAATGGCGGCAACCAAAAGGAAATTCACTGTTCCATCTCTAGAAGAGTTGGACAAGGATGTACAAGAATCCAGGCGTAATCCAATATTTAATACGTATAAGACATCCAGCAAGGATATCGAAGAAAGTAGGGATGGTACTAACTCGGCAACAAGTAATGCTGGTGATTTAAAAAGACACGAAGTCAACAACCTTGGAAGCAAATCTGAGCTAACACTGAATGGAGGGACAGGATTACTCAACAAAAACTGCGTTCCAAAACAGGATTCTGTCCCTTTTCGGGAAATTCTACCTGCCCAGAACAAGGTTGAAGGAGAAGGAAATAGTAGCAGTGATTGTTCTGTCAAACCTACCGTGGGAAAGACATTCCGAGAGACGTTTGCATTTCTGGAGGAGACGAATCATTTTAAAGAGACAGTAGCAAAAATAAAGGAAAAAGAGTGGGTTTTGATTCAATGTGTCAATGGGCTCTATAACACAGATTTATCTCTTCATATACTTGAGCAGTAGCCGGGAAGAAATAATTCCCTTAGACTCACCCTAATTAGTTTAAATGTCAATGACCGTGTAGTACACGTTTTACTTCATATTATATTCTTCCAGAGGAGGAATTTCCTCCTTCAGGTTTGAATTTTCCCATGAGCTTGCAGGAAATATTGAAAATAATTATTTGCAAAACTGTCATTTCAACCTTAACCCTTTAACTCCCTTGACCCCTGAGTGACTAAGACAGAATTTCTCCTTACAATAGCAATACATTATCAACCAGATGAGTGATGAGAATAAAGAAAAAATATCAATTTGGGGATAATTAGTTGATCCAATCCTAAATTCTCTGAACTAACATTATAAGAATTGTATGGTTGACAGTAAAGAGAATTACAAATTTGATCTGGGAGTTGAAGGGTTTTAATGGTTGTTCTTTTCTGTTAATCCCTCCACATTCCTATTGTTGCATTCTTAATCCCTCCACACTCCTAGTGTTGCATTCTTTGTTACATTGTACAGAGTTTTTGTCAGGTAGTTGTTACCTGATCCCTACTGAACACAAAGTGTGTTATTTCCTTTCTTGAAGTTATCAGTAACTTCAAATTGCCATTTTGTGTACCTCAAGTAGACCCATATGTACATTTAACAGCCTGCAAAATATTTTGATGTGTTATCATGACATTATTACTCGTGTTCTCATTGCAGATCAACAATAGATGTCAACAGTTCATCTGTACCTGTGACTTCAAAATCAAACAGAAATGCTATTATTGTTAATCCAAGACAGGTAATAATGATGGGTACCATGATATATAAATTTTAACCTTTAACTGCTAGATTGAGTTTCTAATTCTCCTAACTGTCAGCCATACATTTCTCATAATGTTAGTGTAGAGAATTTAGGATTGGATCAACTAATTATCCCTAAATTGATATTTTTCTTTATTCTCATCACTTATCTAATTGATATTGCATTGATATTGTAAGGAGAAATTCTGTCTTGGTCACTTATGGGAGTTAAAGGTTAAAATTAGTTCAGATGAACTAAATATTTGCTTTTATTTTTATGGGAAAATCAGCAAACTATGGAATGGGCCCAAATGTTTCTATTTCTTTCACTCCCACTTTATTTTATCAAGCTGCTGATACTCCTCCATGTCATTGTTGCTTTTCTCTGGCCATTCTTGAGTCCACTGGCCTTAATAGGTCAATGACCATTGATAGATTGGAGGCAAAGCTTGATAAGGAAAGACTCACCAAGATGTTGTTCAATTCAGTCTAATAAGAATACCAGACAATGCCCAAGTAATGGAAATTATTTGATCTATAAAGTATTGATTATTTGGAGGACATGGGAGAGGTTTATAAAATTTTATTTAAAAAAAAAAAAAATTGGCCCAGTTGTCATACAAAGGTTTAAGATCAGCTCTAGAGCTCAGTGATTTATGTTAAAAAGGATGTTTTAAATACTCCTTTTTCATAATTAACTTTAGCTGAGCATAACTCTCTAATCATTATATTTGTTTATTTTCAACAGAAGTTGCAAATTTGTGTTTACAAATCCTTACTCTTTCTATTGAGGGAAAAATGTTTGTAACTTCTTTTGTTGCTCTATTTTTTGTGTGCTTTAGAAGGGAAATCCAGTGTTAAAACATATCAGGAATGTTCCATGGGAGATGGGAGATATTATTCCAGATTATGTGCTGGGTCCTTCAACTTGTGCTCTGTTTTTAAGGTATGAAGCAGTGTCAGTTCTTAATGTTGTGAATTCTTAATGTTGTCTTGTTGCTTACTCTTTTTGACATAAATAAGCATTAAAATCACTTCTGGGCAGGGGCAGACAGGGAGTGAAACAAAGTGCATGTATTGTGGCTCTGGCTGTGAGGTCTGGCTTTCAATAGGAATCTTGAAATGACAAGGTTTCAATTGAATAATATCCCTTAAAGTTATGTAATGATTTACTGGTAATTATAACAAGGTCAGTTTCACTACATGATTGATTATGACTGTGTTTGCTTATAATCACATAGCACATAAATATTTTTATCACCTCAAAAACTAAAATTGAATTTTTTGTGTATTGTTAAAATATTAATATATTTCACTGCCATGTGTATTAAAACGATTAAAACATATCACTTACATCTGCCTCAGCTTTGCAAAAAAGTTTTGAGCTTTAGTTTTCAATATGATCCTACATTTTGTTAAGTTTAAGGTATCATCACTTCAACCCAGAGTACATCCATGAGAGACTGAAACTCCTTGGACAGAGATATGAACTTAGAATACTTCTTGTTCAAGTTGATGTGGTAAGTATTTGCAGCACCCAACAATGATCTATCCTTTAATTAATGTTTTCTCCTGGGAAAAGCAGTTTGATTTGTTTTCTTGAAACATAGTCAAGAAAAACATGATTGAGACTATAAATATAATGAGACATTGTGGTGTATAGTCTTGCATAGTGTTTTTATGAGTTGTACCATATTTTGGCGAGTCCATAGGCTAACCAAAATACAAACAACTTTTAAAAATACTCTTTAATACTTCATACCAAAATGTCTCATAAGTTACTGATTATCCAACTACTTTATTTTCTTCACTTTTCTGATGAGACAGGAAAAGCGAAACAGTTAGAGAATTGTAGCACACTCAGCTGACAGATTAAACAGGCTTTTTATAATACAAAACAATCAACTGTTCAAATATTGCACAATATTTGTACCCAATTTATGCATTTACTAAGTGCAGTTGGAAACTATAATGCTGGATGTTTGAGCTCAAAATGCATGTTATTTTTACTCTGTGAAGATGGATGATAATGTTATATATTGCTGGTGATGAAAAAGTCTTCTTATATTGTCCATCCTTCAAAATTGGAAGTCTTAGATCTTTGTTAGAAACTTACAAGTAGTTAAAAAGACATTTAATTTGTTTGACTGTTAATAAGAGTTATCATTTTTTTCAACAATATTTCTGTTTTAGAAAGATCCTCACCAGACGATAAGGGAGCTTTCTAAAATGGCACTGATGGCTGACTGTACTCTTATGCTTGCCTGGAGGTACAAAGTTACACTCCATAATGTTGCATGTAAACACTATTTTCCCATTCTGTTATTTACGTCTTAGCTATACACCTTTGCTATTAGTTTATATCTCTTTATTTGCAGCTACCTATACAAACTGTCAGAATTTTGAGAAATTTTCCATGAAGTTCCTTAAATTCTCTTGTTCTTATCACTGACCTATGTCTGTTTATTGGTCATATGTATTTGTTCTTTTTCTGATAGCTTTTACAGGAAGCAGGAAGATTTTTTATTTGACTTGTAACTTGTGTATGTCTGTTTATTGTCATACTTTTATAGTTCAGAGGAAGCAGGAAGATATCTTGAAACTTACAAAGTTTATGAAAATAAACCACCTGATGCTCTTCTTGGTCAAAGTGAAGGAGATTACCTCAGCAAGGTGATATTTCCATTATTCTTTGTGTGTTTACAGTCAAAGGTTTTACTTTGAAAGCTTTAAATATTGTAAGCACAAGTATACTTTAGAGGAACTTAATTTGGTTTTCATTTAAAAAGGTGAGAATGAAGTAGGGCAAAAGATGAAAATCTGTAATTAATTAGATAACATTTATTAGCTCTGGATGGTAGAGTAGAAAGAGGAGTACATGTAGAGACCTTCAATTTATTTTTGTTGCTTGTGTGGTAAATTTTAAAGCAGATAGCAAAAAAATTAAGGATATATTAGTACTCCTCTAGAGCATATCTCTGTGTTTACTGATGTTGAGATGTTCAGAGAATAAAACAATCAAATATTGTTTCCCTTATTTCTTACTTATTTTGTCTTATTGTGTAATCAAGTTATAGTCACTGTTTCAAACTATCAATAAGGTCTTATTTCTTCTCAATCCAGCTCACGGATTGCTTAACCACTGTGAAAGGAGTAAACAAAACAGATGTAGTGTCTCTCAGCTCCACATTTGGGGTAAGAGCTTGCATTCAATCTCCTGGTTCAGTTGATCTACCTTCACTTTAACAAAATTATATAAAGAAATATAATGGAAAAATTTTTTATGGGGTGATGGTCTGGAGAGCAAGCATGATTTTGGTGAGTGAGTGCTCAGTTAGAGTATTTTTTTTTTTAAGTAAATCATGGCAGCCACCTTTGAGTTTTACAGCTGCAGCAGAAGCCTGGAAAGAAAATTAAATTTGTACCAACAGGGTGTATGATGGGCAAAGGGAAGAAGAGAGGAGGGGTGGAGGATTTGACTCTGAATCAATCATGGTAGAATAGAAGATTGCAAGCTTGTAATGTTAACTTGTCCTAATAATAGAATGAGGAGGGAGGGTTTTCTTACTTTTTTTGAGGGGGGTTCTATGAATCATGTACTAAAAATGACTTTCTGTTGAGCAGTAGCTAACTATGTCTTAATTTTAGACATTAACCCAGTGCAATCTTTATAGTATACTGCATACAGAAAGCTAAAGGAAAATTTGGGGTATGTTCTCACCATGCAGAAAAAAAAAGGTTAAATAATTTTATTTTCATGTACCAGTCCACTGTGAGATAGATTTGAAGTATGAAATGCCCATTTTCATGGTAAACCAATGTTATAATTTGAGTGAAAATAATTTTTTTTTAAATTATTTTACATCAAGTTGTTGAGAAAAGCAAAGGATTTGTTTTGCAATTTTATTGGTCAAAAGGGTACTTTCTATTCTATATTTTGTTCCAAGTTTTAATTTGTTTATTTGGAAAGCAATCTATAGCATCAAACAAAGTGTCATTATGATAATACATTCCTTAACAATTTAAGAAGAGTGTCATATGACATTGTATAGTTCTAGGCTTTCCTCGACAAGAAAGAGCTTCTTTTTAAGGGTTATCTTTACAGCTTTACAGAAATTATTGTTTTCATTGTCAAATTTTATAATGAATGATGCAGAACAATTCCTGAATTCCAAAGAGGGCTTATGTGGCATCCTCCAAAAAGCCAGATTACATTTAATACCTTTGATTCTCTCTCATTTAACAATTAAGTTATTGCTGGTTTGATATCCCTGAAAACTTCAAAATTTCCTTTAGCTGTTCTTGTCTGCAAAGTACTGATAAAGCTTCATCATTTACATATCATAACTATGATTGTAATATTTTTTTAACTCTTGTAGTCCCTTGCTAATATGGCAACAGCCTCAAAGGACGACTTGGCTTTACTTCCTGGATTTGGGCCTTTGAAGGTTTGCATGGTGTATTTTTAATTAGTGGTGAAGGTTAAACTTCTTCTTTCAATAGAAAGTAGTAAGATTTCTGATTATTATCATTGTTATTATTATTATTGTAATTACTATAATTATAATAATAATTATTATTGTTATTATCATTATTATTATGATCATCATTTTAATTATTACTTTGATATACTAAGTACTTTGGAAAGCAACTCTGAGGGAGTGCACTAGGAGAACATTTTACTATTGAAACCAGATCATGTCATTTTTCTTCATGAAAAAAGGTATAATCCTGCACTCTCCTGTGAGTTCTGTATTGAATTTGAGCAAATCGAAATTATTCCTATCTTAACACAATGGTTATCAATGAATTCAGATTTTACTGTTATAAGGCATGATTTTATTAATGCTTTCCAGTAATTTGTAATTGACTATTTATTTATTTAATCTTTATTTAGGCTCAGAGACTACATAACCTGATTCAACAGCCATTTGTGGCCAAAAAAGCAAAATCATCAGAAGTTAAAGAAAGGTCATGATATTTATTTAAATTAATAGCATGTCAAGTCCATCATGTTAAGAAAGACAAAGGAAATAGATTGCAAAACTTATTACTGGTAACTATACTGTAAATAGTTATTTAATTCATACTGCTCTGTATATACTCACAATTTATGCACACCGACTGTACAGAGGTAATTAAATGTGATCAAAATGTTGGGGTGTATGCAGAAAATTACATTGTCTCCCAGCTGAAACAATTTTCCTCAAATGTTTTCAACATTCAACCCAGAAGGTAATGGAAATTGTTCATCATAATTTTACAAAGAAGGAGAAAGAAACTTTTACATACAATACAAATCAAAGATTTACAGGTGCACAAGCTCATGAATAAATGTCAGTCACTTTCCAACTTAAGAGTCCTTTTCTGTTGCCTGCATAATCAGTGTTTTTTTTTTTTTTTACCATTTAGCTTTTTATGACCATTTTTTCATTCCTATCCATTCCAAATTTTATTGAGAGGTACAGTTGTATTCTATTGCTGTTCTCCTGTTTGTTTATGTTTTTGCATGAGCTCACATTGGAAGATAGTGTTATGAAGTTCACTTATTACATTCTATGACCATTTTGGATTTATGTTTACTTAAAAATTTTTTTAATGTATATGCTGTGCAGTTACTTCCTCATGGTAGTATTATTAAGCTGGATATGGTGATATTAGCTAAAGGTAACTGTAAAGTTGCTTAGAACAAGCTTTACCCTGTATTTAAGCTCTACCTAATATATTTGACTCCATTCAATATAACTATTGTTAGTCATTTCTTGTTCATTCGCTTTGGTTGTGGAAATATTGCAATAAGTTTATCAATCCTTCCCCTTCAAATTTTCTTTAAAATTAAGCATTAGATCATAATTATCACAGAATAAATATCAATGGTCTAGATCCTTTGTAAAGTTCAATCACTACACAGTTGTATTAATTTATTAGCTAGTAGTCCTCTTGAAATAAATTAAATTATCTTTTGATTCTAAGGGACTAACATGTCTTGAATTAAATTGACAAAATTTGTCACTGACTGTAAACCAAGAAGTGGATGAAGAGACTCTCATAGGATACAAGCATCAAAATACCCTAATCCAAATAAACCTCCGGGAGGGGGGGAGAGGGGGTGGGAGCTTATTAATTTTGAGAGCTCCTAGACAGGGAACTAAGTTAAGGGGAAAATTTAAAATGAAACCTTTGTCTTCTTTGTACTGAAACACTATCTAACCTGAATTTATAATTGGCTATTCTTCAGTATACCTGTTTGCATGGCATTACTTTGCCCTGCCCTTGTTATTGTGGGTTCTATAAGGCAGAAGGAAAGGGCATTAAAGAAACCTTAAGCTCTCACTGGGAGCCATATTTAACTTGTGCATTGCTAGCTAAGTTTTAAGGCATTTTGACCAGTCAACCTTTGATGCTGGACACATGCCATAAACTGAGAGCCCCATTAGTACATATATATATTTCAATCAGGAAAATCAGACATGAGATTCTCTCAGTTCATGTTACACCCACTCCCCATAATTGGACACAGATCTAATATTTCTGGGGGGAAACAGGTATTCAAAGTATAAACGGTATCAAAAATATTATATATTAATTAAGTTTGTTGTTACAGTATCAGTCGATTGCAAACAAACACGTACTTCCCAAGTCCTAAATATTTAAGTTCAGTCCAGTCAAATATTCCGGACTGAACTCCTGGTAAGAGCAGGCCTGGCAGCGTAGCGTAGTACAACTTCGTAGTGAAGCAAATATTTCAAGTGAAGGCAACTGAATGAGTAACTATTATGCCGCCTTACCGCAGATCATCTAACCAAAGCGATATGCAAGGCCTGGTTCGTAAATGTGCCTTGATAGGTGTGGGTATTAGCTTCGTTATTGCGCTTTTTTACTGGTGGTTGCCGGGCGAGAGCACGGTGCATTCTACTGGAAACAGTGCAAGTATTGACTATTATCACAGAATTGCTTGTGATAAGAAATACAACGACACATATCCTCTGACTCGTCCAGAAACCACAGCACAGGGAAAGAGATTTAGAATCGGCGTCATTGCGGATCTTGATGAAAATTCGAAGTCTTCCTCCAAAGCAAACACATGGACAAGTCAATTCAAACGTGGATATTTAACACTCCTTAACAATGGACGGGTTTCCGTGGAGTGGGATCAAGATATAGTTATTTTATCCTCTACTTTGTCTCAGAAGGGAAGGGGAATGGAACTTTCGGAACTTATAGTTTTTAATGGGAAGTTGTACGCTGTTGATGACCGCACTGGTGTTGTTTTCCAGATTCACGACAAGCACACTATTGCTTGGGTGATTTTACCAGATGGAGATGGCACGGAAGCTAAGGGATTTAAAGCAGAATGGATGGCAGTCAAAGGTAAAACTCTCTACATTGGTGGACTTGGAAAGGAATGGACTTCTGTTGAGGGAGTTTTCCAAAATCATAATCCACAGTGGGTGAAAAGCATTGGGCCTAATGGAGATGTGGTACATCATGACTGGGTGTCCAGGTATGAAGGCTTGCGAGGGGCCTTAGGGATCCAGTACCCAGGTTATGTTATACACGAAGCAGCAAACTGGAGTGACAAACAGAAGAAGTGGTTTTTCTTGCCGAGGAGAGCCAGCCATGAGATGTATAATGAGAAAGATGATGAACATCGTGCAACAAATGTATTGATATCCTGTGATGAAAATTTCACAAACTTTCATGTGCACACCATTGGGGAACTTAATTTGACTCACGGGTTTTCTTCATTTAAGTTTATTCCTGGGACAGATGATAACTTGTTTGTTGCACTGAAGACTGAGGAAGACAAAGGAACCATTCGTTCATATATTGTGGCCTATGATATTCATGGAAGGATGCTTATGGATGAGATTCTAATTGGCAACAATAAGTTTGAAGGAATAGAATTTATATGAAGAAACATGATGAGGAGTATTTTTAGCACTTTCTTATTTTTGGATGGTTTTCTGTAATTTATGATAGTGAGCATACTTATTAAATAAAGTGGTCTTTAAATGGATAACTGTGCAACAGACACTCATAAAACCTTATGCTAACTCTTTAATTTGCAGGAGGGTAAAAAATTACAACCTTTAATCAGAGGATTTTGCTTGAAAGAACTATATGGAGGGCATTGTCCTCTGATGATTTCAGTTTATTTGCAAATATAATTTTTCTTGTCTCCAATGTAGATGACATTAAAAAAACTGATGATTGGAAAGGAGGAAGGAGAAATTTTAACAAATCCTTAGACCAATATGTCAAACTACAAAGCAAGGAAATTTGAATATTGCTGAAGTCTTAAGAGGCCTGAGGTATGCAGATGAAGAAAAATCAAGTTAATTCTCAGAGAATAAGTGCAGTCAGCAGTGGTGTTGTAATCCTGAGCCAGGGTGGTCAAGAAACTATTAAGCTAACCCTGCTAAGGTTATTGAGTATTTAGATTTATATGCTTTTTCTATGAAGATAATCTGTTGATGGAATAGACATTGTAAAAATATAACATCGCTCTTGTTTTTTTTTTTATTTTAGTTTGTGTACGCTGGAAACAACTCTAATCCCTTGTTTGATCTTAACACTTAAATAAACTCTCTCTAAGTCCTTACAGAAGACAAAAACAATTTTCTTCAAGGAAAACTATTTTGTTTTCTAAACATACTATACATTTGGACCTGTACATAGCAGCACCATACTGTTGGCTCTTAAAGTCCTGAAATTTTTATCCCTTAATTACAATAATTTTTATTTCTATCAAGTGGGGGCAGTCACTCTCTTCCAGGCCCCAATAACCTGTATTGCCCACCTGTACTAAATAGTCACTTAAAGTGGAACTAAGATTTATCTTTCAAGTAAAATTTAATCCATATTTATCTCCCAAAATGAATTTTGAGGGGAGTTTTTGTACATTAAGTGGTTAATTATTGTATAAAATGATGTTTTTATCATTTATTTGTAATACCCCTTATCTGAGGAACCTGTATAGAGCAAGCAACCTGTATTAAGCAGTCACCATACCATTCCTTAAGGGAGACCACTTAGGACAGGTTAGACAGCATTCTTAGTTGACAACTAATGCTAAAAACTTAGTGATGCTTGATATTAAGTCCTCAACTGCCTAAACGTATCCCCCTATCGGAAGACTTAAATTGGTGTAAGGGTAGAAGAAGGTAGTGATTTCTTATATCATGCTAGTAATTGTTCATTTATTGGTCATCACAGTTTTAGCAGGTGATTATTATGATTCTTATCATTTTCTTTGGTAAATTTATCATAACTCTGAACATGTAAGATGAAACTGAGGAAAAGTTGATCAGGTTTCAATTCCTGGATAAAAAGGGATATTTTCTTCATCAATATGCTGATGAAAGTGTTATAATGTATTGTGTCTATTAACATGTAAACAGCTCCTAAGTCCCAGACAGACAAGATAAAAAGAAACTATAGGAGGAAATACAAAGGAAATTAGGATGAGGAAAACTACAATTGAATTATCTCAAAACTGTGGATAAGATCTTGGGGAAAAGTGATGGGTACAACTGAGAAATTGAGGTTATTTTTCATTCACAAGCACCATTTAGTTCATCAGGTTTTGGTGGTATTAACACCAACATGTGTCGTCTTCACTTTTGGATGCAGGTGCAGTTAAACTTTAAATAAATTAACTTTAGAACCACAGCCTTACCATTTAAGGAAGCGAGGGGGGTTGACATTGAAAGGAATGCCTATAATAGAGGGGTGCCTAAGGGCTCCATTTGAGGAGAGGTTCATCTGAGAGATTACATGGGAACTATGAAAATACATTTTCCTTACATCCATATAATTTGGGGAAGAGGTGGATGGAGAGTCTTTTCTGCAGGAATGCTTCCTTGGTATTATTTTGACTTTGGAAGGGGTAGTTCCTCGTCGAGGGTTCTTGAATAGAGTGCTGGTGCAAATTGTAACATTTTAACACTCTGATCCAACATTGGAAGCTTCTAGATAACTGGTTAATGAACTAAGTTTTCGGAAACTATACAGGAAAAAAGGGCTGATGGTGAATAATAAAGAAATTTTAATTATCCCACTTGAGTCGTAAAAAATACGACGACAGTTAAACACCACAATTTCTGAATTAAACAGTTTCTCACTCAGGAGGCCGTTTCAAGTACATTTGAAATTCTCAAGCTTTTTAAGCAGTTAATTTTTATTCAACGTATCGGGTGCTTTGGAAAATTAAGATGACTGACAAGTGGAGAGGTTTATTAGTTTGAAAAACCAAACTGTTTGGCGCTCGGAAAATTCGAGAAGAAAACTATGGTCGGTCATGTTTATGCACGCTTCTTTAAAAAAAAAAAAAAAAGAAAAAATTAGAGCGGCTGAAGTGACATGGGTATTGAAATTTGGTGATTCAAACAATCACCAATTGAACAACGGTACAACCTAGCCAATATTTCTGCAGCTCTTCTGGAGCCATAGCTTAGGAAAGTCGCTCACAACATAGAATCCAAATCAGTATCGGAACAATAAAATAATTATGTAAATGGACATAACAAAGGCATTTTTTTTTTAAATGAAATGAAATTTAGTCAGTAAGTCTTGGTTCTCCCCTTTAGGAGCTTTTAAACAATGACTGGAGTCAGTAGAGTTCTAACAGAGCACAATGAACAGTTTACGGCTGACTAAATAGGAACTGGTAGTATTTACGCTTTGCTAAGCTTAGTAAAATCTCGCAGTTTCTACGTTGAATTATGTATACCTTTTTGGCGTTAGTAAAAACATTGATAACTAAAAATCTTATCATTACAAAAGGGCAACAGCGGATCGAGTACAAATGTTTTTAGTCAACTGATCGTGAGAAAAGAACCACAGAAACTTAATAATAATAATAGTTCGTTTATATAGCGCAAAGATGTATCCACTACTTGATCGAGGCATTTTGTAAAATTATCCCTAAAATTATAGCTAAAACTTACTCTGAGAATCTAAAAAACTGAAAAACTAGAAATGTACCTATAAACTAGAAGCTAAAAATTTAACCGTTAGTAGTAAAAAAGGTTAACCGAACAAAGCTTTCCTCTCTAGAGTGTGTCATTTTGTGTCATTTCGGGTCAACTGTAATCGTAAAATGGCCAAAATTTGTTAGCGATAAAAGTCATCATCCCATTGAGATTTTCTGTGAAATTGTGCTTCTCTCTGTTCCATATTTCTATGGCCTTAGTAGCCTGATCATGTGGCTTGACGCTACTGTTCAAGACACAATGGACATCGTGTTTTAATCAATATACAGCAACATAACTGAAGCATTGCTCCACAGATAAGCGTCAAGATAAGGAGGGATAATTGTAGTTACCTACGTAAACATCTTATTGTACTTTTATGCTCATTGATCATAGGTGACAAAGTTTGCATCTCTTTTTAGTTAATTACACTTTACAGCTGCAGCTCAAATGCCAGCAAGATTCAGCGTTATGTTCCTCTAAACGGCAAGGTTAGAAAAGGGAAGACATTGGGTTCCTTTTGAAAGATTTGTGCTTGGAATATTACGATAACTGTGAAGACCAGGTATCAGCCGTGAACTGAACTGTTCGACAATGGTTAAAAACAGTGACAAGGCTAAGTGTTTTGTGCTGCTGACGAAATTCACACCTCGCAAATGCAGCAACGAGGAAACGTTCGCCAAACTTGTACAAATTGCATCCTATAGAAAACAACTGGAGGGACTTTACAGAACGCAGTCAACACGACATAAAAACCAGGCAGCGTTGAATGTGCTTTTTCAAATTCTTCAAGTTCAAGAGGTTGGAAGCACCGAGGAGTATTCCATAGATGGGTCCGTGTTTAAAGTTCATGTCTTAGAGGATACAGAATTTTAACGTTGTTAACCACAGGGACTGAATTGAATACTTCGTTATCGCCGACATTCTCACGGCACAATTAAACTGTAGTCCGCGGCACTTATTCAAACATTAACTGAAGTGCTTGACTGTAAGAGCACGAGGAAGTAGCTTAAAACAGTTCTAATATACCTCAGATATGGCCAGGTATTGGTGGCAGAATCGAGTGAAGAGAATGATCGAGTTCACCCCGATGACTTTTTCTGAGAAGATTGTAAACTCACTAAACGTGCTGTTCGATACTGAAACAAATGCGTCAGCGTTTTAAAACTTTAAAACAAAAGGAAAGTTTGAAATTTTAATTAATTTATCCGATAATTCGTTCAGCGTAGATAAAGTTAGAACGACGGCTGAACCATCTGTATTTTGTGTTTGCAAGGAGCGTAAGATTTTAGGCAATACCTTCATTTTCATATTAGATTAAAACACGGAACAACATAAAACACTGAATCAAAATATTACAATGGAGAGTATCAATGCCTCAGTGCAGATTTGATAAATATTGATCAAGCGCGAAACCCAATAAAATCAAATACGGAATTTTTTAAATTAGCTGCCAAGTTAGGGGGCCTTATAATACGTTTATAGTCGCAAACACTATCTCCTTTTGGGTTTTGAAAGTCAATTAAACAGAGGTGGTTATCAGGTCGCTCCTAATTGCCAAGGTGTTTTCATTATTTTGAATTCTTTGAAAATGCATTCACGCATTCTGAACTGATCAATCGTGTCCTCTTTTCGTAATTATCACGTCTGTGAACCGAAACGACAAAAGTAAACAATATGACTTTCAAAAGCCCGGAACAGTATTTTCTGTCCAAAGGGACAGCTGCATGGTTTAAAACACGGAGTCAGATAGCTTCTACTTGAAAGGCCAGCTGAAGCATCATGACATTAATACTAAAACGAGTTTCCTGTACTTCGGAGAACGCATCAGAAGTTCTTGTGAGGCCTCCGCAAATGAAGTGTGATACTTATGGCGTAAGTTGCACGTCGGTGTTGCTTTTTCAGAGGGAATGTGGAAAAGCAGCCGCAAGTTTTATTTACTTAGAGCAATATGATTGACTCGAGAATGTAAAGAGGCTCTTTTTCACATTATAAATGTTCTGCTTGGTAAACCACAAAGCCTCCGACTGTAATCTTTGTCAACAACTTATGTTCTGATAAGACGTAGTGTCAGGGCCTAGTGGTACATCGTCAGGTGGCAGCTTAGCCAGGTCTCTGTAACATGTGGCCATAATGAGATATATGACCCCTCCCGACTGAGTAGGATACTAGTCTATGGCGTGTAATCCCCAGAAATTTGTCTCGTTTTGAAGTACTCGGCCCTTAAATTCGACTGTGTTTTCCTCGACGAAGGTAGACACCGTGAGATTGAAGTCTCTTGCCCCAAAACACAATATCATGACTTGGTCAAAGCCCAAATGTGGACTACATGATCCACCGTTTACGTTGCTAAACAGTTAGCCACAGTCTCCCATCAAGTCTGACCAGAAGTTCTATCAGTACTGATCAGCATGAGCTTTGCAAATGGAAGCAAACGGTGGAAAAAGAAATATGGATATTCCTACTTTTGCTCTAAGATGTCGTCAAACAAGCTTTTAACTTCACTTTTTTTCACGTCTGCTTGTTTGGATTTTTTCTTAATCAAAAGCAAAGCAAGTTCGACATCGTCGACCCACGCATCGCAAATGCTGCTGTTAAACTTGTTTTCCACATCTTTCATTTTGTGATCAACTAATTCTTCTACGGTGCATGCTGAGTTATACTTTAAATCAGTGTTATGATCAGAAATAGAGAATGACGAAGAAGAACTTGTCGCTACTGAATCCTCGGAACTAACTGAATTCCGCCGCGATTGTTTGTCTGTATTCCAGCGCTCTTTTTTATTCTCTAGCTGCAGAGTCTTGAGATAATTTGCCACCTTATTTTGCCTCTCTTTAAAATTTCGCTCTAGCTCCTCTTCCCAGGTCTCTTGCTCAAATTCAACTTGCGGCAGTTGGTCAGAAGATTCCTGAATATTAGTTTCGTTGAGTGAATCATTATCTTTACTTGTCTCAGTTTGTTTAGGAGAATCGTAAGTCTTTTTCTTCAACCACGGAGACGGTTCAGGAGTTCTTTGTGGGAATCGAGACCACTTTCTCGGCGAACTTTGAACATGACATGTAGCTTTTGTGGTTAGCGCTAATTCTTCTTTCGATATTTTTCTTCCTGCTGTTGTTAAGGGTTTCGCTACCGACGTATTTTGTTTGCTTCTGTTGACTGGCACAACTTCCTTTACTCTGGGTTCGATGGTTTCAACAGAGTTCACAGAACGTTCTCCTCTATTGACATCACTGGTTTGCTGCTTTGCATTTTCAGAGGCGTTGTTATCAAAGTTCTTCCAATCTGAAAAATCGTCATTAACCAAATCGTTTAAGAAAGCTTCCGTGTCATCTCCATACACCTGATCCAGTAACCCGGATGATTTTTTTCGCTTATTCACAGCCGACATGATCTATCTGCGACGCAGTTACCGGGTTTCTTCGGAAACTGAAATCCTTTGTTGTCAGAATCGTGAGACGGAAACTTAGTCCAGTTTACCAGTAACTTCTGTGACAGATAATTGCCAAGTTCAAACTCGAGGTCAAAGGTATGGTTGTGAGAATGTAGCGAATGATCAAAGATATTCAATCTGACGTATTACTGATCGAGATAAATGTATACAAACTTCAAGTCTAGAGCAACTTTCTTTGCGTCGAGCGCTGAGAAAGTGTTTGCCAATTGTTTTTTTCTTTTTGGACTTATCTCGCTCTTTTCTCGTTTAACTTAGTCAGAGAAAAAGTTATTTAAAGAGAAAAGAGGACTTATGAATAATAAACAAAGCTAAGAACGCAATAAATAAATTATGATTTAACAGTTTTTTGCTTCAAACTAATCATGTTATATCGTGACAACTACACACTATCGAAGCCATGGAAACTGAACTCATGCCGCATGCAAAATTCCGAGCGAGGCCAAAACTCCTTGAAACCTGGATACGATACTGACTCATACAGCTCACGGACGAGGCTTATCCGTATTGCTTTCGCCTCAATTACAGTATCTTGAAGTATTATTACTCCTTCATGGGTGGTATAAGCCACTCCAATGCAGTTGCCCACACAGTATGTAGTCGAGCATCCTCGATAGTTCGCCGGAATCTATTTTCTGTCCAGGGTGGAGAGTGGGAATATCAGGACAAGTTGCCTGTGGAAGACGTAACTCGGCCAGAGTTCGCCGACTCCAACCTTTTAATCCGGTTTCCACAGCGCGAATCTTTTAGACTCCAACTTCCTGATATTGTATTCTGTGATTTGTTTTCACTTTTCTTTCAAAAGCAAAGACGAGAATTCATTTGTTGACATCAGATCTGTTTCAATAGAGAAAAACTAAAAACAAACAAATGATTCGCAAGATTGATTGCAATTGTTAAAATGTAAATACTGCTAATAATAGGAATCTAAATTTCGAAAAAATTTGGCGAATCACACAGCATTGTTGCACCCTTCTTACGCTTGGTATCATTAGACTTTTTGTTTTTCATTGTTTGTTTCGTTTTCCTTTTCTTGTTTAATTTGCGCAGGAAAAATTAAACCTCTTAACTAAACTATAGAGGGAGATTTGAAAACACCCCAAAAGATTTGGTCAAAGGCAATTCTTAGCTCGATTCGAAATTGCAAGTCAGACGGTATTTACAGTCGTTTTGAAATAGAAACCACTCGTTTTTACTCTTTACTGGTTTGACAATCAGTTCTGCGCAATCACCCACTCAGAGCAATAATGATAGCGAGCACGTTTTCATAAAATGCGTGGTAGAATTATGGTCAACTTTATTTTGCTTCACCTCAAACACATTTGATGCTGCTAACCCTAGCCGCTAAACTCTGTTCCCTATTTCTGAGAAATGAAAGAGCGGAAAACCTACAGAGAAGGCGGGACTATATTTGCTTACAGCTCATTTCTTAGGGCGCTTTTCGATTTAGTGTCTTTATCCAAAATAACAGTAATTACAACCACCATTTGTACACAGGGGAACACACCACAAGGAGCCAATAAGAACAAAATAAGCCAACAGCGTAAAGCGCCAGAAAACGTGAGTAAAACCAAGTCATAATTGACTTACGTTTTGCATCTGCTGATTGATTGCGTGAGGATGGCGTAAGTTTTGTCGAACAATATTACAGAGCAAAGTAAAGCAAAACTAAAGCAATCTCGTATTACTTTCGACAATCGTTTTAACATTACTCTATCAAAGTTTTTTAGTGCACTATTACTCCTTCTCAGAACTATTATCAGGGTTTGCAACTGCTGTGGCGTGCATGCTTCATGTGGATGGCTTTTAAGGCATGCTTCCAAATTAATTATGATAACATCTAATAGTGATGAAGCAACTGATTGAGTCATGGAGTTAGCCACTGTTCTGAAATATCTTTATATTGTTTCCTTGAAAAGTCTTTTATGACATGTAAAATTGTTTTTCTAGTCGTTGCTTGGCTTTGTTACCCTTTCTATTTGTTTTGACACCCATCCTAAAAGATATTTCTCTGTTGCATCGCTCACACCTAACGCATTCATTTTCCAGATTAAAGAATAGACATCCTTCATTTCCATGAGCACAGTGATGGCGAACTACATAACAACTAGAATCTGACTCTGTGGTTGAATTGTTGTCTAACATCACTTGTTCGTCATAATGATTTTCGTGTGTTCCTTGGTTTCTAGCTGTAGCCAGTGCCTGTTTGATGGTTCTGTACCTTTCGACTAGTTCCAACACTTCTTTTTGAAGGTTCTTGTGGACATCAAGTAATGTCATCCCCTCCCCGTTTACTTGACAGTCATCCCATGTCATGTTTGTCATAGTAGCAGAACATCTTTCCATCGGTCGATCATCGAACAGCGCCTTTGTGTCTTGCAACTCCCTTCTTACTGTTGTAATGACACGGAGACAGATCATCGTAACATGCTCTTCATAGACAACAAGACGTTCTTGTTTGAGGCTTAAATTTAAGCATCGCTGATCAGCTATAAGCTTCGCGTTTTGAAGTCGTTCTAGACGAGAATTCAGTAGAAATGTCTGGTGTTTAGTGCTTTGTTCCTGCTCTTCTAATTTTATCTGAAGCAGACCGTATTCCTGACTCAAACTCTCTATCTCTGTTTGCTGTTTCCTTAGGAAACTTTTCATTTCATTGTTTTCACGGAATAACCCGTTTACTTGAGACTGAAGAGCGCAGTTTTCTCTCGTTATCGCCTCTTTTTCTTCTTGTAAGTTTCTAACTTTTTCCGGCCATTTTGATTCCCTAGGTTCCGAAGCCTCGACATCAACTGAGGCCGACTTGAAAAAACTGTCTATCAAATGTGGAAGTTTTCTTTTAGATGTTTTCTGTTGCGAATCACCTGCATCTGTATTGTCTTTGCTCTTATGAGTGTAGTGTCTGTGTGCATTTTCGCCATCTGATGACTGTTCCTGATGGACGGCACCAACCAGAGCTGTCCATTTTGTTTCTTCTTCCGTGAATTTCACTTCATGTTTTTCGCTTTTGAGAGCTTCCTTCTCATTTGTATTTTTCTCATTATTTTCTCTGTAAGCACTCTCAGATGTAATAACGTCGTTACATTGGCTACTTTTATCATATTTAGGTGTTCCATTTGTTTTTTTGTCTTTAAATAGTGATGTACTCTGTACTCCTCTTTTCCATATTCTCAGCGAGAAGGATTTAAAAGAGTTTTCTGTCCTCTCCTCCTCCTCCGTCAAGTCAACAGGAATAGATTTTCTCTCAGATTTCTGGCTTGTTTCATCAACTGTTGCCGCTGTAAAGTTTCCAACCGCAGCCATCAACAGGACGATGAAATCGAGCAAGTGTGTACAGATTTTTCCACCTTGACAGCGAGCATCTTTTTCCCGGCTTAGCATTTCCCGGCAATCATGCCGAGTAGAGTAATTACAAATTTCTTGTGCTTTAGATGTTTCTACTCTGGTGCCATTTTGCGACAAGCTGTTATTACTAAATCGAACTGAGATCTTGGATATCAAATCACACAGTACGTTTTCACCTCCTAGGAAAAAACTCTTGGCAAACTTGGCTGCGTCTTCAGAAGCGTCTTCTGGAGAAGCGAGAAACGAACGTAAAACATCGGACACTCTAACAATATCTGTACACTTAAGTTCGTTGTTGTCATTCATAGCAAAGGAGTACGTCTCCATGTCAAAAAATTATGTCCCCCACTTGTTATCCTCGGTTGGTCGATTTTAAGCTTTCTTGATCTGATTCAGTTTGCACCCTAACTTCCGCGATATTTCCACACAGGCTTGACGCAAACTTTTACCTCCAACTCTCGGATCACGATAAACCAAACATTGCTTCAAAATGTCTCTTGAAAGCATAATATTATGGTCGCCATTAACATAACAGAAACACGCCGTTCAGAGGTCCTCTCCGTTAAATTATTTACAGTTGCCCGACGCTTCAAACAGAGAGCAACAACGATGTGTATTTTGGACTCGTCAGTCTGCGGCTTCAAACTAATTCTAAAACACAATGCAAAAACAATACGATACGTGAGCAAAGCAGGTTGTCACACGCAAATACTTTATAAACTTGTCAAGTTGCCAAAGAAACGAAGAACTGAATATGTCAGACTCTACTTGAATGGAGCAGAAACATAAGTTTTTATAGGCCACTGATGCACTAAACAGCAACAAAACCGGGCGAAACGAAATTTGAATTGTCAATAGCATTTCGATAAGACCGATGCCTCTGTAACAGGTGAACTCTAATTGATTTGTTTTTTTTCTTTTTAAAAATGGTAACGTATCGGGATTTACTTTAATTTTTCCCAGCTAATTTCAAATCGAAATAATAAAAAAAAAACCCTGTGTCGTACTTTGTGCTGTATGACTTTTCCCAACTGTCAATTAGTTTTACGTGAGTCTAAACTAGCCAGAGCATTAAATTGCTTCGCTCGTTAAAGAATAATACAAATGGTGCTTAAGTAAACACTACAAGTTTTACAGTTTGAATGAATCAAGTCACTAATGAATTGTGTTCATTATTCTCAGAGGAGTTTAGTGAGGACTATTTTTATTACACGTGTTTTGTGATTTATGGGAAGAAATGATGTGAAATCAAGTCTAAGTTTAAGGTGAGTCGCGATGAACTGCAGCTGTGAATCTTAAAAATAATAAAATAAACATTTGTGCTGCGTGACCTTCGTGATGAGAACTCCCGGTCAGGTCTCTCCTCGGTAAAAGACTTCACTGAGACCGGCTCAAAACATTGAGGTAGTATCATTTATATCGCGAAGACGTACTACTCAAGCTAGATATCTCTTTTGCAACAATGGTTTTTGGTGAGGAAAAATTGGATCAGTGTGCCAGAAAATCGCATTGAAAGTGTTATCCAGAATTTTTGTCCACCGTTTGATTAAAATTAGGTGGATGCATTGGATTGGTGACGTTACCATTCGCCTTGCTACTCAGTACTGTCTCTAAACTAAAAACCTATTTTATCGCGAGATTTTTAAAAACCAGACATTATGTATATGAATTGTCAGAGGGGGAAGGTAAATTTTAATTTTTTCATTCCCTTTCTTCGATAGAATAGAATGCTCGGTTCTATCTAATTACGAGTTGGAAGTACTCCTTTCTTAATTGATAAACTAGTACGACACTGTAACACACTTTTAACTTTTCATATTCAAGTCTTGAATCAATGGCGAATTTTTAATACGCGTTTTCTTGCACCTGAGGCAGCTTGTTTTTCCTGTCTATTTTTGAGCCTTAATTATAGCTCCTTGTGATATTTTCTTCTGCTCTGATTGGCTATTGTGAGTACTTTTGTTTTTCCCGTGCCTCGTGTCATCAGAGATCTGGGATCTGGGACCTGGGATGACCCTGGAAACGAGACTATAAACAAATCTTAACGACAGAAATGAGGTCTGAGTAAGGCGTAGCGGAGAGATGCCTTTCTTCAAAAGAAGCAACAAACCCCCTAAAAGAAGACTTGATGCAGGGAATACAAGTTTAAGCAAGTCTAATTTAAGTCTCGCTGGAACTGGCGAGCTTGGTGAATCAGGCAATAATGCTCTCGTAAAATTAAAACTAGGACGACACGAGTTGAGTTTTCAAGATGGCGACTGGATTGCGGGTAAGTTATGAAAAGAGTCGTTCCCTGTAGAGTTTTGTGAAGAGATAACATCGAGAAGAAACTTCCATCTACTTTTTAAAGCTTTATTCCCGTATTGGATCAGCCTTTAACTGGTTCAGCCTCGTGGTTTGCGGTGGTCCGCAATTCAAATTGTAGTGGTCGAATTATTTGGTTTGAATTTTCAAACTTTAATTATAAGTGGATAAATATAATTTCTACCGCGTTCCCAATATACTTGTATTTGAAATCACCTTAGTGTAGAAATGAAATTCCTTGCATTTCCGCATTTTATTGAATCAGATTCTTTTTTTCGCCCCAGGGAATGTCGAGGTTATTCATCTATTGATCATCATTTTCATCATTAATCTCATTACAATTTGAACGCCAGCTTTTCTTCACCTAACTCAACTTTGAGTCGTAAATTTTTCTACCTTATATACTACTTCACTGTTTTTAGAGCCAGGATCACAAAGTAGTTCTAAAGATGGAGCAGAAGTTAGCAGGTTACAGAGAGAGAATTCACAGCTTAAGGAGGAGAACAATTACCTAAAGTACAAGATTGAAGTCCTATTAGACATGGTGAGTTAAAGACTGCTGCATGTGTGTGTGACTTTCTTATTGCTTGAACCAGACTGTGTACAATTTTCAATTAAATTCCAATTTTTTCTGATCAACAGACCTCTTTAGTTTATACGGTTTGGTTTTTTGATGAAAATCTTGAGGAAGTTCCCCCCCCCCCTTTGTCTTTTGTAAATTATGTGTACATATGCTTGTGAATAAGAAGAAATTTGAAAGAAACAGTTCTCTAGAGTACTGAAATGACTTATCATGGGAAACAAAACATACAAACTGTGGAAACTTTAATTTTTTCAGTGGTCATGCAGGTAGTTCTTAAACAAAAGTACATTTAATGATTGGCTTTATCTTTGACTTTTTTGATTTTCTGAACTCACTCCCTCTTAGTGACACCCACCATGTTTCCTTTATTTCATTTGCAGATGGCTGCCAGCAATGCTGACTTGAATGTAATGGAGAAAGAACTTGACACTTTGCAAAGTCAGAAACAAGGCCGCAGAGTAGCAAAGTAGCAATTTTAGATACAGCTAACTTTTATTTATCAGAGTATTTTATTAGTAAATGAATTTACTAAATTCAGGTTTCCTAATTGTTATTGATAGCCACAGAGTAACAAAGTTTAGTCAGAGCTGTATGTATATACATTTGTATTTGAAAATAAAGATCAATTACTGTTCATCCAGCAATTGTATTACAAGGTATATGGATTTCCAGTCCATTCACACCTCACAGAACAAAGTAGTAGTGGGACAGGCCATCATTAGCATCAAATTTCTTTGCAAAAGCAAAGTAGAGATATTGGCAGAATGAATTGGAAATGGCTAAATTGAATTGGTAAATCTATCCTTAAACCCTTTAACTCCCATTAATGACCAGAACAGAATTTCTCCTTACAATATCAACTGCATAAGTGATGAGAATAAAGAAAAATATCAATTTGGGGTTAATTAGTTGACCCAAGACTAAATTCTCTAAACTAACATAAGAATTGTGTGGTTGACAGTATGGAGAATTACAAATTTGATCTGGGAGTTAAAGGGTTAAACGCACTAAAAAGATGTTTTAAGATTGTTTTTTCTAACATGTCTATTCTGGTTGAATAGTTTCAAGAAATATCTTCTTTTGGCTGTCCTTCTGGTTTTTTTTTATCTCTGTCTACTTCTATTTTAAAGTGTGATGCATGATTTTGAACTGACACAATGGAAAGAAAATGGTGTCTCCAGGATTAATCCTAAGGATTTTATATAAATATTATTTCAGTTGATTAGCTTGCCTATACCTGCCCCATTATGCAGTGAAAACCTTTGAAATCAAAGTTAGACTACTGTCAGTAATAGCTTACTTTACAGAGAGGTTAGACTGAGCACATGATATACTCAAAAATACCTAAATTGCCATTCTCTTGCAAAGGTAACACCCGGAAGGAGTGACTACCTGTTGTTAATGCTTAGAATTAGGCTACATACAGTCATTAACTCATTAATGTTAGTCATTAATGCACTGGCAGAGGCTTTTCCTATTAAGTTCTTGATGTCGTTCTAATCATTTCAACTGCTATGTTGAAAAGAATTAACAAACAATTGAACACAATACATTATTATGGTCCTTGTTAAAAGTTATAACAGCATAATTACTTCTTTTTCAAAATATCACAATTGTTTAATGATTTTGAAATAACCTTTTTTACCAAACTCATCATAAATTTTTCTGTATAAAATTAATAAAAAATTTTATTTTGCAAAATTTGGCCTCTGAAGGTCCACAAAAACCTCAAGATAGGACTTGCCTTATTTATCAAAGTAAGAAAGAAAGGGAGGAAGAGGGGAAAACTTTAAGTAGTGGTGACTGTTTTTGTTTTGCTACTGTCACTTACAATCATTTAAAGCGATACTGCTGTTTTGTGTAAACAATAACAAATCAGTCTTTCTCTGGTCTCTTAATTGACATTTACCAATTCAATTGAAAGACAAAACAGTACCAAAACTTCAAAGTTTCATACAAGATGCAGATTTGTAGAGCGGTGGTTAAGAAAAAAAAAAGGAAAATACCATGTACAGTTCGACCTTGATTATTAGTACTTTGCAATTATCTGGACTTGTTTCTCTGGTCCCAGGTGGTAGTTTGAAACAAACTGATTTACAGCAATTTAGGTTGATGTAAAACGTTGTTGGATAGCCTAAATAACTCTTCGTGCAATAAAGATTTAACAATGTGCGTCAATCCTTGCATAACATTGTTTACTGGTATATGATACAAATTTACTTCTACCTAGTGACTGAAAACTGTGCTTAAATAGTACAAGGCATTTTTTGCAGCTTTCTCATGTGCTGCTTGTTTTTTGTGGCCCATTCCACCACATACTGTTGGTGGTTTTGTATCAAGCCTCACGAAACACATATAATTGCCATCATATCCTTTTTCTGGCAAGTCATGATAAGTTACAGTAAAGCCTGATGTTTTTCCTTCGTCTTCAAGAGCTGAGCAAAACTCGTGACTAACACTGGTCTCTGCATCAACAACAGAAGGTGGAGTACTGCAATGATGGGACACTGTGTTCAAACAAGGTTCCTCAGTTTCCATTTTATCATATAAATCGCTTGAAAGAAATGGAACTGGTGAGTTAGACTGGCTACTTCTTGAGGGACTTGACCCTGATAGAGGGCTTAGTCTAGAGTGCTTGTCAGGAGACTTCCTTAATGGGCTTGATGATCCATTTTTGTGTGCACCTACTGGGGATGAACCCTAGGGAAAAATAATTACAATTATTATTTTGAGTCACTTTCATTTAAAATAAGATCAACAATAGCTGTGGCTCTAATACTAAAAATAACTAGGTGTTTTCAACTGAAACTAAATAAAAGAAAAAAAAAAGAAAGTGGTTTCTAAAGATGATCTTTGCATGTTTCAGTAGTGCTTTGTAGTGCAGCAATACATACATTAAATATTGCTTTCAGTTTTGTGGATTATATTGGATGCACAGGACTAAATGTATTGAAAAAAGTAACCTTTCAAATCCAGCCCTTGAAAGGGAGAAACTATTTTGTATCTGCACTAAATTGTCAAAATTAGTTTCTCTAAAACTCTTGTACAGATGAGACACTTCCAAAGGCTGTTGATTGAAGCCTCAAGCTGAACACTGTGAATTACAACCACCATTCCCATATAACAGTGACACAAGCACTAAACCTCACTCTATGTTCATATTACTTTGTATTACAAAACCCAACTCCATGATCTGAATCATCCAAACAACAAACTTTCTAAGAATTGATCTTTTTGCATTGAATAGCTTGTTATACCTTGGTTACATTTTTCTTCTTTTGTTATTTTTTGTCATTTATGTACCAATACAAATACTCTGTTTTCCATTTTAATTCACAGGATTTTATCTACCTTAGGTGCCTCACTGATCATGCTCAACATTTTCTCTGCAGCAAGTTTCTTGGCTGCTTTTTTGCTGCTTCCATGCCCTTGAGAAATCCAATCTACAACCTGAAAACAATCAAAGATTAATCTATTTGAGATGTGCACTAGGCACCCCTGAAAAGATTGCATTTTTGTATGCACAGCATTGGTTTTGTAACAATAAATGGATACACAGGGCTATTACATAAAAAACAAATGTTAAATTCTTATCATTTTTCTTAGCCTATGTGGGTGGCTGGTAGAGGTTAGGGGAAACCAAAGTGGAAGAATTATTTCAATGACCTCACTTTGGCATAACACCTTCTGACACAGAGCAAAGGTTAATTTTCACTTTTTACATGAAAAACTCACCATTGTATTGAATTCATAATGATAACCCAGTACAAGCTATGGTCAAAATCTTCACCTGGATTTAAAGCCCTCTCAGATTATTAAACCTTGGTAGACTTTTAATTCTAATCTATTAAATAGCTGCACCAAATGGCTGAAAATTGATGGTTTCAAAATCTACATTTTTCTTTCAATTCCTAAAAAGTAACCAACTAACAAATTATTGAAAATAACAATATCAGGACCCTGCATTCAAAAGTGAAGGTCTTCATGTGTGCTTCTCCCTCTTCCTGTGTCACATTGTAGACTGGTGGAGTCCAGTTCTTCTTCATACACATTTCTTGCAGGCTACCAATAGGATTTAAGTCTGTACTTGGCAAGTATGGGCTCCTTCTAGCTGGATTCAATGGAGATGTTGGAGTGGTACTTCTAAATGGTGTATGGCTTGGAGATCCCTGAAAAGAATCAGTTAACAATTGAAAGAAGATGAGGAATGAATGATTACCAATTCATAACTGGTTGGTCATTTTGAACCAACATACAAACATATGCTTGTAAAAGTAAATCTACCACCCTTCAGATTAAAAAGAAAAACTCAGCCCAAATAAAGAAAATTAAGACAATAAATAAGATAAGTACATTAGCAACATTCAAAGGTATGGCAATGATCACGCAAGAGACCAATATTTACTACATTTGTAACAATTCACGGGCCAGTCAAAGGCGTATTTTTCTCCTCTATTTTACAGGTCAAATTGGTTCAATCATGCTGCCTTCAGTTCAAAACTGACAAAGAAAACATAGTGAATTTCATTTCCCCACCAAAACTTAAGAAAAATAAGAGAGAGATATTTTTCCTACAGGAGAGGTATTAGAAAGTTAGAATGAGGTGTCATAACAAATTAAAAAAATGAAATAACCTGTAAAAACTCACAAGACCCCTATTTGTAATAACACTGAACAAAAGAAGAAGGTCTACAAAATACACAATTCATCTTTCATTCCCTTCAAAAACCATTTAACCAGAATTTTGGCTGTGCAAGTGAGAGTGATCAGAGTTAAAGTGGCTTTTAAACTTATATTACATTGTTCAAAAGATGACATTTGCTTCCTAATTTAAAGATTTGTATACTTACTATTGATTTTGTATTTCAAAAAGTTTGAAATGAAATGGATTTGGCGAGGAAATGTTATTTTCCTTCCCTTTTTAAAAAAGTGTGACATCAGCACTTTTATAATATTTTTCAAAACTAATTATTTTGAAATATTGTGTGGTTAAGCGAGATTTTCCCTATGAATGTCGATAGCCCTTAATAAAATATAGTTTGGTTGCCTAGTCATTGGCCGGACGAAATTAGAGTCCCAACAGCAGGCACTGCCCTTTGACTACCATTTGTTTTTGTTTCTTTACTTTACATTGTTCCTGAAAAATGTTTGCCCCCAACCAAAGAGGAAAAAAAACTTTGTGTATGTATAATTAAATTCCACGTAATACGAAACAGCATTATTCAAAGTAAAGAATTTAGTAAGAGGATGTATTCAATTCTAAAGCTTGAATTGAGAGTTCGAATTTGCGCAAGGGAAAAACATTGTTGTGTTTACTGTTGTTAACAATTATTCGTGTTCTCACCTTAGACGCTCCTGGTGAGGTTGTGGTACCACCAGTGTTACTTCTGATGAGTTCCAAAGCTTCCTTCGCACAGTTCGCTTTGGCCTCTTTTTTGCTGTGTCCCGATCCTTTGCATTTTATCACACGTCCAACTTTGACCTCACAAGTAAATATATGCGTATTTATCAGTCCCATGGCCAATTCATCCAAGTAGTTGAAGATCACAGGTTGTCTACTTTGAGCTCCTGCTTCCATCAACAAACTTACGGGATTCTTCGCTCTGTTTTCAGGAGACGAAATGATTTCGTTTATTTCACGCAAGATGACGTCCTCCATGTCGCAAGTAGCTCGGGCTCGACTATTCTAAGGTATAAAATGTTTCTGCGTTTTGAATGTTTATGGGCGCTATAACTCTAATAGATGCAAATGTATGATCAGGAAGGATGGAGTTGCTTTCTCGGAAAGTGTGATTTCCGTGAAAGCCACTTCCCGCCATCTTGTAATTTCACCAGAAAACCTGGGTACGAGAGCACACTGGCGAAGCAGTGGATGGTGGGATATCTTCTTCCAATTCGTGGAAAGCGCTCAACAGGCAAAATGTCGATGCTTTCGGCCGCCGCGTTGTTAGATGAATTAATGGGGGTCGATAGAGATCGAGCCCCCAATGAGAAAAAGACTGCCCTACATTGGTCTGATCCTCAGGTAATTTTTGGTTACTTTTATAGTAGTTTATTGTTGGTTATCTGTCTAGTTCGGTTCGTCGATAAAACTAACGCTGATAGCAAGCTTGTTTCTTTTACTTTTCAGGTTTGCAAATACTTCCTTTGTGGATTTTGTCCTTCCCAGCTCTTCGTGAATACTAGATCTGACTTGGGTTAGTACAAAACCGTATCTAATTTTTTTGTAAAAATCGAATTGACTAACTTAAACTTGCAAACCGGGATAAACCGGCCGCATGGTCTTGAGTCAGTGTTTTAATTACGAAGCAATGAGAGAGTCCGCGATCAATTGAATAGCATTAGAGACAATTAAACAATTCACCGGAAATTTCCACTGGCATTTTAAACTCAGTAAGGGTTGTATATTGAACTATATTGATTTTCTTTTACTTTTGTCTTTATTTTAATCTGTTACTTAATGTGAAACGTAGAACAAGTGAAAGTTTGAAAACGAAAGATGTGCGTTATATAATCGGAGGTGTGAGGATGATGTGAATCATCACGAGTGAAAAATGTTAGAAATTTTTAGTAAGCTGATGTTCAAAACCCGTGGGTTTTGCTTCAAGTCAAAGTAGCGTTTGGTGTAAAACTAACCTTTGTTCGGAAAGGGTCATGACAACGTCAAAACTGTACCCTGCAAGAACAATTTTTGTGTGAGAATGACGCAATCAACTCCCAGCAATGAAATTGCTTTTGATCAATGTTTCATTCTAATTACCGAAATTAGTAATTATTCATTCTGCAATTTCAACCTAACGTTGGTGAACAAAGAGCTGAAGTGCACTGTAACCTACATATGTTACTGGAACCTTTCAAGTCTCAAATAAAAGATCAAAGACTCCAATTGTATCTTTTGTTGACAAAAAAGGATTTTACACACAATTATAATTTACCTTGTATCTCTAGAAAGCCTTATGCAAAAGACTAAACATAACTTGCTGTTAATTTTTTTCTTAGGCCCTTGTGAAAAGGCACATGATGATCGGTTGAGAAAAGAGTAAGTATTGGCAACACATACTTTTCGGTTAATGTTTAGTGTATCGTTCCGTAAAATCGTGGGAGTAGGGGAATTGCTGATAATTAACAACTATTCACCAAAGTGGAGATGGCTAGTGGAGGATATGTACAAGGTGGCAAAGTTGTGAAATAAATATCGTGAAGTAAACAGTGAAATAATATTAATGATCTTAATTCATTTATTCCTGTAATGATAACAGTATTTTTGGATGAATAGTAAAGGATCTTTGGATTTAGAGTGCTCAGTCAGAGTGCACCTTCAATGCTGTCGACTGTTTTAGTGTGTACTGAAGTAGGATAATAATACTAGTGGGCACCATCATACCAAAACCCATAAAGTTTTAGAGCTAAAATATTTGAAAGTGAAGGAAAATTGGCTTTTTTGATACTAATTAGGAGCTTTGATGTTTTGGTAAGAATGTTCCTAAGTAGGTTTTTGGATGAGATTCTACTTGTTCTGTTCAAAATTTCTGTAAAATGTGATTGCTTCTCAGGGCAGAGCTTCCTTACAGACATAAAGTAATGCAGAATGTATAGTTTCATCAAAATTTTTTCTTTTTTTTTCCTGTGTAGCCCTAGTACTTATACTTGTGTGCTGTTTGGGTTAATTTGATAAATTCTTGATGTTATTCCCTTGAGTTGTTTTTGAATGTTCTTAAATGGTATACTTTCAGAGAAACTTTAACTTCTACAATTTATGTCTTTTTTAAAACACATTTAGGTATCAAGAAAGTGGTCGTTTCAAAAAAATGAGGTATGAAGAGGAATTTCTGAGGTATCTTCAAAACATTATGGCAGATGTGGACAGACGGATCAGGCGAGGACATACCAGATTGAACCTCAGTCGTGCACAGGAAGAGAAGGTGAAAATATGTGTATTATAATTATAACACATCAAATCATTTGATCTAAGATTTGTGATACTGTTAACTGCTGTTTTGAATCTTAGGAAAATTACCTTCTCTAACTCAAATCACTGCTAGCAAAAAAAAAAATTTTTCCCCCAGATGTTTGTCATGTTTTGCAAAATTTTAAATGACAGTTTCCATAGTTTTTTTGAAAATTCCTAACTTGACTTTTTGATTAGACCAATTTATTTTGCAGTTGTCAATTAAGCAACAAATTTGAAGTTATGTTGTGGATCTCATGTGCAGTAAAGTTTGAAAATTAGTCTCATACCTTTCAAAGTCGAAGGTGGTTAACCATTATTGTCTCATTTCATATATTTCTTTAGTTATTTTAGAATCTGTTGAATTTGATGACAGTGCTGCATCTGGTAATCGATGATTTAGGCAGACTTAGTTCAGCAGTTTATTTTATTTGTTTTATTTTAATCTGTTCTAATTTTATTGTACTTTTTTTTATAAATAATGGTCTTTTATTTTTACATTACTCTTTTGACTTGCATACAATTTTTTTGGTTGAATGGCTGTGGTTTTTTTTTCGGCATGCACTCTTATGTACCAGCTACCTCTTGTTTGGCTCTGTTAAGAATCATATGACCTCCCAATGGGACAGAAAGTGTTAGATACTGTGTTTCTGTCACAGGAATTGGCAAGTGGCAAGCCAGACAGTGAAAAAATCAAAATGCTTACTGAGAAGATTAATGCTTTGTTAGAGCAGGTGAGACAACATGTATACATCTTTGAAGACTCTGGTACTCTTGGCTTACTTGCTGTGGTCACATTTTTTAATAATTCAAAGTTTAAAGAAAGTTATATTTTTGTATCAGGTTGTATAGGTGTTTGTTCACATTTTTTTAATAATACAAAGTGTAAAGAATGTTATATTTTTATATCAGGTTGTATAGGTGTTTGTTTTACTCCTGTCATTCCCAAGGAAATAGTGTATTTAGGTTATCTAACTCTCCTGTCGGATTTTAGTCTTTTACTGATGATAAAAATGGTCAATGCATCAACCAGAGTTAGTTTGTTTTGACATTGTTTAATTTTTGCTTGAAGTCCTCTAAGCTTGTTTTTTGCCTATCTTGTCAAATGTTGTGGCATGGTTTTGAAGAAAGAGGGAAGCAGAATAAATATTAAAAGTTACAAAGTATTTGCATGTACAGCTCTTTTTGGCCCTGATTTTATCTTCCTGCTAATCAGATTGCAATCTCTTTGAATTGTTTCTTGTCAATTCAATGTGTGTAGGTTGAACAATTAGGGTGTGAAGGAAAGGTGGAAGAAGCACAAGGTGTTATGAAATTGTGTGACCAGCTAAAGAATGAGCGTGAGGCTCTCCAAATGGTAAGATACAAATATTTTAAATGTTATGCTGTAAATGGTTTGAGCCTAGGTGTAACATTTGATCTTTTAATAAATGTGAGTAGTCCTCTGTAGGTTTGTTATCAGCAGTGGTGACTGATGTTTTGATAACCAAAGCTGTCCTGACCTATCCTGAAGTCATTATAAGAGTCAAATGACACTGACTGATAACAGTTCTTTTCAAGCCAACCATTATGTAGATAATCAGACTACTAAATCAATTGGATATTTAAGAAACCAAAGAAACTGTAATGGGTTGAAAATGTACTTGGAGCAGATTTAACCCTTGAACTCCCGTGAGTGACCAAGACAGAATTTCTTCTTACAATATTAATACAATATCAACCAGATAAGTGATGAGAATAAAGAAAAATATCAATTTGGGAATAATTAGTTGATCCAATACTAAATTCTCCGAACTAACATTACAAAAATAGTATGGTTGACAGTAAAGAGAATTACAAATTTGATCTGGGAGTTTAAGGGTTAAAAAAGAACTTTTCATGGAGAAAGCCCCTTTTCATCATAAAAGGTCTCATTCAAAATATATGTGGCACTCCCTTTGGAAGGTTAGTTAGATGGAGAAAACTCAACATTTTGTTTGCAGTGTTAAGGGAAATACAATTTGAGACAGAGGGTCAGTAACTAAGAAACTCAGATGTGTGGTAACTATGACTGAGTACAAGAACAGGCAGTTTTTCATTGACGTCATAGCTTCAATTCCCAACAAAGATGTTCCTTGTTATTAATGGCCCAAATTCTTGGTTTCATTTATATTGGATCAAGGAGAAAAGATTAGGTACATCTGGGTGGGTCTCTTCTCTAATTGAAGTCACATTTGTAAGGGCTTGTCAGATATTTTGAACACAGTCTTGGCTTGTTCTATTCTGTGATGCATTCTGATAGTCTTTAGGAAGATTCCTAAAGGCTACTTTTTATCCCAAAGAAATAATTTTCTCTATGTCCAAGCTTACTGCAAATCAAGAAATTCTTTGTTTGAAATGGTTATTCCTTTTGTGGGCCTACTAGTGGTTGAATGGTTGAGTGGAACCAGGTCATTTGTTGTCTGGTTCAGTTTCTTCTTTACCATTGCTCAAAGGTGAGCAAGGACCTTCCAGGATGACAATATTGGATCAGTGTCAGTATCTGAGCAACTGAGCACCTTAACAACAGCTAACTGATAACAAGTTAGGGTCAATGTTGGGTTAGAGGAGGGGAGGGGTAGCTGTGCAGTTGCTTTGATACTGACATTGATCCACATCATTCATGATGATTTTGGTGGCCTGCTTGTGGAGAGAAGGAGATAAATTGATCATTCAGAGTATCATTCATTTTTCTATAGAGGGTAACTTTGGAAAGGTTCTGACCGATTTTGTTTGTCACTTTTGTTTGCTTTGTTTTACAGCAATCGCGTGACCTTAACTTAATGTCTGCTCAAGAAAAGCAAATGGAAGTGTGTGAAGTTTGTGGTGCCTTTCTTATCATTGGTGATGCACAAACTCGAGTTGATGATCACTTACAGGGAAAGCAGCATATGGGTTATGCCAAGATCAAAAGTACCATTGAGGAACTCAAGGTGAATTGGGCAATACTCGCACTGTGTCCCAGTGGTGCTTCAAAAATAATAATACCACCCCTGCATTGATCTTAGTCCTAATACCTATCTACTTTATTTGCTGTCCGGACTGAAATTTAACACTAAAATTAAAAAATTTCATTGCTGTACTTCAGTTTAGTCTTCCTGTAGAACGAGTTTTAAGTGAAAGAAAAAGGAAGACACCTTAGGGAATAACTAGGTTACCGAAAATTTGCCCTGCTCGCTCTAAATGTCCAATTCGTTGCAATGCATTTTACTTGATTCCTCTTGTATTTTTTTCCCTTCAGAATAAAAGGAACGAAAGGTCTCGGTCTAAATCCAAAGAGACGATGGAAAAAGATGAAGGTTCTGAAAAAAAGCGTGAGAGGGAAGGAGAACGGAATCGTGACCGGGACCGTGACGGGAGAAAGGACCGTGACAGAGACCGTGATAGGGATCGTGACGCTAGAGGACGCGAAAAGGATCGTGACAGAGATCGTGACAGAGATCGTGACAGAGATCGTGACAGAGATCGTGACAGGGATCGTGACCGAAGGAGAGACCGTGATCGTGACAGAGACCGTGACCGCGATAGGGATCGTGACAGGGACAGGGATAGGGACAGGGACAGGGACAGGGATCGTGGCAGGGACCGTGAACGTAGAAGGGATCGTGATCGTGACAGAGATCGTAGCAGGGACCGTGACCGGGATCGTGATCGTGACAGAGACCGTCATCGTGATAAGGAGCGTGATGGTGAAAAGGACCGAGATCGTGACAGGGATCGTGAGAGATCAAGGGAAAAGGAGAAGCGGCGTGTTGAGAAAGATGAAACGAAAGACGGAGATGGAGAAAAACTCGAGGAAAAGGAGAACGAAAATGGGGAAGATGAGAAAGAAGCCGCAGTCGAGAAGATGGAAGGAACCGATGAAGGTTACGACAACCAGGAGAAAGATAAGTCCGTCAGATCTCGAAGCAGGTGAGTGTTGTCTTTAAGGAGTGATATTAAATGAGAGCATTATGCAGAGATGGCAAAGTTTTAGCACAGTTAAGCCGATTTCTAATTAGTTGTTGATAATGAGAAGGGTAGACATTGTTATTTTGGGTGCTAACGTACAACGAGCTGCCCACTGATTAAACACTCCGTAAATTGGATCAAGAACTGAAGGCTACTGCGAAAGCAAAGCTACCTCAGCTCAGCAGAACGGAACAACAAAGATTGAGGTACCTCATTCTGTTGTGATTTTCAATTTTGAAATTTCCTCAATTCATTGCTTGTACTAAAGTCATGGCAGCAGCTATCATCTGGGCTTGAAGATAACTGGAAACACAAGGTACACACGCAAAGTTTGAGTTCAATTTTTAATTTTTTGTTAATTATGGTTTTCAACCAAGCTGATCAACCGAGGATCGTATGTAAGGTAACTTTCCTGTTTGTTTTTGAAATGAAATTTTCGTTTCTATTCGTAATTTTTTACTAAAATGGAGTCAAACGTCTCAATGCGAAGAATCGCTCTCTAAAAGGAATCGATGTCGCTGCTCAAACCGAGTGGCAAAAAGTTAAGTCCCAACTGGAAGAGAGTCGAACGTCGTGATCATTTGAAAGTAAACTTTTTGTTTGAATGTTAAAAGAAAGAGAAAAAGAAGCAAAAAAAAAAATTTTTTAATTTAAAAGTGAGACCTTGGGAAGTTAAAGAATTCGCCACAGCAACGGAATTGAAGGTAGCAGTTGTTGTCAGACTTCAGTTTACCGTATTAAACCAACTTACGTTTCCAGTGAGTCACTCAAAGGATATCAATCTCTACCGGCGGATCAGCCAATCACTCAGTCGACATCTTGTAAGAGGTATTCTCCCAGGTATTTTAGATCATCATGTGTTTTGCGTAAGACCCACCAACGCCTATTTTCAGCCAGCCGCCGAGGAATGGTTTTCCTCATACGCACGACGTTCTTATCGATTTAAGAGTGTACATTATTTGGTAAATTATCATTAGGTGTGTGTGTTCGATATGTTAATATGGTCCGGAATGGTTAATCTTGTGTTTCCCTAGTGGTGGAGATACAAGATTTAGCCTTTTAATTTCTATTTCACGGTGATCATTAAGTGACCTAGAGGACTACAATTTAGCGAACCTGTGTGGTTTGTGTTGGTGGCTTTCTTCTCTTGATTGAGTAGTGTACGAGTGTTCATTTGTTTGCTTGATTGAACTCTGATATCCCATCAGTGAGGCGTTTATTGGTTTTTCTTTTCCTTCCACTTTTCCACTGTTTGGGAATTTTTTGTTTAGTTTTCGAGGATGCCTTTTTGATAGTCTCTTTCTGTGTCCCTACGGAATCTTTGGATGTTTGTCGTTCTCTTGCAATTCTTTGGGCGATGAAGCGAGTTAAAGGAAGGAACGGCGCACTCACAATATCTGCCTAAATCCTCAGTTGTTGTTGGTTTTTTCAGCTGGTGACTAAGGGTCGCTTCTTGTTCAGGGATTAGTTCGTTGAAGTCCAGCTCAGGCTTGGATAGCCTGATCATCTGTTGGCCCCTCGGCCTAAATGGTTTTATGTCATTTACAGGTCACGTGAGAGAGAAGAACACCACGACAAGACTGGGTCCTCGTCCCCAAAGAGCAGGTCTCGATCCAGGTCCCCTCTATAGTGTGCAAGTCCAGTGAATCATACCGCAGACCAGAAAAGTGATGCAGAGCAAGCCCTGTTTTTTACTGAAAAGTTGTCATTTCTAGTAGGTTAGTTTACTATAAGACGAAAACATCTTAAATTCTAGGGTTCGGTTTTACGTTTAGTTACCATGAGCTTCAGTAAATTTATAGTGTTGCCAACCCGTAGAACATAAACATATTTCTCAGAGGTTCGTTGTTAAGAGCCTGCTACATGTGTGTGTTACTCGAGGATTTCATTGCAAACAATCCTTCAACTTTCCTTTGAGCGATGTCCTTTTCAGACACCTCTAAGAGTATAGAAAGGTTTTGAACCAAGTTTTTCTGTGATTGGACCGGTGTCTTGAACATTGTGGAAGATTGGAGTTCTGCAGTGGCCACAGCATTCAAGATGGCGGGTCCACGATGAAATGAAGATAGTTCAGGTTGTTCGCCATCTTTAGTATCTCGTGTAGTTAAGTGGTAGCTACAACTTTCGCTCACTTATAATAAACCAGAAGGCACCTAGATAGTTCTTTCCTTCCGTAGATGGTCGAATCCTGCAACAAGATAGTACACTCTTGTATTTAGGTTGAATAAATCAATTCCTTTGGTGAAAAGTTTGAACCATTCTTTTGAGGAGCAAAACCGCAACATTTAATATTGATTTTTTTTGTTATGAAGAGTCATGGTTAGCACAATCTGGAAAAGGTGTTGAATTGTTATAATTATCTTCAAAAGCCCTTTTGTTTCGTTTGGGTCCTTGAAAGGTACTTGATTTTCTATTCTGGTTTTTGAGAAGTTGTTTAAATATTATGCACCTTTGCCCGGGGAGTACTTCAATTTTATGCGTATCTCTCAAGCTTTTGATGCGGGTTGTCCGCTTCTTGCCAGTGTTGCAGCAGGTTACGTGTACCCGTCTCCATCTTTTTCAATACGTATGTTGTGATTCGGCTCTATCCCCTGTGTAAGATTTCCTTGTTGACTTCGTCGTTGTCTTTGTTATTCTTTTGTTGTCCAGTGGAAAAAATGAGTATGCAGCCAAGGAAATTTTTTCGATGGGAAGAGCGGCCATTAAAGAGACTCGGCAGAGAAGCAGAAGCTTAGTAAAGCTTTACATTCACGTGATAATTCGAATGTCTTAATTATTTTTAAAAGCAATCACCACCAATATCAAAAATAAATCAAGTAAATAACATTTTGGCATTTGAATTTAACGGGATGATTTTTTAGGGAATTTAAAACTGAAACTGGGATGATCTTTTGAACCTGATCCTCTCGGGAGCTCCACGAAATCGTAATTAACTTGGATCTGTTCGCTTAGCTCCGACAGTAGTGTCCATTGCTGGCGGTTTTGTGAGCCCTTTGCGATTTTGCGTACGCGGTTTTCGCGGCCTTAGCGCTCGTTGCCTTCGCGCACTTAAAGCCGCTACCAATGCAGGTTAGTAACACACAACTCGTACTGGGGAGGCACAAGCTGGAACCCCCTCGTATTTCTGTGATTGCAGTTCCTCGCATTATTGAAATGATTACTTTTCTAATTCAATTTTTAATAGTAAGACATTGATTTCGGAGAATCAGAGTAGCAGGGTTTTTCGAGAGAGAAAGAGAGTGGAGTAGGGGGTGGCGATTGAACAAGTTACCGGACTCCTGAAGGTTCTTGGTGGGACCTGATGCGATCTAATTAAGTTAATGGTTGTCTACTTGATTAGTGTCGGTTGGTACTAACAATCAGCTATTTCACGAACAGATGGTCCTCAGTTGCTTATTCTCTACAGACTATTAACTAATAAATAAGTCTGAGTCGTGTATGAGTAACAGAATTCTCAAGACAAAAGAAGAATGCTATTGGAAATAGCTGATATTGGTGTCAATTCAAGTTGGAAGCAATTAAGTAGAATACATTGGATACACCGTTAAAACAAAGTTTAGGTAAGACTTCTTTGCGATTCAAAGTCCTCTTTGATTACAGTTCAGCCATAAGAACTGTGGCTTTCCATTTTTAGCAATTAATTGCCATAGGTAAATCTGGGTTTTAGGGACGATATAGAAACGTGTTTTAAACGACTTCGATTATATAAATATCTTATATGTGAACCGCGGATTGTTAAATGAAGAGGGAAGTGATTTTCGCAGTAATGAACGCTACGTATAAATCGCATGGGGCCTAGTAAAGTTGAGGATTTATGTCATGCGTTTTCTCAGAAGATGCGGCGCGACTAGGGCAATTTCTGCAACTTCTGAAAACACAAGCGATACTAATCCTTATTTTTAAGCGGAAACATACGATTACTTCTTTTACTAAGAAGTCAGCGGTCCGTTGTCGCGCGACTCTCCTACTGTTTTCTCCATTGATCGTCGGCATCCATGCTTCTGGGATTTCTTTTCCACTGTCCCTGTTAATGTAGTTAGGGTGAAGTCTTACGTGAATCGCCTCTTTTCCATAGTTTTTGAGAGATATGGAAGAACTTGCAGCTTGTAGAACAAAAAGTCTGCCAGTTTAGAAGAGAACAAAAATCAGGAAATTCCTGACAGCTAGATTAGGATCGTACGAGTGATAATTAACACATCTATTGATTAATCTCTGTCGGTTTAGACCGCTGAGCAAGAATAATTAAGGTACGTGCGAAACCTTCGCTGATTTAACTGCTTTCAACTGTCTTGCCGAACAGTTTACAATTACAAAAACTGCATATCCTAACCAGGAGTCCATAGGTACCTGTCCTGATTGAGTGTAGCCAAGGTGTTAGTGGTCCAGTCAACCCAAGCTTTTCCTTGTCTCCTGATCCATGGAAGGATTTCACCTGGATGGTTACAATGTACTCCTGACCTAGGAGAGTTCAGTCACAATAAAATTTTATTGGGGACTAGGGACGAAGTCGAGTAATCTGGGGCAGAGGCTGGGTACTGACATTGAGTTAAGATGGCGTCGGCGTGTTTCATATTGTTTTGCAGTCCCGTAAAGTTGCAAGTAAGTTAATTTAATTCTGTAAAATACGACCAAGTTGGTTAGAAAAGGCTTGTTCACACAACACTTCCCTCTCGTCCTGAAAGATACTCCGATAGCGAAAGACGTTACACAGATATTTACTTACAGTCTAGATATAGTAGTTGTATTTAAACTCTCGATTGACCGAGTTTGACCGTACTGAAGAGAACACCAATTCATGTTCTCTTAGATGAAATGAAGCAAGTAGCAAAAAGCCAATACCCTTACTGTACCAAAGAAAGTAAGCCGTGACAAATAGAAGGATGGTAGAGTCGAGCGAGTCGAGAGCAAAGAACAATTCTCGTCACTCCCCGCTCTTTCTTTATCATCTGATTGGTCTTTTTTTTCCCGGAGTGGACGGCTAGTTTAGCAATCTTTTTTCGCCTGCTTCGGAATGATTTTTATGATTACACGCACAAAAGGTGTTAAGGCGCTTCACATGTTCACATGAGATTGTTCATTCCAGATTACTAAGAGATTATAAACTATAATTTCTTGAGATTACTTAAGAAATAATATGTTGCTTTGTTCTTCAATAGGAAAGAACATTTATGAGACACCAAGTTAGTTTTACCAAGAGACGATCATTGATGGATGTATTGTCTCTCTCTGAAAAAAAGCCAGCGCTCCTACGATCAATACATATGTAACTTTGTGAATAGTGCATTTTTTAGTCGTGTTGTAATATCCCTTGTGGAACAGAAATACCAAGAGGGAAGAGAAGAAGTAAATATGTATTGGCAATCGATCACTTAAAGGTCAATTACGCTGTAGTTGATCCTCTCTTGACGATCATCACAGTTTCCAATGGAATGTGATTGACATTAATATCCTCATGTTTTCAGAAAATTTTGGAAAAAAATGACAGAAAACTAAGGTGCGTCGGTCAATGGAATTTTCAGTAAACACGTTTTTGAACCACGAGATCGTAATCTTCACCTGCGGTCATCCACTTACTACGTCATTTGTTTACTTCGCGTACGTGGAATAATTAATTTTTTCATGCGCTGCTGATGTAAACTCGGAGTATTTTTGCACAATTCTAGAAGCCTTCTAGAAGCCTTCCAGAAGCAAGGTCGCAAGCACGCACATTTTGTCGGGAAGTCTCCATCGGTGAACGGAAGAATCATTTTTGTCGACAGAAGCAATTTTGCTTCCTGATCATCCAGTTTCGATCAGGTTTTCGAATGTGTGAAAAGATCAAACAATCACGCTCGTGCGACACAATAGCAACAAAGCACTGAGGCAACGACAAATCAAATGGCAATGCGCGGTGTATTTCACGAGCTAATGATAGGTATGTTGCTTTAAAAGTGATTTTCAATAAGTCTTTTTAACTCCGTGGCTTAAAGAATCTATTGAGGTCGATGATTTGTAACTTCTAAAATCTGTCAATTGCAAACGAAATCTTCCCGTCACGCCAGAACACCGAAAACGCGTTTGTTGCGAATCTTGTTTAAATCACGCGTGGTCTTGGAGCTGGACTTTTCTCATCAAAGAAAACACTTTAAAGCTCTACACAAGTGCATAACTGTTCTTCCTTCCGGCTGTGAACATTTTTTTTCATAGCAACAATATTTCTGTCGTTTTTATGGATGAAAACATGTCACTTGTCACGAATGGTTTTCTTCACAACGTTTTCAACCACAAGAAAGACGGTTCGAGTGATCTTGTTAGCTTATCAGCCAAATAAAAAAATACCCTAAGATTTGCTCAAATTTTGCATTTCTTCTTTCCAATAAAACACAAAAAGTTAACTTTATAGGGACTGTGAAGCTGACGAAAAATCAGGAAGAAGGTGTTTGGGTCAATTTTCTTTAGCTCTGAATATTAAGAGCGAAACTTGACAGGGTTATTTTTGTTGTCATTTGCCGACAAGTCAACAGATCGCAGTGTTTGATATGTGTACTTTGTCTATTTGCAATTTGACACTAGCCAAACGTATACAGGCCGATGGTGCAAGGCTTCTATCGTTACGATGAAGGTTTAGTTTTCAATTTGTAAGTTCCCGACTTTCTTTTCCTCAGGCAATAAAGTGAGCCGCTATAACTCGTTAGATTTTGTTGATAATAATTCGCATTTTGAACTGAAATGGAAAAAGGCACCACGTAGTGTTAAGGACGAAAGAGGCATTTGTTTGGAAGCAATACGTGATCAAGGAAGGGGAAAGAGGTATCATGAAGCTTCCTGCAACATTCAGGTACTAATATTGTTTATATTTTGGTAATGTTCTCTCGTATTTCATGAGTTTATTGTACTTCGTACTTGAGAATCTCAAAACAATATACATTTAGACGTTTTAAATTGAATTTCTTCGAGGAGTGTCGCAATGGTGTGGTGGGCGATCGACGATCGCTTTTCTATCGAGATTATCACAATAGAAATTCAGTCACGTTTTTCGGATGTAAACACGTGTACGCTCAGAAGGTCAGAATGTATATTGTGCATGAACTTGTAAATTCATCCATTATGTGCAAATATTTTGTTCTCGTTGTATCGATTGCTCAATAACACCTCCGTCAGCCTTTTCAGTACAGGCATTGGTCCTTTTTTTTTTAAGTTGGAATGCATGTGGAAAGGTCACCAACATGAAAGGTGACAGCTCTGCATATTTTCAGCGTATTAAAAGATTGATGTTTACCGTGAAACTGTCGCTTTGTTGTTATTCCCTTTATCCGTTGTTCTATTTATTTGAAAACTTTCTTTGTGGTGATCGTAGCTCCTGCCTTTTTCCAAGTTTCATTGTTGCTTGAATTACTCAGAGCACTTAGACGCATTTGACCTCATTGCTAAAAATTTAATTAACAAGAGAGATTCATGAGAAAATCATTCATTGGAATGTATAGGGGATATGACTTTTTAGGATTCATCTTCACTACTTAAGCATTTCAACCAGGATAGTTATTCAACGGAAAGAAATGAAAACTAGATTCTAGAGTTCCAAAAATAATTTACTTTCTGAGATCTTAAAAAAATTTCAAAGATCCGTGACCGGAACCTATAATAGACATTGTAATATTAAATAGTTGACTAACAGAGAGATTGTTTTTAAAATAATTGATTAGTTTTTTAGGGTTGAATTAAAGCGCACAGGTTCTTAAATGTATGCATCCGAATGATTTTAAATTTTATTGTCTCTTGAGGTGATACTAATGTTACGACTTTAGATAAAGTTCAGAAATAATGGTGTGCAGTAGAATGTGACTCGAAATTGATCTTAAGTTGGACAAATTTAAACTTAAATAATCTCTCTTAGAACAAATCGTACGAAGAGTCTGAAACTTTGTGGTCAAAATGACAATGCGTTTACCACAACAACTTTTTGGTTGAAAATTCACACAATTTGTAGGGCCACACTCAACTAATAATTGTATTAAAACTTCATTCATTTTTCTCCTGCTAGAAATACTGTTAAATGTTGCTGCCTTAATTTTGTAACTTAACTGAGAGCACTTTGTGGGATTTTTGGATTGATCTTGAACACTAGTGATTGCATCTTGAAATTTACTCAAAAAGTCACTTTCTCATAAATTGAAGGACGTAAGCTCCCTTCTTACAAATCTAGATTTTTTTCCTTTGACCTCTCTTGTATTTTTTCCTCTTCTTTTTCTTTTTTTCTCTTCCTTTTGCTTTCATTTTTCAAACTCCTTAAAGAATTTTGTGCCATTTTGGTTTCATGTGTTGTTTCAGAGTCCTTACCCAACAGTGATAGGTGATTTCATCACATCCCCTTTATTCCTTCATTTCTTCATTGCATTGTTTAAATTAGTTTTCACCATCAAAATACTCAGCAACCATTCTTTTTGTTGATACTTGAACTGTGAAAATTGACCAATACAATAATTTTTTTCTTTAAAAGGGACACAACCATAAATATAAGACAATGTACGTAAACATGTTAGGTTTTTTTTTGTTACTTTTATTTTTGATACCTTTGCATATTGTTGTTAATTATGAGCTTTAATTTCTTACAAAGCAGACTTACAGAATGTTAACCTACACCAGTAATTTCACCCTAACACCACCATCAGCAGCAGCAGCAGCAGCAGGGGGCAAGATCAAGATGCAGGACAGTAGCAATCATCCTGCTACAATGGTGGCCATGATTCTGCCAGCAGCTGTATGTTTAGTGGTGGTGATTGCCTTGCTGTTGTATCATTACTATAGGAGAGCATCAGGACCAGTCTGGATACCTAAGGTATTAATGAACTCGAGTCATGTACTTGCAAATTATGTGTCTTGAAGGAATTATGTCATGTATCTATTAGAGGGACTACTGGTATTACTGTGAAACTGAGAAAACCATGACACCAGAAATATTTGTGTAAAGGCCCTTGTATACAAGAATAGAGCCACTGAGACATAAGAAAACTAATGGCAAACAGCCACATAGTTACTTTGTGGTTTTTAAGTTTGCTTGCATGTATGGCGGCAGAAGGCTGGGAAGAGAAAAATGTGCATATCAAGGTGGCAAGTGATGGTCAAAATGAAGGAGAGGGGAAGGGGTGGGGTATCTGGCCTTTCCTCTTCCCTTCCCCCTTCAGTCCACTCTAACTCTAGATCAAACATGGCAAGTCAAATAAACAATTGGTAGCTTGTAACCTTAATTGGAAGTGATAATATGTGAATATGAAAGTGATCTTCGCAGTTATAAACACTACTTAAGCAGTAGTGAAAAGAAGGCCTGAAAAAAATTCAGGCCTGTATGGGATTTGAACCCATGACCTCTGCGATACTGGTGCAGTGCTCTACCAACTGAGCTAACAAGCCAACAGGGAGCTGGTCACTGTGTTGGTTCCAAATAAACCCATGAAGTGGTGAATAAATGGCTGTGAATATATGAAAGTCACATATTTGAACTGCGGATAAAGACGTGAATATGAAAGCGATCTTCACAGTTATGAACATTGCTTAAGCAGTAGTAAAAAGAAGGCCTGAAAAAAAAATCCCATTTTTTCAGGCCTTCTTTTCATATTCATGTCTTTATCTGCAGTTCAAATATATGACTTTCATGTATTTGCAGCCAGTGATAATATGCTTGCACAGCAGGCTATTGCTATAGGTCACCATATAATTGATCTGTTAGAGTCTACACATATGCTCTCAAATTGCTGAGTTTCACAGTTATATCTTATTTTTTAATTTTTTTATTTGTAATTTCAATTGCTTGAATTGTTTCATCTCCAAATTAGTTGTTAATCATGTAATCATATGAAGATGAAAATATGGTTTATATAGAGTATCTCAAAATGTTAGGTCATATCATTCAAAAACACACTGTTTGCGATCAATTTGTCAAAGACATGGACGCATTTGTTTCTTGAAAAAATATAAAGAATTCTAAAGAAACTCCTTCTATGATCTTGGTCAAATTAACCATTAAAACTGGGTTGTCATGGAAACTTTGTGTCATTCAATAAACAATTTTCACTTTCAAAGGCTCAGTCTGCATGGTAACTTTGATCTTCCTTGCTGCTCAGGCTGAATTAAAATAAGTGGTATAAAAGTATCAAATTGGATTTTAATTTGCTTTGAGCCTTGTTTAACATCTAGTTGAACTGCGCCCTTTTTATGGAACTTTTTGATTTACGGCAAAAATGCTGAGATAGCAGTTTTATGTTCGTCGGAGAAATCTTCGCGAAAAAGCTTAGAATGCAAAATTAACTACCTTATTGTGTTTCATTGGATAGGCTTGTAGTACCTTGGTATGTTAGATATTTGTAGTGCTATCAGAAAAGTAAACAACGACCTGGTCACTTTTTAACTTTACCTTTGGTGACACAATTTGCATTTGTATAAAGCTATTGTTTTGGTCGTACACTACTCATTACAACGTGTTTACCGTCTTTTGGTTTCGCTAGCTGTAAAATCTGCGATCTTGTCTCCACTTCTAAAAACGAAGACTCGGACTGGTTCTATTTTGTACTTTTGTCGAGTACGGGAAAATCTGGGCTTAATTTGAAATCGGAAAGAAGCCACGATACGTTTTGTTCGTAGAAGATCTGTAACCAGAGATGAAATCTGTCGGTACCGAGTGCTGCAGTACATTTGTATCGAGAGACGAGTTGTCATATAATTGGGAGAAAGATGCACTTTTATTCAATAACGTTTGACTTTGGAATGAAAAAGAACATTGGCAGCACTGGAAACAGATCACGCAATGTGTACGGTATGTTTGAATGTCCAAATAAATTAAAAAATGTCTTTCATCTGTTCACGTGAAGCAATGTTAGCGTCTCTCGAGATTAGATAGGTGCGTTACAGTTTTTACAGCTAAGATTTTAACAGGCTTAGTTAGTAAAAGAAGCAGGCCATATTTACACCAAATGAAGAAGAATACATCAGCGATAAAGATAATTTCTTGTGAAATAACTGAGTGAAAGGTATTTTCATTTCCATCAATGTGTTTTCTAACATATTTGAAGATGTCGCAACGAATATTTTTCGTTTACTACTACTGAAATAATGAAAGTACAATTTATTTAACTTAATGGTTTCCTTACAGCTGGGTGGGATAAGTAGTTTTTCCAAGCAATTATTGAAAGGTTTTGGATGATTGAAGGTAAATTCAAAGCGATTAACAGCAGTCGCAGCTTGAGAAGTTGTACTCGCTCAAAGGCAAATTGTACCATCTAATTAAGAAAGAATGACACATTATTGTAATGCTGCAGAACACAATTTGTAGATTTACATAATTTCGACTCGTGGAAATTTTTGTAATCTGTGTTAATGCTGTTGCTCTTGCATCAGTATAGACGACAGAAATGAAAACTATGGAAACCGCAAAAATAATTAAATACAATCTTTTGGTGATGAAAAGTTCACCAAAGTCATAGAATTTGACAGCTTCTGTATAGGTAGACAGGGAGAATTCAGATTCGGTATGGTGCGTAAATATAAAAGACATTTTTTTTCGTTTTGTGTTGAGCTCTTTTAATCGAAGTCGTGTACGCATTTGAAGTTTTCAGTTTATAGGGTAATTCTCAGCACAGATTTCATTCACTGATCCTTTTTTTCTACCACTCAGGATGACCACTTATCAGTAGGAATCCTTATGGTTTACACATGTACATCAACAGGAAAGCTTTTTATTATTTTTTCCAGCTTGCCTCCATACGCGGTCGTTACCGCACTATGAGTAATGAAGATCAGGCCAGTCCAGATAGTTTCATAATGGGATTCACTAACCCGATCACAGAGAGCTCAGTGGATTGTTTTGACAAGGCTGATGGTAAAGTTACTATTTTGGGTTACAGGCCACTCCGAGAGGACGCTGACAAATATGGCTTTAAAGGTAAAATATATGTTGTGTTTCTGTTGGGAAAACTTCGAAAATCGAGGGACAGTGCGCGAGAAACTAATATTTTCTCTATCTTACCTAAATTAGAGATCTCTCGTCAAAAAGGAAAAGGAGAAAAAAAAACAACAACAACTAAATCACTGGCCGAGTAACATACCTTCTCTCTGATGGCACTTTCTTGATTGTGCTAAATTAACAGTAGTGTGACGTTTCGTAGAACGATAGTTTGGATTTTCTTACTCGATTCACTTTTTTTGCTGTAATGTGTTGGTAATGATTACTGATACAAGAGAAAATGAGTTGATTTTATGGATTTCTAACTTTTGTTACTAAAGGGTCCTTTTTTTGTTTCCGATGGAATATTTTTGTCGTTGTATCTAGCAACTATATAACACCAAATATCTTCGTTCAGTCAACAGAAAACGTAGCAAAATTCAAAATTTTATCTCGTTAATAATTAGGAGGTCTTCTGATCAGTGTTAGGGCGCCGCTCGTCACTTCAACTCATTTTCCATCGGTGCGCGTGCCTCTTCGTTCGCTCGTGCGCTTACTTTTTCCGTCATCAATAGACACACCTGCGCATGTTTAATGACAAGTCTGAATAACTTTCAGGTTACAGCCAGCACTTCAAACATATGTTCCCGCGGGATCGTTTGATGTTTGGTACTGAACTCGGGACTGGGTGGTTTGGAAAGGTGAGTCTAAAAACAAAAACAAAACAAAACAAAATCGGTAGAAACATCATAGTTGACCTCAAAACGGTTGTCTTTTCACGGTATCGTTTGGTTGGTGTAATGCGCACGTCTTTCCAGACATTTTAAGAGAACATTATTAGCAACAACAGGTTCTAAAATAATTGTGGTCTCATATTGTTAACCATTTTACAATTGAAATGACACATACCCTCCATTCCCTTAAGGTTTACGAAGCAGATGCACTTCGCGTTAAAACAGGGTTGAGAAAAACAAAAGTGATGGTGAAAGTAAGTAGATTTGAACCGTTTCTGTAAGACTATCTTCCTTCATAACATGTAGTTTGTAGAACTTGAATAAGTCACTGTGGTGTTGTTTAACTGATTCGTTTTGGACTCATTCAACTCAAGGAACTGCGCAAACATTCTGACACAAAAGCCAAGGAAAGTTTCCTCAAGGAAACGGATGTTTTAAGGTTAGTAACTGAAATCAACAAATGTGTCTTTTCTCTCATTCCCCAAAAAGCTGTGAAAAAAATGTCTTTGTCATTTATTTCAAAGAGTTCGAAAGTTTGACGGAAAGTTGGCCTTTTTTTGGCATTGGTTTATGAAATTGGAAAGTTGAAACAAAATACTATTTAATGCCGTCTGACCAAACAGTAATTATCTACCTCAACTTCACCTAGCGTGACTAAATATCATAATTATTTACAGTGTTTAAGGTGAACACTATATGATTTTTATTCCAATTTTTCTTTCAATCAAATAGGTGCGTTGAGCACAAAAACGTTTTGAGTGTTTTAGGACAGTCAACAGAGCAGGAACCATTTCTGGTCGTTTTGGAACATTCTCCTTTGGTAAGATAGATATCTATGTTGTAGACCTCCTTCAAATGCTTATAGAAATTCTTCATTTGTTGAATATCTTTTTTGTTACCTAACAGGGAGACTTGAAGAAATTTCTTCTGGATGAACGTTCCAACAGGAAGCAGGATGGTGTTCCGCTACCTTTGCGCATGTCTATTGATATCGCCTCTGGACTTCATTGCTTACATGCAAATTACTATTACCATAGGTGTGTGAGTTTTTCTTGTGTATACTAACGACTACCTGCATATAAAGATTAAATTAGTCGGAAAACTTAGTCAAGAGAGAAGATAATGCTTGAGAAATGGGGTAACAAATCTTTATGGGGTCTTACTACATTGCTTCAGTATTAAACTTGCATTACGTACCACGCTGACAGCCTCTTACCGTGTAACGTGAAAGACTCGGGTTTTATTTTGCGACTAAGCGGTTTTCGATTTTGATGGAGCAAGTTATTGCAGTTTGAGACGACTGGAAGCAGTAGAATATTTACGTGAAAAGAAGCGTGATATTTTTAAATTTTCTAACTTGAAGATTACGAATGGACACCTTATTTGCTTGCAGATTTATTAATTTAATTGTGTCTTGTGAATTTTGCGCCTATTGTTTTGTGGGATTTTCTTTCGGCTTAAATTTTGTTTCTGCGAATGGACGACCTTCTACGAAATCCACAAAAATATAAACCCTGTTTTTTTCTGTAGCGATGTTAAACTCCGTTTACACCTGTCCCGAACATTCTGGCAAATTTTCCTGTTGTTGAATAACCTGCAAGCGACCTTTTCTTGCAGTTTGTGGTCGGGCTCAGTAGCTTTTGATCTCTCTGGTTCCTGTGATAACTGCTTTCAGCGAGTTTACTTAACTTTTATTTACTACAGCTATATTTTGGGTAATTATTACTTAATGATTTGCAATTTTGTTTTAGTGACCTTGCTGCGCGAAACTGTTTGGTGTTTCCTGATTTGTCCGTGAAAATTGGTGACTATGGAATTGCAAGATGTAATTACAAGGTGAGATAGGGTCATATGGTTCAAACCTCGTGGAAAGCCTGAATTTTCTTCAACATTTAAGTTCTGCAATTCAGTAACACTTCTGACAATCATTCATGTATTTTAAGTTTCAAGTGCACGCTTATTTCAATACTTTTAAAGTTTAGGCCCAAGCGCAAAGGCACTTTTTTTTGTCTCAAAAATGTTTTGCCATCTTGAAATGTGCATTCCTTGGAGACAGACTTCACTTTATGAGATTGAATTTTATAACCAATGTCGTTGCGTTTTGGTAATGACTGAGAGTTTTGAAAAGCGTGGTTTATGTATGGTTTCAGAATGACTACTATAACAGACCACAAGCCCCAAACACCATCCCTATTAGATGGTTAGCGCCAGAGTGTGTGGCCTTTCAAGAAGACGGAACCTTGGTGAATAAACTACCATCAAGTCAGGGAAATGTTTGGTGAGTAGCAGTGTAAAGTTCACAGACTTGGTCAGCTGTCTGTGGGAAAAGGAGGATTCAGAGTTTTTGTAGAACTCGTGGAACATAAGGGGACCAACCAAGGCGTAGATTGGACCATTTTGTTTCTCATCCAATCGTTTACAGAGTCAGGAGACACGTGACGTAAGCATTATATCCCCCTTCCCTAACCCACTTCCTTTTGTGATGGTGTAGCAGACTTTTGTCAAAGTTAGGTTTGAGATTGACCGCTTTCGCGCCGATTTACTATAGCCATCAGGTGTGGGCTAACTTACTGCTCTTTGTTTCACCATCGTAGAACAGAATATAAGAGATTCGGTGGTTTTACGGATAAGTGGTCTCCTACGATGTAACAGAGAGTAGAGAGGCCTTGAATCTGTTGAGAAAGTGCGAGTTTGATATTTGTTGATTTTGCAGGTCATTTGGAGTAACACTTTGGGAAATTGTAGAAGGTGGTAAGCAACCATATGAACACTTGTCAGATGAAGAAGTGTTACAGAGTGTGATACAAGATCAGCTGTATAAGCTGCCTGAACCGCACAACAAAGGAAATGTTCTGTAAGTGCCCACTGCTTATCTTGATCAAAATTTGTGTTAAGCTCTGAACTCAGAAAATCCTGTGTGAACAAAGTAAGTGAACCACTGATTGGTTTTGAGTAACGCTAGACGTGAAAAAAAAAAGTCATCGGCTAACTGTTTAGAATTATCATGTATGGCGAACTGCAATGAAGTTTAGAAGTCTTGGGACTTTTAACGTGATATAACTGAAATCGAATTCTTCCTCCCCTCCCCCCCCCTTCAAACAATACCAAGACGTAATTACTGTTTAGTTTTACCAACATTCCAACATTGTTGGATTGTTGGGGGGGGGGGGGGGAGGTTCTGTGTACACACCTGAATTGGCAAAAAGTGCTCTTTTGTAATATATTTGGATATAAGATATGTTTTCAATTACTGTAGAAAGGAGACCTAGAGTCTCAGAGTGGTTTCGTATTTAAATGCCTTCTATATTAGAGAGGAAGATTGGGGTCTTCAAGTCGTGGTAACTCTTCCCAGGGTCATTAAATGGTTAATGAGATTTTAAATTCTTACTTACGTGGATCAGTAAATTCTTATCACAAGTGATGTAATGAACTACAGCAAATATTTCGAAAACATCGAGTATTTACAAATTACTAATTTCAAAGTTATTTGTGATCATGACGTAAAATGTTGTCTTTTTAGTTTATATTGCTTGGATAACTATGTGACGGTGGCATAGGGCTGAGATGAAGTCTCTCGTTAATAATAGGCTTCACGTCCAGCCCTCTACTTCTGTTACAAATCTTCCTTTCGCATAAAAAGATGATTTAAAAATGTTGCTTTTAAACACGTGTGATCTTAGCTTTAATGTAATAAAGGCATTTAGCAACAGCACATATTTTTTTTCGTATAATTTACGCAGGTTTTGCACCTAGAATTCGCGGGTAACCATTTAAAGTCCTCGGTTTACTCAGACCTCATCCACATCCCATTCGAAAGTGTGCCCTGAAAAACACCCTTCTTTTGCAGATATGAGCTGATGCTTCAGTGCTGGGTAGAACCTGACAGAAGACCTTCGGTCCAAAAACTCGAGTCAACGCTGATGTCTTTGATGTCGGGCCACTCTGTACCTTGTCTTACGACCAGTGATAACGTGAAACAACGAACGGCACTTCTCGAGAGTCAAGGTTTGTTTGGCTGTTACCGATACTGACTTGAGCAGAATTGGTATTTTCCGAAAAAAGAAAAACATTGCACAAGTCTCTTTGTTAGCGATATATTTAACTGACCGTGTTAAGTAGCTCGTTCCTAAGCTAGAGTTTGAGGTTCATTTGGCGGCGGACTACTTCAAGCATTTAGTTCCGCTCATGTTTTCCTTAAAACTTAACTCTTTGACCTCTAAGAGACTAATTTGTCCTGACAGCATCACCGCTGAATCAAACATCAAGGTCGTAAGAAAAATGGAAATGATCTTCAACTAAAAAAGCTCTTGACTTATTATTATTATTATTTTTTATCAAATTCTCGTAGTCAGCACTCTAGGAAGTGTATGGAGAATAGTTTGGAGAACATGCATACTGATGTTAGGGTGGAAGGTTTTACTGTTTGACTTGTGTTGTCAGATGCCAAATTAATAAATTGCATTGTTGAAAGCAGAATTGTTAATTGAAAACGTCATTTTCACCTTTGATTTTAGCTTCTCCTGACACTAAAAGTAACGCACAGCCGATCGCCGTGGTTCGTCCTCTTCGCCTCGAACAAGATGAACCAAATTCTAATCATAACGAAGTCCACCAGATTAACTCTAACGATCATGAACAGACTTCATCCGATGTGGAAGTAACTATTATTTCTTCAGAATCACCACCGCCAGTCACATACATCGGAAATCCCTCGGAAGAACTCGGGGATCGTTCAGAAAAAGCCGAAAGTCCTTCATCGGAGGTGTCATGTGTGGATTCCCAAACGTCAGTGATCGTACATCCAGAGGATCATGAGTATGTGATGGTGCCTGGTGAAGTCATCCGTAGAAGAGGATCCATTTTGAAGAATCCGAACGCCCCAGTGAGTGATTTTGATAATTCCTACATTCTTTGAGAGCGAGTTATATTTTGGTTTCCAATAGTTTGGAAAAGAATTGAAAGCAGAGTTCGTTGTGAATATCACTGAGGTTTTCGGTTTGTAGCTTCTTTTGCTAATTCTTCTTTTTTCCTGAATGGATACTCCCTCCGCTAGAACTACCTCTTTACGTTGCCCAAAATCCACCAGCTACAGAAATAACAACTTTTGGACTATTCCTTTTTTTGTCAACAGTGGTGTTGAAATGTAGTGAGTAACTTCTCAAAGGTTGTGAGAGGAAAAGCTGGTTTTTGTCTCGTTTGTATGTATGGTACTTTTAACGGAATTCCCGTCTATCCCCTCTGCATTAACATTGAAAATCACAACAGTGATTGAATAGAAATGCTTACACATCTCATATATTTTTCTTTACTTCTCTTCCTTCCAGTCAAAGCCTCCCAAGGTGGTTCATTTTCCAGTCAACATTCTTGCCCTGCGAACTGTTCACAAGTATGAAAGGATGGACTCCTTTGAAGAGGATGAAGCAGACGCTAACCCTAGAACAGATGACGAAGACGGAGAAGAGTCTGGGGGAAGCAAATCTAAGTTTCCTGCAGAAAAAGACTTTGAAAGCCTTCGTTCAGAATTAACTGCAGTCAACAGGACAGATTTGGCTAACGAACCGCCATTATCGCCGACTGAAAAGAAGATTAGAATGGCTGCTCGGCGGAAGAAACTGCTCGAACATGGCGATAAAGAGTGGGTAACTGCAGTGGAATCGAATCCAGACCAACCTGCGTAGGGTTTGGAAGAAGTTTGTTGGACTCCTCGTTAAGGACCAAGCAGTAAGGTGATCCCAACCGATGAGCGTTTGGAGATGGCGGCAAAGTGCGACAAGACCGTAGCGATCAAATTTTGCACCAAAATTGTGACTAACGTAGTTTAACGGTAGATCGATAGACCCAGACTGACTTCCATCGAAAAAGTTAGTTTATTAATACGAGTGGCTCCTCTCTGAAACACTGCAGTATATTTCATTAGAGTTTTGATATCGGCCCCATTTGATTGTTTAGAAGGTCGATTATAATCATCACATGATGTGAATCAGTATTTTGGATACAAGGTTAACTGTACCGCTAGAATTCAGAATATTGGTACTTTCAAATCGAAAATACAATTACAGTTTAAGAGGAAACGCATCAAAAACCCTTCATTAAGTAATGAATATTGTGTGTCATATCGAAAATCCTCATGCTGTGGAAAAATTTGAAAATGTTTTTATGGGCTTTCATCTAAATTCGCCCGTTTTAAGCTTGATTTCGTTGGTAGAATTGTCTTTGTTACAGAAATCGTTTGACTTTCATCAAATTGATATGCACATGGTGTTTTAGTCGTATAACTTCTATATCGAACAAGTTTGCACGAGTATTTTATCGAAAACGTGATTGCAATTATGTTGATCACATCACACTTACATTGGAGTATATTTTCTTAATGAGTTACTATGATAATTTGCTTAAAGAAAGAGAGAGAATTTATGTGCAAAATTTTAGTAAAATAAAGGAACAAGTTCTTTGTAGTCTTTATTTTCTAGTGTTTGTCCTTGGCGTAAGAATCAGTTTTCTAAGTAGCTTGATAATATGCATGAAACACTTCTCCATTCTGATTGGGCTAGAGAGATGTAGTTTTCAGGCAACACACTGGAGAAGAAAGGTACTGAAGAGCATGAAGTAATTTCGTGTATTGAGCTTTTTTGCGGCGTAAAAACTTTAAAAAAAAATTTGCAAATTTTTGACTGAACGTACAATGAAGGGTTCGTGATTAATTATTTATGCAGATGACTCGCACACTCTGCTTCTGTATGCTTACGAAAAGCTGTCTCGAAAGGTTTATCATTATATATTTGTAATTTTTTTTATAAGCTTTTGAACTGCATTGAGCCAGTAGGTTCGTCTTTGAAATTATACACGTACCCGCCCTTACCAGCAATCAACCATCTTCACGTAAATCTTTGTTTCGGACAATTATTCTCGGCTGTTTTTTTGTTGCGAGGGAGGGACGGAAAGGGAACGTAAAATAAAGCAGTTTCTCGTTAACAAGAGACCAATGTCTTGGAGAATCGTGCAAAATTCTGAGGCTTTATTTACTCGCTAATATACAAAAAGCTCTCAGCTGAGAGGTTGAAGTGATATTCTGTTATCTTTTGAAGCGCTGAAGCACAGGAAAAGAAAAAAGGCAACTTTCAACTCGCACAGCTTGGAAGCAACGATTTCAAAGCATATGGGGTTGTTCACTTCATGTGCAAAATTGATATGGTATCGCCGCCGGTAAGGAGCAATGTATGATCGTTCTACAGCGATCAAGTTAACGTCACCGTATCGTGTTTACGTGATTCATTGGTTTTTTACGTCTTTACTAGGCAAACAAAGTGAATGGTGGCTGGCAGTAATGTGATTGGTAATATTTCAGAATCTTTCAGCCAGCGATGGCTTCGTTGTTTCAGACTGAAGCTAAGAATCTCTATCTATTCTTGGATAATGTAGCCGAAAAAAAGAGGATTTTTACATATTTGTTTCGTTTAATAAAATAAAAATCTATGTCACAGAAAATGGTTGCTTCATGGGGCGAATTTTCATCTCGGTATAGTTGATTGAAGTGTCGTAAAATTTCCACTCATCCCACTGGGGTGGATTAGAATTCAAATTAGCACGACCACAGTTGTTGAGCCACCAGCCAGACAGACTGCTTATAACGGCACAGTTTGCCAGAAAATTGCCATCATTGTCTCTGTCACCAGTTGAAAATTGCATGCCATCTTCTACAAGTGCCATGTTGCTGTCACCGTTGATTGCGTTGCCTATTGTCCCTGTTATGTTCCTCCCTACGCTGAGGCGGTAATTATCACGTGGGCCAGATATTGAAAAGTTCTCATAAACGGCATAACCTTGCGCGCCTGCGCTTGCCTTGAGCTCTATTCGCAGCTGTACAGGGATTGTTGTTAGGCGTGACAAGTATCGATTTCCAATCCAGAATGAGCCAGACAGAGATCCAAAGCCTGTTTCGTAATCCGACCAGTTCTTGGAGAATAACACGCCAAATGGACTGTTACGTCTCTGCACAACAAGCCATCCTCCACCATCTGTAGTTTGATCACAGTAAACTGATATTCCAAATGCTTGATCATCCGGTGCCACTCGCTGAGCACCGGTCGATGGTACACCAAGGTCATACAATTCCTTGCAGTTGCGAGCTGTGGAATATAATTAAAATCATGAAGGTAGCTAAGAACCGCAAGAACAAAGCTAGGAAAAAGGCTTGACACTATTAAAGTTTTGCTTCACTCTCCGATTATTCACTGTTTTTCTTGCATTCTTGCAAGCAAATTGCCAAATATGGAATTTCGAGCTAATTATCAGCTTTTTTAAAAACTGTTATTTCTTCGTGTTAGTGTTCAATGGATAGTTAAAACTCAAACGTTTCAGTGTGCCTTCGGTTTGATGAAAGGTTCCCTAGGTTTTCCTTTCCCAATTTGTTGGGTGGGATACTGCTATTAGGCGAAGAGTGATAATGCTGATTTGCGTGAATAGCTGACTACTCCAGGAGGTAGACTCAACATCGCCAAATGAAATGCCTTGCATATTTACGCGAAAAAAAAAACCAACAAAACAAAAAACAATAACAGTTAATGCTAACATCACCGTAATATGTTAGAGTAGTTGGTCCATTGCTTTCTGTTCGTTATTTTCGGCAATAATTAATACGAACAATAGATATCGTACCTTTCGGCCTTTCACATTGTTTACCGCGGAACAAGTTTGTACACTGACAGTGAAACATGTCTCCATGACACGTGTCCACGCATGTCCCGCCGTTATAACAGGCGTACTTTGCACACCCTATAGGCTTCTGTGGGAGGTAATATAGTTGAGTACTTTTCTAAATTCACTAAATACCATAGCGTATTTCGTGGGAAACTGCGAGCATGTCCTTTATTTTCAGTATTCCTTGCATTCTGTTAAGTAAAATAGCAATCAACTATTTTACACTTTGTTTTAGCATAGTTTTATTAGAGGAAAGCCCAATGCCATATTAATACCCTGACGAAGGGCGAACGTTCAAAACGTCACTTTAGAAACTCTTTACGGATGTCGATTTGTATTAACCACTCAGTTGAGTATATACCCCACCAACTCAGCACCATAGTTTCTTTCAAAACTTACTCCATTTTTTCATTTTAACCTTAGCTTCTTACTGTCGAAATTTCTGGGATTGTTATATATGCTGTTTAGGCTGCAAAAGTTATTCGAACCTTTTTCGTTCGTCGCAACGGCAGTTCCACCCTCAGGTAGTAGAGATGCAAAATGTTGATAAGAGCGGATTCTATTGAATGGATACTACTTTTTTCACCCCATTTTAATACAGGGAACAAGCTTTACCGATTTAAAAAACGGAACTAAAAAGACTATCTTATTCGTGAAATAACCATACGAAATCAAATTGTTAATACATCACCTTCTGTGCTTGTGGAAATCCATAATATTGAAAACCCACTTTCATCCTAAAGGCCTCTGGCTTGGCTTCTTTGGTATGTGAGCTGATCTCACAAGTGTGTCGCTGTGTGTGATTAACTTCGTACTGGTAATTGTACGATTTACAGCCATCGCGACTTAAACACCATCTACCGCAGTCGATCTCATCATGAACTTGGTGCCTGATTTTTCAGAAATGTTAAATATCAGTATGTAACTGATGTTCGTGTAATCAAGAAGTGAAATAAAATTATTTGAAATTTATGTCCTTTCAGAGATTGAAGGATCTGATTTCCGGCGACAGTCACATGCACACACACACAAAAGTTTGTCGCCACCTTATGATTTGCATTCATATACTTACGTATCCATTTTGTATCCTATTAGAGCTCTATCTGTTAAGAGGCAAAGAAAAGCAACAGAAGAAAAATTATATATCTAATAAATTGAGATAATTTGAATAGGTTTTAAATATATGGATCTTTTCTGCTAACTTATTTGATCACTTAATTATTCTGGATATCACAAAAACCTCTTCCAATAATTGTTTATAATAACAATAATATTAATAATTATAACGTCTATAATATAAGCTGAGTAATAATAACTATTGTAATGATTAATTAAATGATAACTAAAATGATACTGTTGATGATAATAGTGACAGTCAAGTGATACAGTATTTATGTTGATACTAATGAGAACAAAAATGATGATATCACAGATATAATGACAGTTATAATAATGTGTCCCTCCACGACGACTGTGCCGTTCCGACTTAAACATCTTTTAGGGGAAGTACAGTTGTGTCCATAATGGCGAAAGTTGACAGTATACACAAAATATTAAGATATTAAGAATAGCAAGGCCCGTAAAGATCTCCGGTTTCGCGTGATAACTTCAACCTTCACGCCTCGAGAGGCAACGACTCGCGAATAGGATAAGGATTATACACTTCGCAAATCAAACTGATTAAGCCTATTATTACTATTATTATTATTATTATTATTATTATTAATATTACTGTTATTATCATGATTATTTACATTGACGACAGCTATCATCGGGTCTTCCGACCATCTATACCGAGTTTGTTACAAAGTGCGATAGTCTATTATTACAAAGTGCGACTATTTTATTAGCAAGTTTGACGGTTATTATTCACAATTCAAGAATATTTACAAAATACAATTGGTGAAGTTAATATACGATATTTCATAAAATTCAAAATCATGTATAATACAAAAGCATTTAGCTTGAAAATTGCCCTGAAAAAAAAATTTGACGGTTATTATTGAGTTATGTCAATGTGAGAACACTTTATGAAGGACGACTCTTTCTGATGAGCTATTATTTCTCCCCCCATAATATTGGCATCAATTTGTCATCAGCAGTGGAAATCGAACATCTAACAACACAGAAAAAAGCCTTGAAATCCCACTTAGCGAATAAATAATTCAGCCAACGAAACATTTACTTTCTTCGCAAGAACTACCGCGTCATTGGATTTTCTATATCCTTTTCAAAATCATATCGCAAATTCCAAATACACAATAATAAGGAAGAGGTATCCTTGCCTTTTTCTGATACTTGAAACATTCCTGTCCTCATGCATTGGTTCCTTAAGACTTCAAACTCCGCAACAGATAAGTTAACTGTGAGCAGCAATCCAAGAACAATAACTTCTACATGCATCACACCGAACTGAGCCTGAGACAGATTAGAACTCTTGGGTTAATATTCAATTCTTGCCCTTTCATTGACATCTACACGAATACTAGTAGCGTGGCCCTGCAATAAAACAGGATCCTGGTTTGATCTTAATAAAACAAACAGTTTAAAATGTTTTCAGAATTCTGAAAAGCTGGACGCCATCTTTTGAGTAACCAAAGGTTAATTCATTTGCGATTCTGAAATTTTTATTTTCTGAGTCAAAACACAAAATGTGGGATCTGTTTTGTTTATTCACAAGCCGAAAGAAGCAGGAAAATTGAAATGAAACAAGGATTAGGAAAGAATTTCCCATGATCGATGGATGGATCATTCGAACGTCGAGAGAAGAATAATGAAACCCAGGAACGTGAAATTTAACAATCGCGAGTTTGATAGAGTAGCTATGATAAACGAAAGGGAAGTGCTTCCCTCATGATATCTAAACGGAGTCCAACTGAACCTCTCTTACTTGTTCTTGTATCATTGTCAACTGTTAAAACGAGAAAAAAATTATCAAAACAATTCCTAATGATGACAGTATATTCAGTTAACTATTTATTTCAGACTGCTATACGACAAAGTTTTGTAAAGTGTCATCAATCGTCAGAAAAACCCTAGATGCAGACTGAGCCTGTTTGATCGGTAAACCTTCTGCAGTCTGAGGTGGTTAACCATCTTTTTTTTATTCGAGGAAGAGAGAAGAGAAACTTCCACAGGGCTTCCAATTAGAGTAGGATTCTATCTTTTTCATAATTAGAATGAATTTTTACGTGATCTGAAAAACAGAGTCCGTACCTACCGTAACAATAGCGGTTGCCACCTTACTCACACTGCTAAGATTACAATATTTCTGGCCCTTTTTTTTCCTTTCTCCTTTCGATTAAAGCAATAGAAAGCTTTTGACAAATTTCAAGCCTCGAGTTTCCTTTGCTCAATTGACAGGTGCGTTGGTGTTGTGTTTACTGTTTTTGCGGAAGCCGATGGACTTTTGAAAGGTGTCAAGCTTAGCAATAGGTGGCAGGTGAGGGACTAGAATTGACGTTTCTCTTACCTTTAACTGCCAAAACAGTTTAAAAGGATTTTCAATAGTTAGAGATTGATATTACAATGTAAAAATGAAACTGATTATAAAGAGGCTGCACATTTTATAAACGCCTCCTTTTGAAAGAAATTTTTTTGACGAGAGACTCGATTCACGTCATCATAAATATACCAAACAGCGTAAAGGAACTCTCATTTTAATTAACATTGAGTGAAAATTGTGTGAAAATTGTGAGTCGCTTCATTTCATGATACAAATTTTTAAATTTAATGGCTGGTTATCTTTCTCATTGTGTTTTTTCTCATATTGTTGTTTTCCACTTTTATGATATCAAGAGAAAATTAATTTTTCGTGGTATTATATGCGTACTTATGCATATATGTATGTATGTATGTATGTATGTATATATTTTTGCTTTTTTAAAGAATGCGCGAATACTATGCGTAATTTGTTAGAGGAAATCTACAACAGGATAAATTGACTCAGTAAATAAAACGAATTTCTGCCAATTGAAAAGTTGAAATGCTAATACGTGATATGAATTTAAAGAAACAAAAGATGAGAGCAGCGGAAACGCATTCATAACAAATTTGAAAGTGACAGAGAGTGAAGTTTCGTAGATGAAACCAAACAAATGTTTGTATGTAGAAACAGAAATTGCTTTTGAGACAGGAAGCAGTTTAATTTCGACAAGATTAGTTTCTTGAACAACTAATACAGCGCTTTTTTTAAAGACCATTTGCTCAACACAACAAAGTACTTTTTGTTTACTCATTTACATTTTTAATTAATAATCGAGCCGGCTTCTTTTAGGTAGAATTTTGCAAGACACTTGTTTGACATTTGAATCGAATTCAACATGAAGCTGAATTTAGTTGTGCTTTTGCCTGTCGTAACTTAAGTACGTTCTTTTTTCCTTAATGTCTGAAATGCATTCGTCGATAACACCGCATGTTTTGGGGAAGGAATTCCGCGTACTCCCAACAATATTCGAACGTCTGACCTTCTCACAGATATTTTTGATGCTCTTCATCTGAGTTCGTGGAAGTTAAGCCTTTTAAACTAGTCTCATGTACAAAAGAACTTGCCTACTGCCCGGACTGGTTCAAAGTTCTAAGACTCTATTTCTTTATCTTCATTGATAGTAACAAATTGGTGTCACGTGGCCCAAATATATTTTTTTTCAACGATGATCAAAAGACAATTCACTTTTCCTTCCTCTAAAAAGTTTATACGAAAGGAAACAAACGATAAGAAGTTATAAAATATCTTCTGTGAAACTGAGATGAAATTGTTCTTAAACTTTCTGTGTAACAATTTGTTTCGACCTTTTTGGCCTCAGCTCCGTAAACGTGTAACAACAGAAAAGTAGAGTTTATCCTTCCTTTATATTTTACGAGGTGTTTTTCGCCACCTTGGAAGCAGAAAAAACGAGGGATATCATAGGATTTTGGCACTGTTTGCGAAATGTGTTAATTTTGGAATCACTGAGTAATATTGAGCTGTGGGGTGTTTTGTTGTCTGACACGAGTTCAATGTAAATGAAATCTTTGACTAGCTGGTGAGGTTGTAATTAGTTTTACCTTGTAGATGAATGACATTTGCTCTTTCATTTTTAGAATGGTGTAATCGAAGTTTGTTTCAATTCACTGATAATGATAATTCTGAAAGCAAGGCCGATTTCTCGACATATACTCAGCTGAATCCGGAACTAGAACGAGCACAAATATTTCTCATAATAAGATTTGTATCAGCTTTTAATAAACAGGTTCATCAGTCTTCAATCAAAGGCGTCGTATCAGGGTTAACAATTTAACAGAACGGTTTTGACCCAGGTAAGCAATTTTTATATGTGCAAAGATTGATTGAAAAGTGTGCAGCTAAGATCTCCTTTTCGCTCGCTCTACGTGGGAGGACAATTTTCAGTGATACTATGCTACTTCAAAACACAGCTATATTTCGATTTTTAGATGTAGATTGGGTATACTTGAAAAACACAATAGCCTCTATTTTGCACAAAAATGTGCTCGTATATTTGTCCTTGGATATTTTCTGTTCCTCGACGCTCACTTCTTTCCTTATCATAATTTATTTCGTTTCTTGAACTACAATTTCCTCGATTGTGATCGGTTTAAAAACTCCTATATGCAACTTATTCACTTGCCAAGTTGTTATCGGACAATTTGTTATCGGACGGAACGATTCAATAATATTTATTGAACGGTTTAATAAGCCAATCACATTCAAATTTGTAGTTTAAATCAACTAGTCACAAACTTGGTTTAAATCACCGTAGAAACAGTATGCAATTTTTTTACAATTTTCCCTTTCTTGGCTTTTCTTTTTTACTCGGAATTTTTATGATTAATTGGTAGTAAGAGCTCGTGTCGTCCAATTCGATTGGTAATCATACTCGTGATAAACAAATCGGACTCCCGCTGTGCGGTCGTCCGATTTTGTTATCACTCGCATTATTACCGACCGAATTGGACTCCACTCAGTCCTATTACCATTACAAAATATTTGTTCTTCATTATAAACAGTAAATCTAAAACAAAAAACATTGAAAAAATTAATTTCCCATATTCAATTTTCCATTTCATTTTCCCATTCCCCATTCCCAATTCCCGCTTTTAGTAACATTCAACGCTGAAGTAATAATTTCAAAATGGTGTTTTATTTATAAATTAGTAAAAAATCAATCACATAAAATTAATCAGCTTGATATAGCTCCACAAAGAAAATTTATTGTAACTGTATACCATCAAGGTTACAATTACATTACAATTTTGCGATACTCGCTTCTGATATAAAAAACAATTAATAGGCGGCTTAGTTTTATCATGATAGTGAATCATCTATCGAACCTTTGATCTTCTTATTTTTGTTTATCATTTGGATATTTATATCAATTTTTTTCTTTGTTAAAAATTAACCATGTCGTCCTACATTCACTGCTGTGATTCTTGGCAGTACTCTAACTCGTTTTCTTCAGCATTTTCAAGTTTGCATTCGATTCCAGCTCCCCTCAAAGCAAATGCTGCCCCTGAAACTGTGACATGTGACTGTTGGAGATCTCCAGACACTTTCCGGTCCCGAGATCCAAAGCAGTTTGTTAATGTCCTCCACATATAACGGCGAAACGTTGTGTCTTGAGTAGCATATATAGCAGGATTAACGGTAGAATTTATTGATATGAACACATAAGAAACAACACGGAACACCTTCTCAGAGGAGTTCACGCTGGTCTCAATTGTTGCTGTGTCATTTATTAGTAGAAACATCTCAAGAAAGTAGTAGATCAAATTGGGCAGCCAAGATATTCCCAGGACAACAGTTACTACTAACACAGCCTTGGTAACTCTTTTTCTCGATTTAACCATCGTGCGCTGAGCTGTGCTTGTGGAGTGGTCAGCAGTGAACCATAATCGGCGTACCACGCGCCCATATAGGATTCCCATAGTTCCTAGCGGAAATAAGCCGATAGCAAACAGCCACATGGCTGAGTCTGCTCTTCCTAGCCAGTCAGGAAAGTCCCATGCACAGGATTGGATTTGTTCATCGTAATATAATACCCACGTTTCCGGTAGAAGAAATATAACGGACGCAACCCATGAAATGATGATTAACTTCCTCAGCTTTCCTTTCGTCATGCGTCCTCGGGGGTTGTGTGGATGAATTATAGCGACATATCGTTCCCATGCTATAAAGAGCAATGTGATCACCGCTGCGACTGATGCCACCCACGATAGGTTGGCATGTGTGAAGGTTTTACATAAAATATCTCCGAGCCATCCCCCTGGCTGTTTAAATTCAGTAATAAACAGTCTTCGTGGAATAAAGAACACTGCAAACAAGAGATCGGCGAGAGCGAGATTAGCCAATAAGTAATTCATTGGAGTATGCATCCTACGATTTCGTCGAACCACATGGATTACAAGTGAGTTGCCAAGTAAATTAATGGTGAGCATCAAAGAGAAGACGATTTTGAAGATGATATCGGTGGTCGATGACATTTTCAAGACTGACCAAGCCTAGCACGCTCTCTTGGTTAAGAGATGTCCCTACAATTGATAAAAGAGGAAAAAGAAAGTTTGAAAGGAAATTATACATTACCCACTTCTTTTTCGTGGGAACAATAGATTTACAAGGGTTGAATTACTTGTTATAAACACCTTTATATTAATTACAAACAAAATGCCTAAAGGCAGGTCTTAATATTTAGGTCGGTAGACAGAATAACCAGATCAACCAACACGCGTTTCCCGATACACATCAGCTGAGCTCTGTTTGACAACTTTATCAAACTGAACGAAGAAGTTTAACCACAACTAAATAAAGCTAGAACATTAACACTTCAGTTGTAGCTACTATTTCGGCACAGGCGTGTAAAACTCTAAACAGTCAAGTTATTTAAATTCAATTTTTTCATAATGGCGATCTCTATTTTATATCTTTGCTACAAAATTTAATCATCCAGTTTTGTTCGTCTTACAATTTTTCTATCCCTGTACTTCTTAGATATTTCTGTGCGTAATTTAAGTCCTCATGTGTACCGTTACATGGAGCAGTTGTTGCTGTCTTTAGACAAGTTTATCACTCGTAGTGAAATTGAGGACATCTGTAGCACCTAGCGCAACAACAACTATACATGCGTTCGTATTTACCGGCTGCGTAATCTTGAAAATACGTTTCAAATGAATTGAAACCCAAATGCATCCGCATGGCTATGATCTTAAACAAATAAAATTCACCGAAGGAGTGAGAAGCAAAATGTTAAGCTGTTTTGGAGAATAACATTGTCAAAGTCGGCAAACATCTCATAATAAATTATGCGTGGGAATTGCTACATCTTCTCAAACTATACAAGAAACCAAGTCTATGAAGACTTTGAATTTTAAAAAAATAAAGAAAACTGAATGATGATTACAACTCCTGAAGAAACTACTAAAAACCACCTTCTGGAAATCACAGGTCTGCTGAGGAGAGAGATTTCTCAGTTGACTCGTTTTTGAGTTTTCTTTTCTTTTCTCATTTTAAGAAGTTGGTTTTTTCCTGTTTTAACAAAAAACGTGAAAGCTCCTTTCCTCGTCTGTCGAAACATAAGAGCTGATGAAACTGAAGCGTAAATCGAAACCGGATATGTAGTGTATCACCACAGAAGTTTAAGAGCGAATAACTACTGGCACATTACCTGAGTTTGAAGGAAAACGCACGTTCTTCTAAACATCACTTAATTGAAAATTTCCAGAATTATCAAATTATTTAAACATGATATGCAAAATAAACATGCTGAAAGGTGCTAGATATGTCATGTTTATTAAAATACCTGTTAACTTGCACGTTTGTGAAAATTAAAAGTCTTCAAACTAGAGTAAAAGAGAAGTGAAGTCCTTCAAATTTTTGAGCACATATTTGAAAATCAGAGGACGGAGTTGTACTGTCAAAAGAAATTTCAATAAAACTCTAATTTTTTGGCGCAGCTTTTTCGTGATAATTGAATACCTGTTTTTCATCCTTTGTGCCTCTTATTGCTTAAAGTCTTCCTGTTTACTTATTTTAGCCGTTCGTTGATCTTCGTTTATCTCATATTTATTTCATACAATTTTACGCTCGCCTTTGCAAAGAGAGCGCAAAGATAAAAAGTATTTTAAAAGTATTTTTATTAGTAGAAAAAATAGCGATAGAAATCTAAATAAAACTGCTTGAGAATTTTAAGCTGGAACTTTAGACCTATTATTTTATGACAAATCTCATTGCGTGTATTATTTCGAATACTTTTTGCCTACAATTTTTATTTTATTTCCCACCACATAAAGCTAGTCGGGGTTAAGAGACCCATTATGGATCCGAAACTATAGTGGAAGCAGACGTCATTCAAAAATAATTGTTTAAAAACATATGTGGGCCCAGCGATACGACAAGGCAAGCAGCCTAAATGCCTTTTTATTCAATATTTAATGACCACAGCGATAATCAATGGCGAAATGAAACGGGAATTAAATTCTTAGTCCTTCGTATACTAACTCTAACGGGATGTATACGTTAGGTTTTTAGTGGCAAGATGGACTTTTGTTTACTATATAAATGTGTCAATGGGCAACGTGTCATGATGAATTAACCTTCGCTCGATCGTCATCTCTACCACGTATTCTCAGTCTTCTGTCCGAACAATCACGAGTTTCGATGAGATAGGCGATAAATTTGCGCTCTGAAACATCATTTTCTGTCAGTCATTTAAGTTTATAGAGCGTTACAATTATTCTTTTTTTTTAACGGTAACATGCAAATTGATTCTGGAGTGGTATATATTGACAGAAAAGTCTCTCAAACACTCGAATTTTAATGAATAATTTTATTTTATTTACACGAGAAACAATTGCAAGTCAAATTATTCGTTTTTGTAAGCATTGTGCTTGCCTGTTGATATTCCTTTTTCTTTAAAATGAAATTAATTTATATCTTTGACAGTTTTCGTTATAAAGCACCAAGTAATAGGAAAAGGAATTGCGAGTCTCTTATTGCGTTAAACACATCAATTGTTAACTAAAGCATAGCCAAGAATTCTGTGTTGTCTTGTCTGTGTATCAAAGAGTTGATAGTGAGAAACAGTAAAACAACAGAATCTTGTGTCATAGCATGTATTTAGAACGGAGACGAAATTAAAAGCAGCCTTTATAACGAAACTGATAAAGCAAAAGGTTAAAGTTAATCCGTTTTATCCTTTCGGTAGCCTTTACACAAGGATCTTCTTCCTTGGCAACATAACAGTTGTCCAAACCATCTTCCTACACACGTTAACTCAATTTCAAGTTTTCTTTTACTTCAAGAAATTTAATGTGAGTAAAGCGGATATTAGAAAGTGAAAGATGTTATTTACTTACCAATGTTTCTGTTCTTTACCCAGCACTGACCTAACTTTGAATTCTTTTCGTTGAAAACCGTTCAGACCAGAACCAGTGGTGTTGGCGTTTCAAGTTTTAAGTTTTCCTGGTGGGATCTAAGAAATAAAAAACCGATTGTTTTCACAATTGAAGTGTTTCAAGGTGCGAGCTTGAAAACCCGCAGAACTTTATGTCGCTTCAGTTATGACACTGACAACCATCGTGCATAAATTTGCTTTGTCATCTCAAATTGTTTCTGTAAATTAAACTCCACATACGATTAAATTCGAAATTATATTTGTCCACCAATCGGAGCACTCAATATCAGTATTTGTTTTGGCTCTCTAGTAAATGCAGTTTTGGAATACAACTGCGTGCGAGGTAAATAAGAGTGCTATCTAATGATTACCCGAGCTCTTAACCAAACCAGAGATAACCTGTGTCCAAAATCTTTTATTTTGTGTTCATATAGATATAATCGATCGACCGCATGGACGGAAATTTATCGTTGTGTGGATTACCAACTGCGGAAATAAATCTAAGCCATGGGCCACCTTTGTTGATTGACATGTGGAGATTCGAAGGGAAAACAATGAGGTTTTGTGTAAATCTTACTGAATTCTGCAATTGTCTCTCAAATATTTGCGAAAATATTTTGATGTTAAAATGTAAAGTAAGAATTGCCACTTACAGTCGGAATTCCTTAATCTCCATTTTAGACGAAAACGTTTTCTGTTTTGTTAAAGTTGGGAAACCCTCTAGGCAACCGATATTAATAACCGGTGAAAAATCATCACTACATCGTTCTTAGACCATATTAGGAAGCTCTTTTTTAACGAATAGCTGAATTTCGATAAGGAAACAGCGAGAACTATCGAATACTTCGCATTTAATGGAGAAAATTCAAGATCAGGCGACATTTTAATAAAACGATGATTACTGATTCGCAAGAAGGCTCAAATCTCATGGTGATTTCTTAACAAAATGTATATCATTAGTGATGTTGTCGATAGAGGAGGCCTCCATCATTTGAAATTTGCTGGCTACCACAACAAAAATGCAAATCCTAACTTTATTACTGAAGTTATCGCTCGTGTTAGCTCTCCAGGTATGATTTAAGGAATTATCTACAGGTCATTTTGAAAATGAATACTGATGTTTATGCCCGTAAATGATATGGCTAACTACACGAGCAGGTAAGATAAAGCAAATCTTGTGATTGGCTTCTTAGACGTGCGATAAAAGCTTATCCTCAGGGCATTTGCAATGATGGAGTGGCATAACATCGCAACCCCTTCGTCTTGAATAATCAAGTTCTCAAAATAAGGAAAACCTCACACTTGAACTTGAACCTTGACTTGGAATCCTTTGAGTGTATCACTAATATTTTGGCTGTATGATAAATTCTTTATCGTCAAAGTGGTTTTTTTTCGACTGAAAAAACGAGACATTGTCCCGGTCTCTTTTTTTATTCTGGATTTTACTCGTTTGAAACGCAAAAAAACCAACAAGGCCAATATCCAGTCCTCTTAACAGAATAAGCTCGGTCATTAGCATATATTCAATTTTAATAACAATTTGATTATCTCGTTAATGCTTATTCATCGTCGATATTTGCCATAAATGTTTTATTTTTTGGCAAAAGAACCTCAAAAAAATACTTCGCCTGAAATACAGGAAGCAGGAATCCTCAAGTGAAAGCAAACAAACAGAATATAATACAGGTGGAGTGGGAGGAGAGGTGTTCTATCACTTGTCAAAGGGAACCACAGAAAAACTCACGAAACCAGGTTTAATTTAGTACAGAGAGAAATAAATAATGTCTTGAATGACAGAGAATCCTCCAACTCTTAATCATAGGGTCTTTTATGAGATCAGTAAGTGGTAGAATTTAGCGTGAGTTTTTCTTGTTAAGGAGGTCATGTGTATTATTGATGCAATGAATAACGTCACGGCAAACAAGAAGCTACATGTGAAACATGAAGAACGGGAAAAAGAACTTTGAGAGGAAGATGTTCAACTTGCTATAGACGTTCAACTTTTAAATAAAAAATGAAAGCTGTCGTCAACAGTTGTTGATCCACTCTGTTTTTTATCCAATGTTTTTATTGCTTACGTCATGGTTAATGACT